TACCCTCAGGCTCATCCTAATATTTACCATAATATTAACATAAACTAAAATATATTTAAGTTCATTTTAAACATGGTAAAAATTAATTTCTGCTTATCGAAACTTTGCTCTCAGGTTCATAATTAGATTGTATTTGTTTACTCGTCATACATTTATTTATTTAATTTCATTTTTGATGTATTGATATAACAATACATCAAATATGAAGACCAGAAAATTTTGGAAACACAAAAATTGTTCGGATCTTTACATAAAAAACAAAATACATATGTCTATTCGTATAGCAAAAGCTATTAAACAGTGCATCCTGGTATAATGAAACTTATACCATTGTCTCCATCTGCAATAAATGTAATACTCTGGAAAAACACATGCCTCTGACGAAAACAATGAAAAGAGACATTAAATTCAAAAGTCTGAATGAAAACACTGAAAGTCATTTAAAGAACCTGAAAACTGTGAAATCGAAAATATAATAGCTACTGAAGTGGCAAAGGCGTATTGATAACTGACTGCTTCGGAAAAGGTTTCACGATAACAGTATATTTAACAACATTAAATAAAATTGAATACCGTGTTAGTATCTAAACATTTCTCCATTGGTGAAACAAAAAGTGATGTACCAACAAGATATATATTAAGGGACGTTGGGACAGCGCACCGTCGAACAAGTGGCAGTCATGTTGTAGCGCAATGGTATTCTGGGCTCTGGGTCGCAGAATTTATGGCTTGATCCTTGTTTTGCGAGTTCATCTGCCTTTTCATTTTGCTCAATACCGATATGTCCTTCAAGCCTTATGGTTATGTGCCCATGAGCACATCCATGAGGTTCTGGACACATTCTTGTACTAAACTGTTGACTATGCACGCCTTTTGCATGGTTTTGATAACTGCTTATTTGTCCAGCGGTATCAGAATTTTTTTCTGATACACCTGACAATCCAATAGGTGATCCAGAGCATTTAAGACCGCCATAAGTTTCGCCTGATAGACGGAAACATATTTTTCTAGATATAGAGTGCATGTTAGCTTTAGCTCTTTCGAGCTGTAAACTCCAGCTACAGCTCTGTCATCCATCAATGAGCCATCGTTTACTTTCTGATACATAGGCCGTCTACTATCAGTGTTCGCTAGGACACTTCTGTCTCATAAACTCTCCGCATAGTCTCCAATGGTTTCAACAAGATAATATTAAAGCTAACAGTTATCGCGTGTCTGAAATCATGAATTCAGTTTCGAGTTGGTTGATGTTTTTTGAAATTAACACATCTGACCTGCAACGACTATTTTTTCATTCTAATACGGAACATAAAGGTCGTACTGACAATACAATTTATAAAATGAATATATAATACTCGTACTTAATGCTAAGTACTATATAGGAAGAATAAAAAAATTATAACTTTATTGAGAGAATAGCATCGAGTTTCAAAAATATTAATGTAAACAGAAAGTGTGATGATGTGACTTTCAATGTTGAGTGAAAAACTTTTGGAGTGCCCCACGTAATTACAGTTTGTCTAGCTTAATGTGTTGAATGCGGTTTTTAAATTGGAATCCTTATATATGACACATGTTAGTTAATACTTTCATTTACAAATAACAGATGAGTGACGATGAACTGTATGGTAATCCTGCCACAGAGCTCAGAAACCAATTATTGTTTTGGTGACAGCAAATTAATATCTTTTAAACATCAAAATGTTGAACTATCAACGAAATTAAACATAATCCAATAATGCGGTTGTTTTATTCGCTGAGTTGTTTTATATTGGAGAAAAAAATCTTATCGCAATGCTTTATTTCAATCTTAAAGCAACATTGCATTTATACGTTATACATATGACATATACATGTCATATTATATGTCTGTTTTTTCGAAACCATGAGTGCTAAAAGATTTTATTAATTAATGAAATATTAATCTACGTAACAAAACTAAGAAGTTAACAGATATATATTAAGGGATTATTGTTTTTGTTTCGTTTTTGAATCACCTTCATTAGTGATAGTAATATCACTGATACACCTGGAGATATTACACTAGAGTTTGCAGAATAACATAAGGATTATTGATTATCTGATGTTATCCTCACATTCTACTATCCACATATGTAATATCTGCAAAATTCAACAATTATTTTATTTATTTAAAAATATTATTTTATAATATAAGGCATAAGTATTTTGACAAAAATGCTTTCGAAAATTCTTAAATGCCTCTTAAAATAGTTAAATTATGTACTAACATTTACACAATATACAACAGCAAACTGTAAATTCTGGTATATAAAAAAGTTTAAAAGATTGCTTAAATTTAATTAGTAGTGGAGATGATAAAATTATTGAAAATTCGAGTTGTCGCTTTAGTTAATTTTCTGCTTTGCAACTTTTATCTGAAAAGTGGCTAATGGTTATGAAACACGAGAGCAAAAACAAAAGTTCGCTTAATTATCTACAAAAAAACTGATAAAATAATTTTAATTTCATAACTTCAATCTTCATCATTTTTAATCTTTTCCACCAGTTTTTATGTTAGCGACTTCGAGACTGTAATAAGTACCTCCTTATAATTGCGCTTTCTTTCCAGTTTTTTTTTTTTGAAACAATTATACAAATAGATATTGTAAATCGAAGCTTCATCATTTGTAATAATTTTGTTGACAATCTTAGACATCAAGATGATAAAAATTTAATGGGTGAATTTTTAAGAATTTTAATTAAAATCTATACTTAAAAATTATAAAAAATACATGGACGTATATAAAATTTAAAAGAAGCTTACATTATTGTGCATACAAAAATTAAATATATATAAAAAAATATATGTACAGATACACAACATATTAATGGGCTGTATATACGTACACTTACATTTATGTATGTATATACATTTATAATTTCGTTTGTTCAATTATACACAATTTATTATATATTTATACTACCATTTAAATCTTGAAAAATACCCTCTTCATATGTAAGAATGCTCAAGTGTAATAGATACTACTTAACATTTGAACGTCGAACTGTAGAGCATTAAGTGCTTTACGGGCTGAGAGACACAATAGTTGTTGGAAATGCCAACGGCCAAGTGCTTGTACATTTGTCCTTCTGCAGCAATTTGCTGCGATTGCGATTTAAAGTTTGATTGAAGAAATTGTAACAACTTTCGATAACATAAAAACTTTTTCAGGTAGTACAATTCCGAAGATATAAAGAGTCTATAGATACAAAACGCCAAAATACAAATACCAATTCTTTCTTGAAGTACAGTGTGCCAGCTTACCACTTAGTAAACTTCAAGCCACAACTAGACTTTTGTGTCATTCACAAAAGTTTTATTTAACAGTTATTAGTTATATAATAAAAAAATTTATGTATAATCTTAATGTTCTTGATTTCCTTTAACGAATCATAGTTGATGGAATGTGTAAGATGCTTCACATCAAATAGGCTTTCGTGACATACCTTGACATGTCTTGAAATAATCTATATTTTTTATTGGTTATTAAATTTATTTATTTTTAATCACACCAAAAATTCGATCATTTATTTTTAGACACTACAGAGGTATTATAAACCTTCATTTATTGTTGCTGTATCTTTTTATTAAATATCTTCTAAAGAGTGCAGCTTGCCACTTGCAACATGGCTAGGTCGTGCTGCTGTTAATCATTTTTATCATTACTTGCTCTTATTTGCTGTTCTTGTTGTATCTACATTCTATACTATTCTATATTATACATTGTATTCTATATCAGGATTCATAACCTTGTGCTTAAGTAAGCTATGGTACACAAGGCTGTAACTCCAATCTAAATTAGTAGTAATGTAAATCTATATCTATTCATTTGTAGATATTTGATTCGACCGTTCAATCAGTAAAATAGGTATAGCAATAATTCACCAGCCAAATATAAAAAAATTTATTAAAGTTAGAACAAAAAATACTTTGACTTATTGAATGTCAAATGAATAAAATGAAGTAACAATTATAAGTTAAGAGTAAAAAAAGAAAGGCTATTTTTGTCATCATTTAAAATGCTTTCTAAATAATTAAATATTAATTATTCAACAACACAAAGAAGTACATCATATAGCAGGAAAGTCTCTATATATAACAAGGCAAAGAGCGCAACGACTAGATCTATAACTGCAGTTATATGTCATGTAAATGGCAGAAATATTCTTGCTTATATATACTTGTCCATCTCACCAATAAGTACATCTTTATGTGGTTGCGACTGTTTCCAACCTTTGTGCAGTGCTGTATGAAATTGTAATCGATTTTTAATCTAATTACTGGTAAAACAGTTTTGCTTAAAGTTTGCTTCAACCGCAATGGCTCCTATGCGAACAAAGCCACAAAGACAAAGACATATTCACGTCAAATGTTAAGCATTTTTCACAAGCTTAAATCATATAGTTAAATATATAGTGCATTATGAATATAGGTTATGTAGTGCTTCAAAGTTTGCGACCTTACGATACTAGGAAAGTTCGAGTATATTTGATTTCGAACATATGAATTGAAGACATCAAATGTTGGAAAATCTTCTAAGTGATGTTCAAGTTGTTCAAATACCGATTTCTGCCTGATACCGATTCTTTATTTTTAGTTGTGTTTCAACAAATAATCGAACAATGTGAACTTCGATCACACTCGAACACAGTGAGGTTCTACCAAATGCTCGTAAAAGCGGACTCGGACATCGAAATACTCGAAGCATCAAACTTTTCGAATAATATTTGAATTTCTAGTTTCATACAAAAATTGTATGTATCACTATATTGAAATTTAATACAATATAAATAATAGAATACACTAATGCTATATTAATCAAGAATCCATATTCCAAATTCTCTTTCTCACGTTTCTATTATTTTGACAAACTTAATTTACTCTTTATTCATATCTAACAAGTAACTATCTTAAACATAATAATAGTTTCAAAAAAATATATCTTAAATCATATTTCAAATTTTTTTTTGCAGGTTTTTGGAATATATAATGAGATCAAAATCCATCAACAGTTTGAGATAAAGGCATTCAATATTGACATAATTGAAAATTACGCGTGAATAATCAGCAATAAAATTGATTTCATTGAACTGCAACATATCTTCATTATGTCTGGACTATCATCTTCTCTAGTGGGTTTTCCCACATCAGTCATTTGCTCTCAATGGCTTAACCTAACTGAGTGCAGTAATATAACAAGAAATATATTTCCTAGCAATAATGGTAGTTTCGGAAATTTGCTAGAAATGGATTTTGAAATGGAAGTAGACAATTGGCCTCTTGAACGTGTTGTGTCCACAATTGTGCCCGTATTTTTTGGTATTATTGGTTTTGCAGGATTACTCGGCAATGCATTGGTAATACTTGGTAAGTAGTCTAGAAATATTTTAATATATAAAAACATTGACAAACAATACAGAAAATGTACAATACAATAATGAATCATTCAATTAAGGTAAACTTAAACCTGATACCGGCGGTAGTTGCGGGATAGCCAATATTCAATGAATTAAAGTGCAGTTTTAAAAAAATTTTATAAAAATCAAGTAGTAGGATTTTTATTTATAAAGAATCTTAAAGATTTTTTATAAAAGCAGAATTTGGAATTTTTTTTTTCAAATTACATATCTCCCTAAATACATCATTTTAAAAGTCATATTAAAATTACTCTTTGTCCCATCTTGGGATGAGAGCTACCCGCAAAATCGTCAAAGCCAACTTTGTATGGTCCAGTATAGTCAAGGATACAGCAATTTTCATTTGGAGGTATGTTGTTTGCCAAAAATCTAAAGTCCAAGGCTAGTCCAAGTAGTCACAATAGACAATATTCACGGAGGTGACAAATTACTGGGAAGAAAGCATTGGTGTACAACTGCCTACCACCCTCAGGTCAATAGCATGGTGGAGCGGTTCCATAGAACATTGAAAGCAGGCATACGTTGTTACGTTTGCAGCAACTAGACCCTAATCCTTCCTTTAGTAATGTTGGGTCTCAAGACCCTTCGACTAAAGCAACAGAAGTCGAGCCCGTCTTCATAGACCAACGAAAAACCAGACATAAGATCATGCGCGCGGACAAAATAGTGCATTTTTCAGTTAAGTTGCGCACATTTAGCAAATAGAGCGCTAACAGCGTTGAAAGCGCGGTATCAAATGTGGTCCCCCCGAAAGGAAGGGATACAGTGCAGCACCAGATACGCCTAAAATTATGCTACACAACAGTCGCTCTTTACACAGCTCTTTTACGCGTCTCATACCATTGTGGCTAAATGCTCTTGAGGCTAAGAGGACGACAACATTCGGATACAACTAAATTACTTACGAATAATATAACAATTCTTATATATGATAAAAATAAGTTAAAACACTTTGTATTTCAAATCTTTCACAATTATTATTTTCTTTTCACTATAATTTTCTTATTCCAAAACCGAAAAAGTGCTTTACTACTAAATAAGTTAATTCGTCAACATTTTTAATTGTCAAGAAAATGGATATATGCAGAAGGCATTACTTAAAGTAGGACGTCATATGCTTTCATTTTTTTTAAATACTTAAGGATCTTAATACTCATAAGGTGTGTATTCCGTAAAATCCAATCAATGCACCATTATAGCGTTCATGAAAACAGATTAATCAATTTCAATTTACATGCAAATTCTTTTCAAAGAACTAAAAACCCGTCAAAAGTTATCTAAATATTCAGTAATGTTAGTTACTTACACAATAATATTCAGTTTCCTGAAGCTTATTAAAATGGAGTTCCAGTGCATATCTTTACAACTATTTTAATAATAGTTTTCCACAACTATTTATAAATGTCATCGTAGTTCTTTTTTTAGTAATTTTTTCTCTTTGTTATTAATTATTATTAAGAATACTGCTGCGAACGGTTCGTCCTTCATGAGGACTCTCTCCTATTCTTGAAGTATCTGTGCTATTGTTGGTGATTTTAAAAAATCAAGGTTATAAGTGTATGTGAAATGAACTACGGACGAAAATCCACATATATAATAATTTTTGTGTAAGCAAAAAGTATAATAGTGCGCAGAGGGTAAAGAGATTGTTGCAAAAGTAAAATTTAACAATGAAAATAATGCTCTGTTCAGGAATACCAATTTGTAGGCGTCGGTACTTTTGTATGTGAATTGCATGAGTAGGTACATGTGCCAGCGAGTGTAATTGTCTTAAGGTACCAACAACTAGCATTTACATTGGTACGAATAAAATAATACTTAAAAGCAACATTCAGTCACACTTGAAGCACTTGGCTAGCATCCACTAAACTTGTTGAAATGTTACTGAAAGAGGTTATACCTTGTTCTACTTTTGTTGTTTTGTGTGTTTTATTTAAATTCATAGTCCAAGTCTCCTTACACAGGTGTCGTCCACCCACTCCGTTCAATGCCTTATTCTAACAACGTGCGGATTATATACTTAGATATATACATATATGCGTAACATATGACTGCTTTATATTGTCATTGTATAAGTTGTGACAGGTTTGCATGATTGATTAGATGACTTTGGTGAAAAACGATCATGTAAAAATTTATCTGTAAACCATTTTGTGCAATCTCCATTTAATAGCTCCATCGCTGGAGATATGCATAGACAAAATGTATAAAAAATCCAGTACAAACATTAGTTAAGAAAATGTAAAGAAATCAATAAAAATTTATGAGTATATACAATTCATTATTATCGAAAACTGAGCAGTTTATAGCAATAAAATCGATTATTGTTTATCGTTAAAAACCAATTAAGAAACAATAATTTAATTGAATTTACGTCTTTTTAGAATTACAGTCAAACAAAATTCAAACACTATAACAGAATGCATCCATTTAATTATCTTATTATCGCAAAACTGTATACAAAAATAAACCAATTTTATTCATCATCTTAAGCTAAGTTTTTCAAGCCTTTATAATTATACTTATACTTATACTTATACTTATACTTATACTTATACTTATACTTATACTTATACTTATACTTATACTTATACTTATACTTATACTTATACTAATACTTATACTTATACTTATACTTATACTTATACTTATACTTATACTTATACTTATACTTATACTTATACTTATACATATACTTATACTTATACTTATACTTATACTTATACTTATACTTATACTTATACTTATACTTATACTTATACTTATACTTATACTTATACTTATACTTATACTTATACTTATACTTATACTTATACTTATACTTATACTTATACTTATACTTATACTTATACTTATACTTATACTTATACTTATACTTATACTTATACTTATACTTATACTTATACTTATACTTATACTTATACTTATACTTATACTTATACTTATACTTATACTTATACTTATACTTATACTTATACTTATACTTATACTTATACTTATACTTATACTTATACTTATACTTATACTTATACTTATACTTATACTTATACTTATACTTATACTTATACTTATACTTATACTTATACTTATACTTATACTTATACTTATACTTATACTTATACTTATACTTATACTTATACTTATACTTATACTTATACTTATACTTATACTTATACTTATACTTATACTTATACTTATACTTATACTTATACTTATACTTATACTTATACTTATACTTATACTTATACTTATACTTATACTTATACTTATACTTATACTTATACTTATACTTATACTTATACTTATACTTATTCTTATACTTATACTTATACTTATACTTATACTTATACTTATACTTATACTTATACTTATACTTATACTTATACTTATACTTATACTTATACTTATACTTATACTTATACTTATACTTATACTTATACTTATACTTATACTTATACTTATACTTATACTTATACTTATACTTATACTTATACTTATACTTATACTTATACTTATACTTATACTTATACTTATACTTATACTTATACTTATACTTATACTTATACTTATACTTATACTTATACTTATACTTATACTTATACTTATACTTATACTTATACTTATACTTATACTTATACTTATACTTATACTTATACTTATACTTATACTTATACTTATACTTATACTTATACTTATACTTATACTTATACTTATACTTATACTTATACTTATACTTATACTTATACTTATACTTATACTTATATTTATACTTATACTTATACTTATACTTATACTTATACTTATACTTATACTTATACTTATACTTATACTTATACTTATACTTATACTTATACTTATACTTATACTTATACTTATACTTATACTTATACTTATACTTATACTTATACTTATACTTATACTTATACTTATACTTATACTTATACTTATACTTATACTTATACTTATACTTATACTTATACTTATACTTATACTTATACTTATACTTATACTTATACTTATACTTATACTTTATACTTATAACTTACTTATACTTATACTTATACTTATACTTATACTTATACTTATACTTATACTTATACTTATACTTATACTTATACTTATACTTATACTTATACTTATACTTATACTTATACTTATACTTATACTTATACTTATACTTATACTTATACTTATACTTATACTTATACTTATACTTATACTTATACTTATACTTATACTTATACTTATACTTATACTTATACTTATACTTATACTTATACTTATACTTATACTTATACTTATACTTATACTTATACTTATACTTATACTTATACTTATACTTATACTTATACTTATACTTATACTTATACTTATACTTATACTTATACTTATACTTATACTTATACTTATACTTATACTTATACTTATACTTATACTTATACTTATACTTATTCTTATTATCAGCACCCAGCATATTTACTATCTTCAAGTCTTAAATATTACAATATAGTTTAATTATAAGTCAAGTAAGAGCATATATAAAATAAGTACCACTTATAATATCCACAAAAACATATTGGCCACAGACCTTTTAAGTCAAGCAAAATATTGGCATCGCAAGGTTTTCAAGACGAAGAATCAAAAATTGTTGTATTTTTACATTTATTTATTTTTAAAATGCAATTACTGATTACACTCTCATAAATAAAAAACGAATATATAAAAATATGAATAAGTTTATACAGATATTAAACTGAAGTTTAGAAAAAACGCTTGAGCAATAGATACATCAGCATCGGAACTGCAAAGTATTGGCTGGTGAATTCAAATTTTTGTTTTTTGACAATTTATTCGTATTTGTTATTTTATTTTGTGTTTATTCACAATTTAGCTTTCTGATTTGGGAGGCTATGGGTTTTATAAAAACACTTTCTTCACGCAGTTACTGAAGTACTCGGGAGTAGGTTCATTTTATTGCCGGAAATATATTTCCTGTTTCCGCTCTAAAATTGAGACACGCTGTATTGAATTTAAAGCTTAAATTAGAAGTGAACTCCTAATTTAACATTTTAAAGTAAATTTTTATATTTGAGTTTTTTTCAATCGCTCCTAAATTTATTTCATTGATGAAAATTTAAACTATCTACCTTTAGTTATTATTTAACAAAATTTAATAAGTAAGTTCACTATGTGGAGTTAACAACTAATTCTTCAAAGAGCAATCAATAAATATACTCGTATACATCGTTAACTAATATATGTTTTAAAACATTGCACTTAATTATTAATTGCTAAATGATTAACGTGTTAATAATTTTTGCTAATAATATTCGAATTTATTGACAAAACATCATCAAAATCATTAATATCAAAATAGAGTAATATTAAAGAGCGGACTAATCCAAACAATTTAAATTTCTACTTTTAAATACGAAACATCTACAACTGAGGATATTATAGCCTCTTATAGAAATAATTTCTTCAATTTTTTATTTGCTCAGACACTTGCAATACTGATCTGCTTGGAGTACATACATGGATTAATTTTCATGACAGCAATAAATAGTCATCGGCTCATATCATTCAGGATGTTTACCCTCAATTCTATTCAGAAAATCATGGTCAGCTTTTACGAAAGATTTTCCTCGCCAGAAAAAACGAACTAGCACAACAGGCCCACATAGACCTGTTTTGCATTTTTTAGACCCTAGACCCTAATGCTGATATACATATGCCATTGAAAATAATAATATTGGTTGGTAGGTTGCATATAACTTCTATGTACCACATTCTTCGCAAGAACTCTAGTATAGAAGAGTAGAGACTAATCCATACCGCCAAATTTAGATAATTTAATAGGTCTTTCGTCTTAACCGATGAACAGTCTGATAAATTGATGGTTTAGTAGTTTAGAAGTCTCTTCCTAAGAACATATAAATTATAATAATATTTATAGTCTTATATTTATTTATATATGAATAAAAATATATAATATTATTTTATTACAGTGGTCATTGCTAATCAACAAATGCGTTCTACAACTAATCTGCTAATTATAAATCTTGCCGTATCCGATATTCTTTTTGTTACATTTTGCGTACCGTTCACAGCAACTGATTACGTACTGCCAGAGTGGCCATTTGGAAATGTATGGTGCAAATTCGTACAGTACATGATTGTAGTGACGTGTCATTGTAGTGTTTACACTCTAGTACTTATGTCTTTTGACCGATTTTTGGCTGTAGTACATCCTGTCACTAGTATGTCTTTACGTACGGAGAAGAATGCTATGTTGTAAGTATCTTATCTGTCTTATGATCTTATATATGATATATATAAAAGAATTCAATAACAATTTTGCCGTATAAACTGATGTTACATTATTAATTTCGATGATATTAAAAATTATTTAACATACTATAATTGTTATATATCTTTTCCTTATAACACTATAGAGCAATATTTTTAGCCTGGGTTTTAATAGTAACTACAGCTGTTCCAGTCGCATTGGCACATGCAGTACGTATTTACCAATTTCGCGGACATAATTATACTGCTTGTGTATTTTCTACAGAAGAGGAAATATGGAGCTTACTCGGTTTTCAGGCAAGTAAAGATAAAACATGCTTCAGCAAAGAACATAGAAAAAAAATACAGATAATTTATAATTTCTATCTAGCTTAAAGCTATATCCTGTGTAATATAGTTAACGTACTTGTGATATGTCTTTGAGACTGCATCTATCGTTGTACTATTGTATCTTCCCCTTTCTGGATTCACTGAAGCTTTTCTTTTACTTTAGCTATATCAAGAAAAGTTTTTATTTTTTCTACATTCGTGAGTCAGTAGTATATAAATTTTAACAACACTTTAATGATATATAGGGATATTTCTGAATCTAACATACTTCATATAAATTCGTTGGTTACTGATAGCTTTAGCCAGTTCATTTGCCAGTTAATTGCTACATAAGGCTTAATTGCTCCAGTGTAAAATTAATTCATTCATTGACTGCAAATATTTTAGTTTGGAATACTGAAGCTATTCTTGCTAGACTGATAAAAATTTAATACTCTGGGTTTTAGATTCTTGAGCTTTGGCCTTGTTTAGTTTTAAAGCAATCTGTAGTATTGATTCTATTCTTTTCCACCCGATTCAATGTGGTATAATAGTGACATATTTCCTGATTATTATGAATTTTGGGGATCATGTGATCTAGAGGCATCTCAAAGTCTTTAACTTGTTTTAATTTAACCAACAAGCATAGATGTCTTTTGCTAATCACTCGATCTTTGTTTACTAGATCACTGGCATATAATCTGTATACACTGTTGAATGCTTCAATCTGAACTTTGCTGATCTTATGGGCATAATGGCTAATAAGATATTTAGCACTACTGTTAAAGTTATGCTTAGACAAGCAATTACTAATCTCTGTATCATGCCAAGTTTGCTAGCAGTGGTAGTTTCCAGAATATTTTTCCACCAAATTAGTGTCTCACACGTCTTGTCCGTAAAATAACTATAAAATACAATCTACTCAACTTCATAATTAGTGTTGTTAAAAAAACATCTCATGTACCTCAATCAACCTTACTAGTTTGGAAGTGCAATTACAATATGGTAGATCAACTCTTTTAATAATCTCTTTTTCTACAGAGGGGGTTATATATAGTCGATAACTAAAGGTCGATGTCTGAAATATCTTCGCAGCATCGCCTAAGTGTAGAAAGTGTAGAAACTCCGGCTTCTTTGTTTTTTTTGGATTTAATAAAAAGCGTTCGTACTTTCTTTCTCAAATTGGTTAGGTGCTTGTTTCTCCAAAGATTTTGCTTTTTAAAAATTTTACTTTTAATAAGACAATTTTTTTCAAATGCAATTATTACGAATTCTTTGAGTAATATTGATACCGTTTCCAATCTGTCTATTTACTTCCAATCCGTATCTAGTATATTTTGTAGATTATTACTGGTAGTAGAAACTGGTAGTAGAAACTGTTCTAGTCGGTTTCTCTTTTGGGTCTAATGATAATGTTGTGAGTTCCCTGTATGGCATATACCCTAATTGAAAGCGTTTGTTTCTGTAGCCAGAACACGATGATTCAGTACATTTTCTGAAATGGTAAAGGAGATATTAATTACTTTCTATCTTACTACTTTGACGAAATGACTGCTATCTACAAATATTCGTTACACATATTCGAGACTGGAGACAATATAGAGTTAAAAAGTGATTCACCTTTGAAGTTGATATTGATACTAGCATTACTTATTTGGTTGAACAATGCGAAATAAAGTGCGGCCATATTAAATGCCACAACTATTCTTAAGTAGATAGTGGAACTTATCAACATGCATCTGAAACCACTCAGTTATTATATGCATGTTTATCTGATAGGATAACATAACCTGTGCTGCCGTACCAACCTGTGTTGCTGTACAAACCTGTGGTATATCTATCTGGGATAACAGAGGGATTATCTGATCTACTACTTTTTATCGTATTTTGTTCTTTAAACTTCCTAATTAAAATACTGAATTTTTGTTAATTTTTTTTAGGTTTCATTCTTCTTGTCTTCATACGTAGCTCCCTTAACCCTGATTTGCTTTTTATATATGGGTATGTTAGCGCGCTTATGGAAAACTGCACCTGGCTGTAAGCCTTCAGCAGAATCACGGTAAATATGATGAAATTTATTTTATATATACATTTTTCTTATATTATAATAATAAATTTAGAAAAGGAAAGCGCCGAGTAACTAGAATGGTTGTTGTTGTGGTGTTAGCGTTTGCAATATGTTGGCTTCCAATACACGTAAGTATAAGCTCGTTCTTGTTATAACTATATATAACTATTTACTATATTTATATGATGAAAATTGTCAATTTGATATACCTACATACACCAATCACGCGATTGTTTTATTTTTGATAAATATTAATTATTAACAAAACTTAATTACATTTAGAGCCTGTTTGAATCAGGCAATATTGGAGATAAGGAAGTTTTAGGATACATTATACATTTCCGTATGATGTATAAACACTATACATTTCCGGATATATTAAAAATGAGCGACATTAATTTATTATTTATGCATATACATATATATAAGGACTCGTTGTCGTTGTAGTCCGACAATAAAATAAATTTTATATTTTTATTTATTTACTCGTTCATATTATTTTCTTTTTCTTTGATTTACTTTTGTAAAATTGCGCGGTAAACAGAATAGTATCGTAAGAATAACATCAATTTCGATATTAAACATGCAGGAATATATATATCTCATTACTCGCGACAATTTACGAACTCATTATACACTGTAAACAGTCCTATAACAGTGCGTTGAAAGCTCCTACTGTGCACATACTGTAAATTTAAATTAAATAACTTTTTGAGCTGATCTCAGTTCAGATATTTTGAAAAGATAACAATTGAACTCTTTTAAATTACTTTTCAGGTCATTCTTGTTTTAAAAGCTTTAGGCATGTACAGCAGTACTCATGTAAATGTGATAATACAAATAATTTCCCATGTGTTGGCATATACTAACTCATGCATTAATCCGATACTATATGCTTTTCTATCAGACAACTTTCGGAAAGCGTTTAGAAAGGTATAGATAAAGAAGGTCTAATTAACTTATTTAGTAAATAATACAATTTATTTAGATCGTCTGGTGTGGAAGTCCTCCACTTGTTATAACAAATCAACAAATTACTAAGACCACTCGCACTACTGGAAACGGAGCTTCTAACATAGACATGCTGTAATTGAACGTTTATATTAAGAAATTTAATATTAAATAAATTTGAAACTAATATAATTTGAAATCCTTGTGCAAAACTGTATATATATTATTATATTATTATTAGAACGTAAGATTAGACCAAATTTCAATTAGCATCGGGCATCAATAATTTTTCTAAATGTCAGTTTTCGTACGAATTAACATATATTAATTGTAAGATAATGTTTAGAAAAAAACCAAATGTTTGTGTATTTTGTTAACTTTCATTTATTTTAATAATTGATAAATACAAGTATTTTATGATAACATAAAATGAAAATATTTAAGCGTATCAAAGTAAAATAATTATAAAATAATGCTTCAGATTAAATTTTGAATTAAAAAATATTTTAGGTCAATTTACTTTTAATTTGTTAAAAATAATTAAGTATTATACTCCCTTGTGTGATCGCTTGCTAAAATTAGCATTTGCGCATTTTTCTCTGGACAAAGTACGTTTGTTGCCAACGGCCCGCGCCTATTATAATTTGTGTAGATCATGATACTTTTTTACATAGATAAAAATATCTGTAATGAGCTTTTATCAGAACTATTATACCATTGCCAAGCGGATTGTTTGTTACTGTAGCAGTCCATATTTAAAACTCCAAGAATTCTTCTTTCAATAAGAATTAAGTTACCAAGGACAAAGAACGAAGACTGATTGCGGGAAATTGGAATAATATGGATAGTTATGGATCGGAGTAAATGTGTTGATGGAGACTAGAAATTGAATCAATCTAATATATAGGATCAAGTTTGCCGTATCAATATGGTGGAGTTACAAATCACATTTAAATTACCATCTGCGGCGTCTTCTGATCTTTTCACAAGTTAGTAATGCTAGATAAGCAGTCAACAAACGATTTCAACATGCTACTCAGACTTTTCAACTTGCCTTACTCCATTGTAGAGTATGTAAGCGCTCTATTTAAAACGTTGTTAAGTATTTTCATATTGTTTTTCTCGGGAATCACCAATAGAATTAAGCATGGTGTTAGTCCTATTTCCGAAAAAAAATGCCTACTGCGAAAATTGTGAAGTTAGTAGTCTATGTCTTGTGGTCCTGACCTATGGTAAAGATTGTGCAATTCTCTATATATGTCATGTCTCTAATTTGTGCTGTAATCAAGAATTTCAGATGTATAAATCTGAAACAGAAACAATGGTTTCTGTTAATTAACTAATCATTAATTAACTCGATAATTTGAAACTTATTTTATTCAAACGATTTTGAGCTCATTTTAGTGTTAAAACTATACTTCCGTTTTTATCATATGAGTAATGATTTCATGAAATAGAAATAAAGCAGTAGAGGTATTAATTTTTTATTTATATAGATGTCTCTTCTTGAAACATAATTTTCATTTTCATTTTAATTTAATAGTGATATTCGGCTAGGTTATTTTTTTGTTTGTTCATAGAAAAAAAGAAAACATAATAAAAGATGACACTAAAGTAAATTTACACAGCATCGGACCACACAATGTTTATAGTGGCATAAATTGTGTTACAATAACTCGTATAACGCTAGCAGGAAGGGGAAGACCACACACTTGTAGCGTTCTGCAACAGGTATAAGCTGGTATATTCACTAATTTATTGGCTTGTTTGTTCGAAAATTGCACAAATTTAGAATATATTAATGAAGTCGTTTGTTCAAATGAGCAAAGATTTTTCACCTACGCGTCCGTAATGAGCAGGACCGATTAATTTATGATAAGAGCTTGCGCAGTACATGTTCGTGCATTGGCAGTTATGTTTGAAAATATTATGGCATTGAGTTCTAACTTTAGTCAAAACTTTACTGTTGGCTTGTTCGCTTAGTGTGGCTCTAGATTTAAAACCGTCAATAAATTCACTTGTTTCTTCCAAAGCAAAGGAATTAATATTACAACTGAAGCCAAAATATTTAATAACATGAGGTCATTTTCTTTTTGTCTGTTTTTATATATATTACAAATTGAAATCACTAGGACTGAAGATAACTTGGAATTAATTTTGCGCGAAAGGTAAGGATGTCAAATTAAATTTGTTTTTCAAGTAAATGCATTTTAATTTTAATAACTAAATAAGAAATATTATTCAACCTTAAAACTAATATATATTTAAAAATAAAATTTAAACCAAACGCAACATTTAATTATTATCTTTTACGTAAGAACACAATCTGATTGGCAAAACGTATGGCACCGCGAAACTCATTCTCGTTGCAGAGAAAAACTTGTGCAACAATTATATTGGGCCTGTGAGAAAGATATTTACCGCCTTACACGTCGCAATCGAAACAACAATGGCGAAACAGTTTCAAAGCGTGGACAACGTAATTTTCCAAGTTATATTTTGTCCTTTTATTAATTTTTTATCGATATTATAGCGTTTTACTCTTTACACTGGCTTTATGGAAATTATTCAGACAATCTAATGGTTAGAACAAGACGTATTGAAAAGGATCAGTCGATTACTAATGAATGCTGCACTAAAGCGGGTTGCACTTGGGAGGAGTATGCTGAATATTGTCCCACAAACAAGCGTCGGAATCATTATTAAAAACTTTGAACATATGTTTCAATATGCACGTATTTAAATCTATGGAAACTGCAGAACCCTCTAGATATAAAAAAAATTTGGTTTAAATTTATTTAAAATCTCTTTCTATGCATCGGATTCAGTTTAATATAACATATCCTCTTACAACATTTATTTTCAAATAAAGAAAGAGATTTGAATCGTGATTATGAACTTAATAACAGGAAATACAGTTGCTTGAAAGAAAACGTTGAATCAAGCTACATATAACGTTACGGAATATACATAATATTAAAGAATACCAAAATTTTATTTTAACTAATTAATTACCTTCCTTTTTTTTTTTATTGAAACAATACAAAAAGTACAAAAAAAAGTTTCCTATCACAGCAACTACTCATTTCTGACCAAGGAGTTTTATTCATCTTACACAGGAAGAAATAAAGCACGTTTTTAAGATTGTATAATAGGAAAGTGCTATTGCAAAAAAATTCATAATAGCATCATCTACACTCTTAAAATATAATCACATTTTCATCAATAATTGTTGCTGTTGTCAGTTTCTTAAAAATTCAATTTCTCAATCTTATATGCAATCATTTTATTCTTTAACATCTCGTTAATGGTTAATATCATTCATAATGTTTTTACTTGAACTTCCTCATTTCTTGCTTAATATAACTGCTAAATTAAATATCAATTAGTGCGTTTATTGAATTGTTGTTGTATAAGTAATATCTGTTGCTTCAATCAGATTCAAGCTTTATATCATATTTTCATTTTTTTGCTTTATACAATAAAAAAATGCTTATAAACAATTAAAAACAAATTAAGAATTATATAGTATCTCCTGTATACGTAAATTAGTTATTATAAAAGTTAATACGATAAAATTTAAAAAAATACAACACAAATTTAATAATTTATTATATTGGTAAACCCACATATATTTAATCTATCATTATAATAAATATAATATAAAACTTAAAATCTAGTAAGCAAAATTTCTTAAAAATCGGCAAACGTATTGACTTAATATGAATATTATAGTGGCGCATACAGCTTATAATTCTCGTGTTCTTTATTATATTATTTAGGTTGTTTATTAGTATAAATCGAAAATTGTAAATGTTAAACATTAACAAATAAACTCTTAGTAATAAATAGTTCCAAAAGTATTCATACAAATATTTATTTATCAAAATTATGTGCATGATATTAAAAATCCATAAGTTTAAACATGAAAACATTTCTGAAATTATAAATACTTTGATTTGTCTTCTTCATTATTTTGAAATAATTTAGCATTGCCAGTTGCAAAAAATCATCACACAAAGTTTACAACTAAAGCCGTTGATTATCTTTCAGTTTGTTATTATATTCAGTGCGAGTTTGAGTAAATTGATGGTAAATTGAGGAAAACAGTAAAATATGTCGGTATAGCAGCGAATGTTGGTATTTACCAGAATTTCGAATTGGGTAAATTAGATAAAACTTAGGTAAATTAACTGTTATTATTGTGAAAATATTATAAGATTTTAAATAAATAAATAAATATATTTAAAAAGTTTTAACCAAAAATAATATTTAAGTCCAATATATAAATTAATAAATACATATTTACATAAATGCAGTGGAAAAAATCTGTAGGAAATTTCAATTTACCTTTCCTCACTTTGCTCGAACTCGTGTACGAAAAGCTTTAAGTTAAAAAGCACAAAAACTCTTTGTACGGTTAATCAATTTCATTTTCATTTGTTTGTAATTTTAGCAGTCAAAAATTTTTATTTTGCATTGAAAGCAACAAAATTTGACATCCAAAATTATATACATGACAGCTAAAATTACGAAAAAAAATTTTCATGTGTATTTAGTATTAGCTATAATATAATAAAACCAATATTTCACACATTAAGAACAATATTTTAAACAGGTCGAATGACTGCCACGAAACATCGTACAAGATTTTGGCTGTCATTTGGAAAACACGATAAGTAAATATATATATTTGGGTTTTTCTTATATTTTCATACGACAACGTTTATCAGCTATGATATCGATGGGATATATAATTTTTTATAATTAAACCTCATGGTGTTACCATATCTTCTTTGCCTGAATGTTCTGAAAATGATTGATCAATAATTTCGATACTTTGAATCAGAGAATATCTTTGTTTTGAATTGTTATTAAAATGTTAAAAAAAATTTATGGAATGTTAGTATTCGAAAAAATCGTTAATGTATTATAGAGGTTAATGCGAGCTGATTTAGTACACCCGTTTACCAGTCTCTACATCATTTTAAATTTTTATAACACAAGTTTAACAAATTTAGTTAATTTAATGTGGCAACGTCAATATTGACAATTCGATAGTATAAAAAAAAAAATAAATGGACGCCGTAGTCAAAGCAGGACGTTTGTGTAGTTTTTTAAGTCAGATATAAAAAATCTGACGCAAATCGTGCAAAATATAACTATATAAACTGCTTTTCAGTGACTATACTTTTAATAAATAAAATTTTCCTATAAGTGTTCATAAATTTATTTAAACCGCCATTTGTTCCTGGGGCTTTCAAGTGAAACCAATGATCTGGATGGTCAATCAAAAATTTGTAGGAAAAAGTTACATATATTATTTTCATCGGTTTAAAATAAATTCAACGTTTAAATAACAGGACGATGTATGCCAATAAATTTAAAATGTTTTTTTTCGAGATCTAATGTTTTATTGCGTTATATAATTTTTGTAGTGAAACTTTATAATTTAAGTTCAAAGTGATGTGTTTGCGATATCATTTAATCTCCAAATACAACAGACTATTCTATTAATTAGACGAACATGTCAAATCCATATTCTTCAACTAACACGAATTCAACAACCGGTCATACACGACAAGTCTCCCAACAGAACAATTTATATACATCAACTAATACAATTCCTGCTTCTGTCGTTACAAATGCATTCTTAAACACAAGCATGCATAACACTGGAACTGTACCCAAAGAAAAGCAGATTAAAAATATCCGGAATGTGCAAACTCGAAAACCTCCTCCTACAATTGACACATTTTGGCCATGTATTTTGTCTGATGTCCGCGGTATTCAACAAGTCGATGCTAAACATCAAGCTCTACCACTTGCACGTATAAAAAAAATTATGAAACTAGATGAGAACGCCAAAATGATTGCTGCAGAAGCACCTTTGTTATTTGCGAAAGCTTGTGAATACTTTATTCAAGAGCTAACAATGCGAGCATGGATTCATACTGAAGAAAGTAAGCGGCGTACTTTGCAAAGATCTGACATTGCACAAGCGATAGCTAATTATGACCAATTTGACTTTCTAATCGATATTGTACCTCGGGAGGATATAAAACCTAGTACGGGAAATCAGAAAAAAGAAACGCATCTGCCAAGTTCCACTAGCGGTAGCACAGCTACAAACGTTACAACGGCCAATAGTGCGGTTAAAACGGAGCACGAAACAATAAACTATAATACAGTTACACCAGAAACATTACCGACTGGACCAAACCAGCAACCGCAATTACAAATATTACAACATCCATCGTCGCAACCACAACCTATGCAATATTTTATTACAATTCCAGGGCAACAATCGGGACAATCACAATTAGTACAGCAATTACAATTGCAACAATTACAAAACTCTGCATCGCCACAGTTAACTGGACTTAACTTGGTAACTCAGCAACCACAACAATTAATACTTACAGCTGGACCTAATGGTCAACTTACAGCCACACCAGCAACAACAGCAGCTATACAACAGCAGCAACAATCGGCGTTGCTACAGAATTTAGCTCAACAACAACAGCATATTCAACTTCTTCAGCAAGTTGTTACCCCAACAGGCGAATTAACAAATGTACCTGTGAGTACACATTAACGTTTTCAGTAAATGTATATATTTAACTTGTTTTTACTAGATAACCATTAATGCAAATCAATTGAATTTATTGCGTCTGCAAATGCAACAACAACAACAGCCACAACAGCAACAAATTATTTTGCCAACACAATTACTTTCCACTCCACAGCTGTTACAGTTGCAAAATTCTGCAAATACAACAAATACAAACAACAACACTTCGTCACATGCATTTCAATTACAACACAATCAGCAACAAAGTTCTGGAGGTACAAGTATATATCTAAATAATCCCCAAACAACTCAAACAGTGTCCGCACATCAAACAAACACAACATTAAGTACAGATCGCAACTTGGGTTCCTCATTTCGAACTAATTGCTAACCTTCGGTGTATCAGTACAACACACCATTGGCCACTTTATTGTAACAAAAAAGAACCTGTTTCTTTGGCTATACTCTAAATATACCGATATAAACATATCGTCAGTAATACCTCATTTATGATGTTTGTTTTATGTAACCTATTTATTTGATATATAAATTTTGTGTTATCAAAAATATATAAAAATGATTTAATATTCAGCCTAGTGCAAATGTGAAAAATTGTAAAAATCTTCTATACTATTTATTTTAATTTAATAATATAATATAATTTACCTGTCCAATTATTATCAGAGTATACTTGCTGGCAATGTGAATCTCTGTAAATGTAATGACGTTTTTCTAGTTCCACCGACAACGTTCTTATGTATACATTAATTTCGTTTCCTGTAAGTTTTTTGAATAGATTTCAGTTTATACGATTTATAATTAATGAAAATGTAAGAACAGTTGTTTATTTAGATGAAAATGTCGAAACACGAAATTAAAACAAGAAAATGAATCCTTATTTTTTTTCATGTTAAGCACATGCCAACTATTTTGTATATTATATTTAAAATATTAAACATTTAAATTATTTTTGCCATTCATGTGCATTGTCCGTAAGATGAATGCATGATATTTTGGTTGAGAAAAGATAATCATCTAGCCTGCTACTTGTGTATTTCATGACACAAGCTTTAATCCACTTAAGATATAAAATTTAATATTAGATAAGTTAGTTTTAGTATAAAACGAACATTAATTTTTTTCCTCATATCTATACCTGTTAAGTTTTTCATCTGAAGAACGTCAAAAATATAAATGAATGTAAAATTCAGTTGCAATAACAAAATAAAATGAAATAATTTTGTAATAATTAACAATTTTAATATTCAAAACAATATATCATTTAATTTATTAACAATTTTAATATTCCAAACAATATATCGTTTAATTTATTAATTATACCAAAATTTTGTAAATTATGTAAATAATTAAAGTAATAAAATAAACAGTTTTGTTAAAATTGTTTTATAATTTTTTAAAGTGATGAAATAATAATTATACTTATAATTACTTATCGTAAGATTGAAAAGGCAGCTTCTCAATAATTTTTCATAAATATATATTTTATAATATTAAATTTATTTTAATTTAAAAATTACTGGCTACGCTAAAATAATATAAAAATGTGGTTTTATTTTTTTCAGTAATGACAATTCAAATTAATTCCCAAAGAATTAGACAAAACACTGCATGTAAAATTCTAATTATTTTTTATGTTTATAAAAAATATACATTAAACTAAATGTAATATATAAATGCTGAAATATTTTACATTATTGCTTTTTTATTTAGAGCTGAAAAATCATTATTTCAGAATTTCAAAATCAGTACATCATAAAATTCAAATTTTTAGTATTTTGTTTTAAATGACATTACTACGAATTCCTAAAATCGTTAGTCGTTACAAAGATTTAAGTTTGTATAAATATGTTATGGCAATCATTAGTCTTTTCGTTTTGACATTTATAATAAATTTAGACAAAAGTAAAATCTTATAAATATAATAAGTATATAAAAGGTAGGTTATTCTTAAAAAATCCGCTTCTATTAAAATTGTATTACAAAATCGTTTGGTTTTTGTAATGATGCCTTTTTTATATTTGCTTTAAAATTTTGCACAACATTCCGTGCATCTTAATATAAGAAATTTAAAAGCTGTATATTTGCTTATAAAAAATAGTAAGACTGAATTTAATATCTTAAAAAGATATATACTTTAGATAATATTTGTACAAAATATTACCATAGATATTACCAGTCTATAAAACTTTTAAATGCAGTCATTATATTATTCGCTTAATATGTATATATGTTCAGATATTACTATTTGCTTTCTATTTGTTGATAAAAAATATGTTTATGTATGATAATACGTAAAATTTATAATAAGTTATGAAATTACTTCATATAGTTGTATATTCTATTGCTTATACTAGTTTTTTTTTCTAATCTTGCCACTCATTCTCATCTACTCCTTCCATTTCATCTTGCTCCAATTTGGTATTATACTCTAGACGCGCACTAACTGCTTTTTGAATCTGAATAAAAAGTATTTTTAGACAATAAATTGTTAATATTTTATAAGTATAAACGCTAAATATTTACTTGCTGTTGTTTTGTTTTTTCGTTTTCAGTTTTTACGACAAATTGTCCAGGGTCACTTTTTTTATGTTGGCACACTTGTATAGAAGATACTAAAAATAAACAGTTAACAAATTATTATAAAGTAAATAAACAAATATTTGTTATTTAAACTGTAAAACCAGCTTATGATTAATAAATATAAGCAAAATAAATTCATTTTATAATTATTTTCATCTCATTTACTTACAAGTATCCATGCCTTTAGGCTGAAGACTAATTTTTACCACTCTCTTATCGTTAGATGCAAACCAGTCGTCAGGTGACATAATAGGCTTCCATGTAACTCGTGTTGGAGGAAATAAATCATCTTGAAATAGTTCACTCTAAAAGTAATTTACTGTAAAATTAATACCACTTAATTTATTTAGCACGATATACCTTAATACGTGGAACGGTGAAACTGAGTGGCTCAATTGTAGTATTAGTTAATCGATAGGCTTTTGAAAATTCAACATTTGCAACATCACAATGATTTTTTGAAAGAAAACTTAACCCTTGATGCAATGAATTGCAACGATGATGGGACAAAGCACATATATACGGTTCTTCATCTGTAATTTCATAACAGTAAATAGTGGAGTCCCCTTTGCCAGTAACAAACAAAGTCGAACTATCTTCATCATAAAAGGGTATAAGTATAGATGGTGAAACATCTAAACTCATTGTATTAAGTGGTGTTGATAATTTATGTACATTATATACACTTATTTGACGTTCTGATACTCTAAACAATTAGAAAATTAGATAGAGAGATACAAAAAAATATTAAATATATATTACTTATCAAATCCTGTGCAAACTATGTACTGTCCTTCCAAAGCGAATGATATTCGAGCGCCCCGGGTACCTACAGGACCATTTCCTTCGAGAATTGCAATTTCCGACTTTCGAGGATTGAAAATGCGTATTTTACCATCCTTACACACCGATGCTCCTAATTTTCCACAAGGACTCCAAGCAAAGTCAAATATTTGATCTGTATGTCCTAATAACAAACACTTTTCTTCCATTGTATGTAAATTCCATATTTTTATAGTCATATCATAACTAGCGGTTAGTAATATATCTTCAGCTAATGGGTGAAATCTAATAAAATATATTTTGTCGAAATGAGCTACTAATTCTTTTTCATGAGCATTTGTAGGTTCTTTAAGACCACCATCATTAATATACCAAAGTTTGACAATGCCATCATCACAAGCTACTGCTAATCTTTTTGGATTAAAAGGATCCCACTGGAAATCCATGATATTATTTCCATTTACAAGAGATGGTATTACACCATCTGGCAGCCTTCCAGGCTGATTTAATTCAAAAATTGCTATTTTACCACCAGGCCCTGACAATGGTACTGCAACACGTTCATGATTTGCATGAAAACCATTACATTCTCCAGGTATTTGACGGCTAATATTACGAACATTCTCAATGTGTGTTGATTTGTGTCCAGGTGTGCCTTTCAAATGACGAAATTTCGAAACCCTACCGAAAACAGTCGATGTACGTTTAGTTGATGTTGTTATAGAAACATCGGTTGACGATTTCTTTATAATTCCACTTTCATTCAAAATATTTTTACGACGTTCTTCAGATAGTTTATCTTCTGGAACAGATATACGCTTTCCCTCTCCAGCATTTGTAATATAATTTTGATTGTTAGATGTTAAGTTTGCACTTTCAACTTTTGAGCTTTCGCGCCTTCTATAAATTTAAAATTAGAATGTTTTTTTCATATTTACAGCAAATTATTAATTTGAATTGATTTGTTATATGATACTAATTTATAATTTTTATTCATTTTATTAAATACATTTAAAATTTTTAATAAACTTACAATGGAACTGGAGAATGCATAGTTTTCTCTTCAATAGTACTCTTTGAACGATTCTCATACAAGCGGCGACGTTCTGCAATACTACTACGAGTTGTTGACAATCGTCTTAGATCAGCATCAGGTTTATCTTCACCCTCTGTGGAATTTTCTGATGACTCAGAGTTATTTTGTTCAAATATCTATAAAAACAAAACAAAAATAACAAAAAAGTTATATATAAATACCACATATTCTAAAAATAAAACAACCTTTTCTGTTGATTTAGTAAAGTCAGTTGAAGACTATCACCGCAATACACATAAGAAGCACGACGAAATAATTTAGGATATTTTTTTGTTAGTAAATAAACGATAATAAAGTCATTTTGTTATAATTTATTTATATAACTAAAATTTGTTTAGTTTCATACCTTTCTCCGTTCTGAAGTTGTTAGAGATTTTTCAATTTCATTTTTTTCATAGTCGTTCAACGGTTCTGCAAATTAATTATTAAATTATTATTGTAAGTAATTTAAAATAAATTATTATTAAATTTATTATATGTAATAATAAATAGGGACTAAATGTCTAATGCCTAAAATGAAACCCTCATTTTTTAACAGAACATTTTTCATTCTCTCCACAAAGTATAATTAAACATTTTCATACGAAAAGTTTAATACCAAAAGAAATTGGAGCCATATTGAATAATATTGAACCATATTGAAAGCAGATTAAGCATTTGCTTCAGCTCACTTAAAGGCAGACTAAATCAACAACAGCATCCTTGGACAAATTACAATATTCAGAGTACTAGAACAAGTTAAATCTAAAGATTCGACTATATTCAGAAACAAAAATGAATCAATAAAAAAAATATATAATTTACTTCATATCAACTTGCCTTTACCAAACAGATGTAAAATGTGGATTTACATGTGGAATATCTTGTATATGAACTTATAAATTGTATCAAACATCACATACTTATATAGTATAATCGATAATGCTAAAATTAACAATAGCTCAATTTACTGCTACAGTACTTATAATGCATTAATATGCTTTTATAAACTTTTAATATACAAAGTTTCGATGTGATTCAAAAATTATTATAAAGATTTTAATTAATACCAATAACGTACAAATTATATTGATTTTAATCAAGATTTGTGTAATATCTCATAAAACTTACTTTTAATTTCAATTTCAACAATTAAATCTGGTTTAGTTTGGTTATATTGACCGACGTTAATGTTTAACGATTCCAAATGATGAATATTTTCAAGCGAACCAGGTGCAACGGGAACTGAAAACACTTTGTCAAACGTAACATCACCGGAAGTACATGAAAATGGTTTTGGTCCGAGTCGAGGCTTTAAAGAAAATAAATACGTATATATAGATCTAAGATAAAATTATTATAATAACTATTTTAAATCTATCTATAATGCATAATCAAACTGAAATATATACATTTGTAAAAATCTAACAACTATTTGTATATATATACATATATATACAGCACATACTCTTTAATAAGTCGGTGATAAGTGTGCTGAGCTTTAAAATATTTTACTGGCTTTGATTAACCATAACCTTTAAAAGGTAAACATTTCTGGAAATAAAGGCTGAAAAGCGATATGCAGACTGCACAATTCTATGAACAGATTCAGAAATGGTTTATAGAGTTTTGTTTGGTACTCAGCAAACATGTTAAGTCACCAGTCCCCAACGCGAGTTTCAACTCCTAATTTTATGAACAAAACCATAATATAGTGATAGAGTATCACTGAATAAAAATGTACAAGATTGGTAATGTGATTACAATCACTAATGAATGCATTCAATAAATTTTGGAAAAACATTTGCATATGAAAAAGTCGGCAAGATGGGTGCCGTATGTATTCATTATAGATTAAAAAACATGCCCGTGTAAGCACTTCCAAACAATATTTGTAAATATTTCAGCGTACCTCAAGAGGTCCTGCGTCGATTTAAATATCATTATGCTCTGAAAACGAAAAAAAAAACAATAAAACTGTCTTATGAAGATATACCATCAGTGTCGAAGGTAATAGCTTCTGGCATTTTAATGACTATGTCAAAAAAGGTAAAAAAAGCAGCGTAAACGACGCTTTTATATAGACTAAAATGGATTATGTTGAAATATACATACATAGGTATATTTAAAAACAAGAAAATAATACTCCTCTTAGTTTTATAACCGACTCATCAAAGAGCACTCGTGCAACACAAATAAAACGTACAAATTATAAAAGGATATACATATATAGAGGATGTATGTTTAAAAAATAAAAACCCTTAACCTCAGTTAATAATAAGGGCACATGTGCATTGCATTTAAATGAAAAAGTAATGGATTCAGACATTGAAGAAATCTTCAGTTATAATTAAATAATAAACATTTGTCAATCGCTTAACTGCAAACACAAGAAAACACAAAAACATAAATTTAATGAAGTTAAAAAAGCAGCAGGAAACATACACACATAATACATATGTATTGATTCTGACACATCAAATATTAAAGAGCGAAATCTGTCCACTGATCTCAAGCCACATTCATCGTTATTATTGTACTTCTTGATTTGAATAAAAGCAAAAAGAATTTCACATTTTTGTCATCAGGCATTTTGTCAAATCAGACATCTTCAATGTCAAAAACATAAAAAAGTGACGGATTAAAGTAAAAGACATAAATGAAATAACAATTTTATAACAATCTAAAAAATATATAATCATTCCATGCAGAAAATCCGTGGCACACCTTGTATGATGAAATAGCAGCTATTCGCGGACGAGGTGTAGGTATGACATCATCAGAGCTTAGATGTACCGCATCGGGCAATGAGTTATTGCGCGATGTACGCGGCATGGGCTTCGGTGGAATAGTTGCACTGCTGTTGCTGTCCAATTGAAGTTGATATAATAGATTTGTAGAATTTATTTGTTCGTTTTCGCATTCAAGGGATATATCTGCAATTGATTCCTGATTGGATCTACTATTGTCTTTTTCAGAATCCGTTTTATATTTAGACTCATTTGTTTTTCTTGTATCATTTTTAGAGATTAAAAAACTCACATCATCCGTTTCGCTTTTTTTATCAACTTTTTTTTCATATTGCAGTAATTTTTTATCATTAATATGTTCATTGCTACATTGAAATCCATTGCAATTTATTGAAGTTACTGCCTTAGATAAGATAATATCTTTATTGCTAATATTTTCAATATTTTTCTTAAACTCATTTAAGTTTCCTCGATGTATCTTGATTTCATTATTTTTCACATAGTTACATTATATTAGTTATGTTAGAAAGAAAGACAAATATACAAAACATCAAATAAATAACAAACAAATTTATAGAATTATAAATAAGGAACATCTATTAACCCATTTAATATAAAAAATTAAATAAAGGCACTTACAACAATTGGAGCGTCTCCAAATGTACGTTTTCCGGGGTCTAAGCTTATTTTTGGTACTGATAAGTTATTACCATTAAACCATTCAACAGCATTTAATTCAGTTTTATAACCTGAAGTTTCTGGATATAAATCACTATGAAAATCTCTGTATGTCTACAAAACACAAAAAAAAAATAATAAGACTAATATATAATGGCTATAAAAAATTAAATCCAACGTACTTTTCTTGGTACTTGATACATTATAGGAATAACCATATTTGAAGTTAATTGTAAAATGCGGTTAACTTCTCCTTCCATCACTTTTAATGCGCGTTTCGGCACTAAACATGCTCCCTTAGTTTGTTCACCAGTATGACGTAAACCTTCAATAAGGAATGGCTCCTTTTCTGTAACCTCTAGATAGTTAATAGTTGTATCGCCCTTGCCAGCTAAAAATAACATATTTGTATCAGGATCATAAAGAGGTATTAATATTCCGGTAGAGCAATCCAACTCTAATGTCTTCTCCGGCACTGTAAAGTTGCGCAAGTCCCTTATTATAACTTGACGCAATCTAGCCGCATCAAAACCTGTACTAAGTATTCGATTTTGATCACCTAACCAAACTACTCGAGAATCCTTAATACTTTGATGCGACTCAGTAAATAATTTTATTGGTGAAGAATCCGTGCGAACATCCAAAATGCGAATAATTTTATCTTTACTACTTGTTGCTAATAAAGTTCCATCTTGCTTCCAGCTAGCGGATTGAATAACATCTGTATGTTCATTGTTGGCTTTACAAGAAAAGTATGAAAAATATAAACATAATTATAGGACTAATAGTTATTATAAAGCATATAAGTATATCTTACAATATAATTCAGATTGTGTTGTAATATCAAATAAAGTGACACAACCAGCTGCAGTGGAATATAAAAGACCATCAGCAGTCGGATGAAAACCAACAGTTTCGACACGACGTTGTTTATGTGAAAAAACGCATTCTGGATCAGATAAAGACACTTCCAATCCTTTTTCAGGAATGTGCCACAATTTAACCTTTATAAAATAATGTGTTTTTAATAAATAAAATACTAATTTTGATCAATATTACCAAACAATCTTGCGAAGCTGTTGCCAGTAATCCGTCATGAAAAGGTGAAAATTCTAAATCAGTAACAGTGTCTGTATGAGCTTGTAGTAATGGCATAGTCTTGCTCTTACGACCGCAATCATCAAGAGGAAGTACAGCAACACTTGCACCTGTGTGTTCCCAGTTAAAAGCCATAAATGCTGCCGATGCGGCAATGTTGTTGCCGAATGTTTGATAAGAACCAACACATATGTCACGTATACATGATTCTGGTTTTGGTACAATAGGTGCAGCATTTTTATATTTTGAAGCCTTAAACCTCCAAGCCATGATTGATTGTTGTAAGAAGTTATACTAAAATATGCAAAATGTATTAAAAAATTCCACATATGTATGTAAATATATATATACCTATGTATATGTCTACAAATATCTTATGGTATTAAGTAATTTTTCATTCAAGGGTTGAAGTTTCGAAAGAATTGATTTATTTTAACCACCACATATAAATAAGTTTAACAAACGTTCTAAAACACTGAAAGTGAATAAAGTTTTCAAAATATACATATGTGTACAATAAATATGCAGATCATTAAGAAATCAAATTAAATATTTTAAAACGGCTTTTTCCTCAAGTAAAATCATGCGCTTTGCGAACCCATTGAAGCGTCTTTATAAAAAATGAATTATTATTAAGCTTTAGATATAATAAATTAAACTGAATATTATACAATTATTACAATATCAATATCGAAACAAAAAAATATCTAAAAAATATTTTTAACACTTTCATTTCTTGTAGCTAAAACTATTGAAATATTGTAATTAAATTTATTAATATTCTTATTTAGAAAAGTACTAGATTCGATAAGTTAGATTATATTCTAAAAGAGGTATTATACAAAAGAGAAACCATTACTGTATTTATTGTTGTTTATTTTACAATCATTGAAACGACTTGATTCACTTTGGAATGTCTGATTTCTTTTCAAGTCAGAGCTAAGTTGCAATTTCAACGCAAATTTCAAACAACACAATTATCTTAAATTCTTTGCTAAATTTATTGCAAAAATTAGCATAAACAATATGAACAGCCACTTTTTAACTTCTATTCATCTATTCACTTATCAAATATTGAATCATCATTTTCAAAACAATTCGTCCAATTTACACTTTCTCTCAGTTGCGGTAAGCAACGCTAAGCCGAATACCAAACACACCCTTTTTTTGTGCAACCACAAAAGCATCAGAAATATCGATAAACTCGATTTATGAAACACAGGATTAAATATTTTACAATACAGGATTCGATTTTCACACCTTAATTATATCTTATGATACTTTATCCTTTGATTGTCAAAAATGTAAAAATATTTTTGCAAATTCTTTATGAGTTTATATTTTTTTATAGAATAAAAACTAAATTCAGTCAAATTTTTATTTTTATTAATAAGAAAAAATTATACATTCTTATTCATTTGTATAATTAATTTCTATAATTTTAGTCAAAAATTTAAACATCCAGTTTTCAACATATTCACTACACAATCGCCGTCGAACACTGAGAAAGAAAGAAATGCAATCGATAAATCGCCCTTATCTTTGCACAGAGTGACCATGCAACTCTAAACATTACTCATGGTTAACTAACATAGACTAATTGGTTAAATTATTACTGTATTTTCATACATTTTTTTTTATTATTATTTTTTATTATTATTTTTAATAAAATTATTAGAATATTTTAACATATTCAAATAACGCGTTAAATATCATAATAAATTTTTCTGTTACCTTTTTCGTTTTTTATGCAGATTTATTCATCACAATCCTTCATCACAATATTATTTTTGATGATTGTATCAATTTAATTAGATACCTTTCTCTTTTTGGTGAAATTAATAACATTTGTCGAAAATTTACACCTGTTAATATAATTTATCATGTAGAAATATATCTATGTATATAATAATAAAAAAAATTAGGTTTTTTAAAAATTTTCTTCATTCCAGATTATTGTACCATATTATATGACGATTAAACTATGATTATCCGAAGTATAATGCTATCGAAAATAAATCAAAATGAAACTTTAACTAAAATCAATATCTGACAGCTTGCACTCTCGGGATCACCGATTCGATATTCAACCATAAGTAGTTGAGAGCACTAACCAACAGTTGTTATTTAATTTAATAACTGAAAATAACCTTTCGAGTATGTCGGACCAGCTTCCTGAATTATACGCATTTTATAGCTTCCGGTTCTGTTTTTTTAATCGAAATTGACAGTAAAATTCTTCTCGGGGATTTTAATGCAAAGATCGCAAGAGAAGAAATCTGTGGTCCAACTGTCATTTAGCCTCCACACTGTGATTCCTACACTGTGATATTCATAAGGTAACGTGGCTATTTCCCGACCAATCAACACGAAACCAGATTGATCATTTCGTGATTGACGCAAGGCTAGCTTCAAGTGTGGTAGACGTATGTTCATTCCGAGGTCCAAATATCGACTCAGACCACTACCTTGTCGCAGCCAAGGTACGCATACGGCTTAGTACCGCCAACAACGTATGTTCCCGTGTGCAGAAAAAATTAGATGTCGGTAAGCTGCGATCACGAGAGACAGCCAAAGTCTTCGCCGCTCAACTCTCTAGCCGATTAAACAACCAACGCTCTCGTCCCAATAACGCCAGCAGACAATGTGGACATATCTCTCACTACCTACGGAAGATATTTTTGGTTTCTAAGGTCCCCCGCGACGAAACCATTGGTACGACGAGGAGTGTCGCCAAACCACTGCTGCAAAGAACGCGCCCTATAAAAGAACGCTGCAGTTAGCAGCAACGCAAACTGTGGCTGAACAATATCGGGAGATGTGGAATGTAGAGAGGCACCTATTCGAACGGAAGAAACTAGATCAAGAAAGACGCGAACGAGAGAAAATCGAGATGTGTAGAAACAGAAATGATGTCCGTAAATTTTATCAAAAAGTCAATCGTCTGACTCAAGGCTTTAAGCTTTGTGCATGAAAATGGTGATATGGTTACAGATACACAGAATGTACTGAAATGATGTACTGAATGATTTCTAGCGATGATAACATCAATTCTGCCTTTGGAAAAATGATCAATGGTGGTACGCCCATGTCAAAAGCAGCATTGATAAGACCCAATCAAAGAGTTGGCATGTGGCTTCAACCTTTCACACAACACAGTTGAAAGAACCTTGTATGCGACAGGTATTGTGCTGATCCCGCGGTAGTTACCCCAAATCGTCGGGCCACTGGGCATACTTTCATCTAACTGTATTCTTCAGATAAACTGATGCATGCACCCTATCAGCATATCGCCGCCGGCCTTGTACAATTTAGCCGGTATGCTATCCGCGCATACCGCATTGTTGTTCTTAAGTCGCTGTATAACAATACGCACTTCGTTATGGTCTGGTGGTGGCAATTTATTATCATCATTTTCCATTGAGAACTTCGAGAGCATCAGAGATCAGACGAAGAATCACCATTGCTAATAGGTGCTACTACGGGCTCAGTAGGCAATTGTATGGCGCAGTAGCATGGACGTTATCACAGAATTATGAAGCAGCGCTGGGAGTGTTCGAGAGAAAAGTTCTTCGTAAGATCTTTTGTCCTTTACGAATCGGCGACGACTACCTGTACGAAATTTATCACAACATTGTTTGAAGTAGTAGGTGGCGGAAGAAGACGTAGACCGTAAACTCGGTAACGGGGTGTTATGGCTAATAAGTAAGTAAGTAAGTACATCCATTTAGCTTTAATTGCACTGAAGGATTGCAACGCTAAACGATTTTTTATCAAAGCCCTAATTTCACCAGGTTAGCTCAACTTAAAACTACAAATTCTCATATTTAGCATTTAATAACAATCGCAAATTTGTATTTTATTAGTAAAAATCAACAATTTTTTATGAAAAAAAATTTTTATTATAAACAAATAAACTATCTATGTAGCAAATTATAAGTCAAATAAAGCATATAATTAGCATTATTATGTGCAAATATAAAATTCACAATTTTTAATTGGAGTACTAAAATTTTTATGATATATTGTAGTGTTCAGTTATTGTAGAATTATAACTAGAAAAAGAATTATAATTATTTACTACACAATATACATAAATTTGAATTAAAACTGTTAACGTTTTTATTAATGTGTTAATCAACTAAGCAAATATTGAAAGAAACCTAAATCTTATGTTCTCGATAATAGCATTATTATTAGATTTTGTTAAGCTATCATACTGTGACGAAGAAATGTAAGTGTAATACGCTAAAATTATTCTGTGAAACAAATTTTAAAAATATTTTCAACTTCTATAACTTCGTATAGGAATCTTAAAAAGTATTACTGACAAGGCACATAATAAGAATATTTTTTTAATTGCGTACTAGATCTACAATTGGAATGATAATAGGATAATAAAGGTAATAGCTACATGTGCATAATTCGTACATCTATCGCATTTATGATTATGCAAAATTTTGTATAACATGTCAAAGTCTAATAAAACGAATTAAACTTTTTACTTTCATAATAATTAATTCTTTTGTTGCAGGAAGTTATTTTTTCGTACTTATGAACTACATTTAGTAAATAACAGAAATTTGTTTTATAAAATATCGCATTTATTTAACATCCTCTTAATAATGCTTTAACTAGAAGTACATAAATCATAAAATAAGGTTATACATATATTTTACATAAACGTTCATTTATTTATTAATTCTACTTTGTAAGTAGGTTTCTTGTTAGTAGCACATATATGCACTTCTATATAAATCGCTTTGCTTAGATTTACAACAAAATCTATTTAAATAGTTAAAATTTTGTGTCGTTTCTATATATCTTTTTTATTCGAAATATTCGATCGCGTTAAGCATAATGATTTGTTTATTTTTTTTATAAATTTTAATTGTTCCGTATATAAAGTGGTAAGTCATAAATAAATAACGTTCTGACCTAAAGTAAATTTATTTAAGTAAATTATATAGTAATAGATGTTTTGTATTTAAAGTTTTAACATATATTAATTTATTTTAACTTTATAATTAATATATGTATATCAAAATAAAGGTACATAATATTGTTATTGAACAAATTTATGTAATTAACATTATTTAATAAAAATTATCTGGGTAACATATAAGATATTTAATTAAAATCATTCAAACTAAAAGACAAACGAATGTTCGACGTTGTTAAAATAATCTGCTATTAGAAACAATGAAATTGTAATCATAATTTCAAGAAAAATTATCTTAAAAATGTATTTTGAACAACGTGCATTGTTTTTAAGTATGAATAGTCATATTCTTGCAGCGAGCTCAAAATTCAATTCCATGTTTGTAAATTATTGCTCGTTGTTTATTATTATTATTATTATTATTATTATTATTATTATTATTATTATTATTATTATTATTATTATTTTTATTATTATTATTATATTATTATTATTATTATTTTATTATTATTATTATTTTATTATTATTATTATATTATTATTATTATTATTATATTATTATTATTATTATTATTATTATTATTATTTTATTATTATTATTATTTTATTATTATTTTATTATTATTATAATTATTATTATTATTATTATTATTATTATTATTATTATAATTATTATTATTATAATTGAAATTATTATAATTATTGTTATTATTATTATTATAGTTATTATTATTATAATTATAATTAATATTATTAAATTATTATTAATTTCTTATATAAGTTGATAATGCTGCGGCATTTTATTTCGATAACGATTGATACGATTGCTGCGGATTAATTGTTGACCTCGAGACTGGTCGACAACGTACTCGAGGCGGCAGTGTCCATGTCGTTGTAGCTATTGGTCATAGAGATTCTTTAGATGGTACCCAAATAGTTGGTCCCGATTGTGACCATATCATTGATTTGACTTTACTATATATTTCTTCGATCGTGTCACCTTGAACAACACCTACAAAATATTAATAAAATAAGACAATTATTATAAATATATTCAGTAATTGTTATTGTTATTGGGTTTTTTTAGAAGTTTTGTTTACCAGTGAAATATTCTCCAAATTCTTGTTCCATTTTGATTGCACGTTCATAAGTCTTTTTAGCTTGTTCCTCAGTCATCCGTCGATTCATTTCCCTGAAATCAATTTTAATGTAATGATAAATTTATTTACTATACCTATATAACCACTTACATCACTGAATCAACTGATTTAGGTTTAATAAATATTGCAACTGGATATAATTGAGCTACTTGAAGACGTTTGATTGCATTACCGGACACATCTAAAATGCAATGTTTTCCTTTTTCTGCTACTTCTCGGACACTTGCTACAGAAGTGCCGTATAAATTGTCATTGTATTGACCTGCCTCAATAAATAAATGATTTTGGATATCTCGTTCCATTTGCTCACGAGATGACATGAAATGATAGTCACGGCCATCAACTTCATAGTCTCTTTTAGGACGAGTTGTATCTAAAAATTATAATAGTTTCATTATATTTTATATAATTGTCATAAAAATATTTAAATATTTAAAATATAAGTTTATACGTACGTGGAACACATGACCCAAATTTATCAGGATACTCTGATATTAAGTCATCATTTATACGATCTTTTAGAGGCCCCAATATTATTACAGGTCGTGTATAATTTATTGAAAGTCGCTGAACTGCTTCGTATGACAACACATTTTCTTCAGAGGCTGTAAAAACATATGTGATTTGTAGCGAAACCAATAACTTAACTTGATATCAACTAATTTCTATATTATTTTAATTTAATTTAATACGAGCAATTTTTAAGCTATATTTATGTAGCAATGTATAGGAAGGACGAAAATGTATTGAAGACACAAGGAAAAAATTATATCATAAATTAATTAAATGGTCTTGTGTGAAAATCTCTTTAAATTAAATAAAATTAAAGGAATTGTTCTTAAAAAAAACTCAAACACAAATATTAGTAACAAAATAAACGGATCAACTTATAAAGTAAAAAGCATTAATCGCAGAAATTAATATATAGAATTATTAAAATATTTTTAAAAAAATTTGCAAAGTACAAAAAAAATGTAAATTAGTTTTAATACTTATAAAACTTATAAAAAATATTAAATTTATTATTTTATGTGTACCATTAAGTTTTATAGTTGAAGTGAATCACAACATTCCACAAGGACTATGAAACAATTATGTAAGTAATATCATTTAACTCATTTAACTACAACTTAAAATTTGTTATTAAAACAATCCAAATTTTTAATGCAAATAAAAGTTTATGTAATATTAATTTCTAACATATTACGCAATATTTAACATATTTTTAGGGTTGAATGGCTTAAAATCTCTCTTGCAGAAGGAAATTATCAATACTTTAATGATTAGATTAATCCATTTCATGAGCGTTTGAGAAAACCGTCAAAATTATTTTAATAATAAATCAGCAATTTTTACTCACGTTTTCCCAAAACTTTATTAGCTGCAAGCAATTTTCAAAAAGAGTATATATACATATAAAGATATTTAAGTTAATTTTGCACAAAAAAAAACCTTTTCAAACATTTCAAAGATATTGTACTACCATATAGTAGTAGCCCAAATGTAATTATTATCATTTCGACGTAAATTAAATAATTCTGTAATTATTATATCCAAAAGCCACAGGTGTATTAAGTTTATAAATCACATTTTTTAACCAAAAAATTTCATAAATAAAATATTATAGTTGAATTAAATAATTTCAAAACAAATTCATTCATTACTTAAACACAAATACAAAAATAAATAAAATAAAGAAATAGAGCTTTCTGTAGGAATCTTTCTAAATACATACTCATTCACACTATATTAAAAATAGATTAGATAAGATGATGATGTTACTTTACTTATCAGTTTTACATTTTTAAATAAAACTAACCTAAAAAATACTTTGTTTTCAAAATAATAAATACATTATTATTGAAATTATAAATATTTTGCAATCGAATTATCGAATTATGCTTTAGAGAGGATCACCATTTTTATTTCCATTCTCATATATTGCACAAATAATATTTTATTTAGTTTTATTATATATCAATGAAAATTGCTGTTCTTTAATAAACAACAGTTGCTACCATAAATTTTTTTTTTTTTAATTTGACTTAAGGTTGTCGAAGTTAACTCTTGTAAAAAAAATTTACGGGAATAATAGGCGAGTATATGGGGAGTTAGTCTATTGTTATGTACTGAATCCCATTGCGCTATTCCTTTTATTTTTACTTTTTTCAACAATGAAAAATAGTTTTCATATCCTTTTGTTAAATGAAATTGTTTGCAATAGTTTAATTTATATATTATATTATTTTTTTTAGAATATTATGTTAATATATTAGAATTACTATAATTAAATTTGCTCATAAAAATTACAGATGAATTTGAAACTGAATTATCGATGCAATCAATCTAGAATATGAAAAAAATTATTTTTTTTATCTTTAATTGCAAATCAAAAGAAGTAAAATTTAATTAATAATTATTTATTTAACAGGTCGCCATTTATGAACATATATTGTGATAATTCTTCAAGAAATGTGTACCTTTACAGAGCTTGTAAAACGAATAATAATATTTTTTTGTACATTTTTAAAATGTCGCAATTATATTACAAGATAATAATGCAAAATAAAATTTATTGATAACGATAAAATGAATATAAATGATTATAAATGAATAAAAAATAAAATGTGTAATATCGAAAGAAATAAGCTTAAAAATAAACAATACAACTGTCTTCTGTGTATGAATAAACATGTATACGTGTATAAATGTATGTAAAAATCCATGTAAGTAACAAAACTTCAAAAGGAAAACTATTAAACGTTTAATACCTCGAATATGACTGAACACATCAGAACAATTATTTAATATGTAAACAAGAACAAATTGTATACGAGCAGAAAAAGAGCAAGTGGATAGTTTTAGTAAAACTACAAGGGTCCGAAACTACAGCAAATAATAAATTGTATATAAATTATATATAATATATAAGTACACTACAGGAGTAACAAAACAAGAGCACAAAAAATTCAACGGATTTGCAAATTTCACATATATGAATGTATTTAAACGACTTTTCAATTACTAAACTAATAATGCTGCAAAAAAAAAAAAAAAAAAAAAACTAAAAACTAAAAACTAAAAATATAAATTGTTATAAAAAAATTTTGTTTCATATGAATCGAATAATTATGATTATCGAATAATTTATTAAGAGAAGTTTTATACAAAAATGAACGCCATTTTTATCGTTTTTCAATCGCATATCGCATATCGCATATTCAAGTGAAAACACATTTACATCGTTCGAGAGAGAAGACGTTAGAATGTATATCGGACTACAGATCCTAAAGAGTTTTTAACCTCATGCACATCCCAATAAAATAGCAATGTCCAATGCTTTAAACTCCATGAATTTTCAGCCTACAATCTGGAGAGATATACATATATATTGTTCAGACATTAATGCGCACATACCTTTCCTTTCTCTCCTCTTCTTATTGGTTGACACAATCAAGCAATGATATATATATTTTAATTTTATTAATTTAATTAATGATGGAGACTTGTAAGCAATTACATTGGTACATTACATTGTGAATACCAAAAATAAAATAATTAAGTTTTATTTTTTTAGATCATATGCGATTTAAAGTCTTATAAACATATTTGAATTATAAGTAATAATTCACGTATCTTTAGTTTTATATTGTAATATAAAACTAAAGATACGTATTCAGACGTAGCTCGGTAACTCGTTAATCAGTAAAATGGTAATATAACAAAGGTCTGAAGGCGGCTCTTTAGTTCTATCTCGGTTATTTTACTGCCACAGTAGCTGAAAAATTTATAACTTGTTCTCTTCTTTAATATTTTCTTTTCTATCAATATTTCTTTATTTACCATTATAACAAACACTTCAAATTTAAAATTTTGCATAACACTTCACTCACAGGAATCAGTTAAAATTTTACCAAATCACGAAACCATTATCAGAACTGATGCCTCCCTAACTCGTTAATTGGGTTACAGCATAATTTCATAAAAACAACAATATATTAAACTTTATCACTTTACCGAGTTACCAAAGATGTCTAAATACACCTATTAATTTTTAAAAATAATTTTCTCAGTACTCTATTATTCACTTGTTGATCTAAAACTAAGATTACTTTTGGGATTTCGTAGGTTGTATGTAACATCATTTATTCGATTCAATTTATACTAAACATAAGGATAACTAAATAATTTAACAAACAAAAGAGAGCTAAATAAAAGTGTAAAAACTTAATAGTGTTCATTAAAACATTGCTTCAGTTTTATTTTAAAACATATTGAAATTATTTTAAATTTATATTGTAATAATTTTTGTTTAAATTTAATTGGTTTGTTTCCTATTATTTTATAACTTTGAGTTTATAGATTATGTTAGTTGCTCGACTTACGATAGTCAGCATCATTGTTCTCCAGGTAGATTAGGGTTATCTGCTCCATATCGGGTAACTCCACTCTGTAGATAATCTCGCCTTATTTAATTGTAGAGAAGCAGTAGTAGAACAGAATAGTACAATGGTAGTAAAAGTTTAAACAGTAGCAGTAGTTATTATTGTGGCAACAGAAGTAGTAGTAGGTTAACAAACGCATGGTTGTAATTAATGTGGTTTAATTATATCATTTAATTGTTGCGTAGATATTTTATGTTTATTTTTATTTGTATTAACCGAATATTTGGGAAGATTTTGTAATAGCTCAAGTAGTAATATAGTAGTAGTTTAAAATGGTAGTGGAGTTGTGGTTTGGTGATAGTAGTAATAATAGTAGTAGTAGTAGCAAGTAGAGAAGTGAAATAGCGGATGTTTAATAAATCCAAAAGAAAAAGAAAATTCAATTATTTCTGTTCGTCGATTGCGTTTCTTCAAAACAATTCAAAAGAAAAAAAGAAAAACAAAAATAAACATTGTTTGTCGAATGATGACAACGAATTAAAAAATACAAAAGAAAATTAAAATATTAATGTCCTTATTTCATTAATGATTATACATATTACTAATTAATCAATGCTTAATCAATTAAGCAACATATGATATGCAACTTGGACACAATAAAATTATTTTAAAACATTTATTAAAATGTTTGGTGAGGAATTACTTTTTAAGAAAGAATTAATATTAACATTCATTAAATAAAATAGAAAAATTAAATAAAAAAATTAATATTGTAATTATTGTTTCATATTTTTAAGACCCTTCGCAATCACGACTATTTTTGAATGCAATCAATCACGGGGTATTTCGGACATCCCTATTAATAATTTTTTTTTTGATATTTTTTTTAAAATAATTTTAAAAATCTATTATCTTTTCAAATAATTTTTTATTTATTCATTTATTTAATTAACAAAATAATTAGAAAACTAAACACTGCAGAACATTTAAGTACCAGGTTCTAATCGAGCGTTAATAACAGGCTATAGTAAGATTCTACACAACAAAATATAATGAGATATTCATGTAATCATAAATCCTACTATCAGTCTAGAGCTAAAAATAACTGCTAAGAATAACAAAAAAACTGTTACGAAACATTAATAGGCCTGTTCTTTTGTAAGCATATCACAAAAGAACAACCGCTTATTTTAAAAATAACATATGAAACAACAACACTGCTGGCTTATTTAGTCCAATCTTTTTGAAATCGCTTAACTAATAAGCAGCTCAAATCGCAGGGTTACCAAGACTTAAAATTCATCTATTATGAACGAAATTTGGAAGTACATACGAAATTTTTAGTTAACTGTCAACGAATGATTTCGTTAATTCTTCGTATTTACTTTTTCAATTTATTATTTTACTGTTTAAAGGTATTAAAATTCATACTTTATTCACAATCATGTAAAAAAAATATTCCTTCCAATAATTGCAAAGAATTATTATTCATTTTCATTTTAAGTAATAGTTTAAATCATGTGTAAATTATATTATACTGTAAAATTGCTGATAGAAATTCTAGAAGAAAACTCAATAATAACTCAATAATCCTCTGTACACAAATACATAAAAAGTATAATTATTGTATTGTAATTCCCTTGTGAATAGATTTTTATTTATTAAATTACTAAATTAATACGAGAAACTCTCCAATTAGTACTGGGTTCTTTACCATGAAGGAATAGAAATTTATGCGAGCTGGTATAATTATATCTCCGAAATAATCATAAGATTGGTATAATAATATAAATACTATTAAATCAGTTTCATTCAAAATATGTGAAAAATTATGATTGGTCATTATGTGACAGTACCCTTTCCTCTACATTAAAAATTAATAGTTTATTAAAATATTTTACACCAAATATTGAAAACTCAAAAAGGCAAATTAACATATTAAGGAAACTTAGTAATAATTATTCAATAAATTCAATATCCTTTATATATTTTCAAGAAATTATATACTACAAATTTTATATAATTTTTTTTTCTACGCTATTTTAAATGCATTTTTAACATACCACACCCACCACACATTAGATTTTATATACATATTTATTGTTCATTAAAATAATAATTTAAAAAAATGGATGTAATACTATGTTCAAACTGACAAACTTCCTTAATTTCGTGAAAATAAAATTAAGTTAATTTTAAAAGTGTTCACACTACCCCAAATTAAGGAAGTCATATGTTTTTTGTTTACAAATCGAATGTTAAAAATTAAATGCTCCACAGACTATTTGTATCTAGGAAATTTTAAAAGTTGATTATTATAACTATGATATTCAGTAGTTTTATTAGCTATATTGGATTTTAGGTACGTGAATTATTATTTTTTACTCTATTTTAAATGAACAACAGTTACATTTTTTTCTCTATATTCAAATTTAAAAATACTAAAAAATACTGTGTTTCTGTGTGAACTTGTGTTTCCAAATAAAGCTGTAGTTTATAAGCTCGTTCTAATTTAAAAGCACGGCAAGTGCTTTGGTTGGTGTCACTAATTAAATAAAAATAAGCGACAATAAAACCTGGAACTTGAGCATTGAAACTTTGTGCAGCCTTGGCTTCTTGTGGATAAACACGGTTAGTCATCGGTTCTAATTTGACAGGCACGAGTTCTAGGCCTGACACTTGCAGTCCAAACAAATTATATACGGACCATAAACTAATTAAATAAAATTCGATTATTTCCAAAGACTACTGATGAAGAGTACTTGGCAATACTCGAAACAGCGTTGTATGGTCAGCCAAATTTCAATAAATTAAATAAAAAAATTTTTGTCTTTGCCTTTCTTTGCTATTCGAATCGGTCTAACATTAAAAAATACTTTTAAAATATTTTCCCGGTTTTATTAAAGTTAACTGTCACTGACATTTATTTGAAAAAAAAAATGTCACTTTTTCGTTATTTCAATATTATCTTTTGTTTAAAATTTATCTTACGTATAGTTGCATTTGAAATATTCCTTAATTTTAGCCTTCATTTCAACGAAATTAAGGTCATTTGCCTTCATTTCGTTGTAACCTTAAAATTGAATTTTTGTATGAAAACAACAACTTAATTGCGCTAAAACGAAGATGAACTTAAGATTTTTGCGAAATTAAGGTGTGTCTGAACATAGTATAAACTTCTTACCTAACAATATTGAATGTTTTGCTAACATTAAATATATATATTTAACCGTCTTTAAGGATCGGTCTATGAATTCATATAACTACTGAATATATTTAACATACTGACCCCATATTTCATAAGTTTTGTAAAAGCAAATTAAAAATTATGAGATAACTATAATCACAACATGCTACACAAAAATATTAATTTTTCTTTTGAAATGTATAATAGACCTCAACCTCATCCAAAGCAGTCATCTCACAATTTATTTATAATATATATTAGGTTTACTCAAACATACACACTTTTTTATTTACATTTATTTCATCTCCTGACCTCCTGACCTCATGAGCTCCTGAGCTATGCATTAATTAGATGACTCAAAAGTTATTGCAACAAAATTTAATAACAAATTTGAAAATTGTTTAGCTATTTTATTGTTTAGCTGTTTACTATATACTATATCAGAGATATCAGAGATTCAAAAACTAATTAATTAATAAACATGAGTGAATAATTAAAAAATTTAAATAAAGTATAAAAATAAATATTAATTTTTAACAGATTATGAAAGAAAGTTCTCCCACCTCTTAATTTTAGTAAATATACAATTTCTAAGCTATCGCTTATTCAATAGATTAGTAGAGAATGCCTTTAAGATATATGTACGATTAATAAATGATAATATAAATTGAATAAAATACAATTGAATACAAGTTTAATATTAATTTATAATATTTCATTTCAAACCTAGCGAGTTTGAAACGTTTGAAGAACAGATGTATAGCTACACAACTTATATATAACATAAAACTAAAGTAAAAATAAAATAAAATGTGATCTGTACAAATGTAGTGTTATTGTTATTTTATTAGTTTTGTACGTACCTCCTTCAGCATTGGCATCGTCTTGTGTGTAGCAAAGCATAAAAGCTAGAAAATTAAAGAATTAAGAATGTTTTCTTTCAGTTAAAAGAATTGAAATAATAGAAGAGTGTAATAAAATGTACTAAGAACAGAATTTTTAGATAAATTTTATATTTTATATTAAGTGAACAAAAAACAGTTGTTGATATCCCAAAAATAGCTGACTAAATATGAAAACCTTATGAGGGACCTTATATATAATAATATATATGTAATAATAATGATTGAGACTAAAATAAAAAAAAAATAGGCTTAAGAATATGATTTCTGTTATGAAAAAAAAGCTAATGTTTTAAAAATATTCAAGAAGCTGTAAAAAATAAATGACAATAATAATAAATATATAAATACTACAGAGAATAAAGAATTCCAAAAATTTAAAAGTTAGTTAAAAATATTTTTAACGTTCAGTATTAACAATACCAATACGCTTCGATATAGTATGTGCCTCTGGCTCTGCCTCTGTACTTACTACTTTTTCAATACTACATACAATGTAAGGCACAAGTACTTTAAAATTAATTGTCTTCTTATTATTCACTATATAGTAATACCAAACTAATATCAAAAAGTATTTTAATGAAGAATACCTCAAGTCACATCAATATTGCCAGCATTTAACATCGTGAAGAGTGAAAATATGATCGCGCGAAATTTATCGCGGAATAGTGTAGTATTTGTAGCTTAAATGCTATTGTCTTGGTGATGCTTTATTGCTACTTCCAATAACAAACGCATAGGTCAGATTGGAGTGGTAGCCTTGTGTACCAAGTAAGCCCACTTGAGCTCAAATAATGGCCCGTTGTGGGACCACAGGAATAGCGTTGGGTCGTACGCATAGGGAGAAGAATTCAAGTTTTAAACAATCGCCACACAATAATCTAAGCGAGTAATAAGTTATCATGTTTTAGCGAGTATTATGATTTGGTGATGCTTTATTGTTATTTATAATAACAAACGTATAGGGAGAGGAATTCAGTTTTCAAACAATCGCCAGACAATAATCTAGACGACTTATAATTTATCATTCTTCGGCGAGTATTATCCTTTGGCAATTGTTTATGCTGGCTGGGATATAATGATGAAAACCTGATATAGTTATGGAAAACTATTTCAAAATGTAAATATTTAAATAAAATTTAAAATAATCAGAGTTAATTGTTTTAGGTAAAATGATTTTTTATATAAATGGCGTTCGAAAATCTGATCATTTTAGTACTGACTTTCAAGTACTGCAAAAAAGAAATGGATTAAATTTAACTTGATGATTTTTCATAGTATGACGCAATTCAAAAGGAGTATACGCAGTTTAAATCAGTTGTGAGGACATAATGACTGACCAACATATTGGTCAGTGAAAATCCGTAGTCATCATATATTTATATAAAACTATGTGTAAATTCATCAAAATTCAAACAAAATTTTCGTTGAAATCCATCAACGAAAATTTTGAGAATCTCAAAACCATCAAATTTATCGCATTTTAAGAGACATATTTGTGCATTTTCCAGCTTTATGATGGTCAACATACAAAATGCTTTTTAAAGAAAATAGAGTTTTTCAACAATAATTATTTATACATAAATCACATATTAGCAAAGGACAAGTTGTCCAAAGGAGTAGTTGTTGGAAAGGACAACTACTTCCTATAACTTTTATCATAAAAATTAATAAAAACGGTATTCATTCAGTTGATGTATGGTATTCAGAATGATTCAGAATGAAGTAAGACATGATGAATTTTAGCTAACTAAAATGAGAAAATATGCTTCAATCAAGGATTAACTTTAATTGATTAAGAAACTACAATTAAACTCCTACAGTTAAATATATAAATAAAATCTTAATATAAAACCTTATGCGCGTAATTCAAATCCAAGTATTGATATTGCATCAGTTAGTAATTGGTTCGATTGCTATCGGAAAACTAAAATAAATTAAAAATTATTAAACATTAAATTTTCTGACGCATCAATGGTACTGTACTGTCTACATTTCAACTTTAATTATATCTCTCCGATGCCACAACATCATTCTACGTGTATTATAAAATAGATGAATATTGCGCATTTCATTCAGAAACAAAAGCAAGTTAATAAATTCGTTTTGCTAAACCTTAATTACCCTTTACACAGATTTCTTAATAACATAGTAACAAAACGATTCTTAAATACAACCATAAAGATATTATATAGCTTAATTTTACTTGCTTATCCATTAAATTTATTAAAATGATTTAAAAAAAATTACTTTTTCCTAATAACATGATTTATATCCATTATGATTTAAATATTTTCAAATCTTTACTGGTTGTCTCCGTTTTTCGTAAAAATATATTACTTATTCTTATTCTGTATAACAATCATAGAAAACTTAAAAACACAAACGGAAAGAAAAGTAACTGAAAAAAAATGTATGCAAAAGTGTGAGCGTAGAAAAGATCTTTATTCAGATATATGATTCAATCACAAATCATTTGGGATTAAATTTGACTATAGAATAGAAATTAATAGGATACCTGTCCTAGTATTCTCCTTCTGGCCCAAATCATAACCTCAGGGTCACAAAGAATAAAATTAGCGATATGATCTGTTTCCAAGCAAAGCCGACAGTCGGTCTTATGACACAGGACCCATCTTGTTGAGATGGCAGCACAAACAAAAAGTGCGCCACAAGATCACTTTTGGTGCCAAACCAGAAGTGCAATTTTCCCTTTCGTTACTATTAAACTATTAACATTGACGCCGTCAAAGTATTTGCGTAAATTTTAAATAATTTATTTGAAGAAATTATCTGTATGAAAATAAAATTTCAATCTAGACTAACATGCGGTAGAAAGTGTAACGTTGATAAACGGCTAACGTGGACATCTGATGGCCAGAACAAATGAACAAAGTTCAAACATCTAGCTGGCATCTAGTATTGAGAAGTTGCCCGAAGCAGCTAAACTACACAAGGCTTTAAATAAGGTTAAATCAAACGAAGTAGGACTTTTAAAAAAACCCCATGACTCCTTTACCACTGGTCGTGAAGACACCTTTGAGTTTCTATTGCAAACACACTTAACTGCCTCCGTAACCGAAGCAACAATATCACAATGAAACAGAGAAGTTACTGCTCCCACATGTCAGGAATACGCACTATCTGGTGTTATCTTGGACAGGGACAAGGTAAACTAGGCTATCAGCTCATTTCAACCTATTAAGGCGTCTGATTGATTTGAACATACGGAATAAACTGGAGCAAAATGTCCCTCTCCACTTCACCCAATTTGCCTAAAAGGCAAATCTACAGTGGTCGCGCTGCATCATTTGGTCAACAAAATTCAAAGCATCTTTCAATCTAAGAAGATTGCCATTTCTTTCTGCATTTCTGGATGTAGAAGGAGCTTTTTACAACACATCATTAAATTCATATCCGGAGCTCTGACCCGAAAAGATATTGACTCATGCACAATAACAGGAACAGGAACATATCTTCTAAGTTAGGTAACACTACTGTCAGTATTAGTACTATACGGGGCTGCCATCAAGGTGCGGTTCTCACACAATTGCTATGGACGCTGGTAGTCATTGATCTACTAATTAAACTGGAGCAATCTGGCTACAATGCCATAGGCTATGCAGATGACCTGGCAATTATTGTTTCTAGTAAATATAATGCCGCAGTTACTGATGTAATGCAGACGGCCTTACACAAAGTCTCAAACTAGTATATAAAAGAAGGTCTAGGTATTAATCCAAAAATGGCGGAATTGTACCATTTTTCAGAAGGTATAAACTGAATATTGGGTCCCTATCTATAAAAGATACGGCTGTTGATAAGCGTCTTAACTGAAACACTCAACTGGATAATATAACTTGGGGCGTAAGTTCCAGAATTCTATTATGGCTCTACCGCACAATATATCCTATGCTGCTCTCTGCATCTCTTTATTAAAAACACAGCAGCTTTGAGTGCAGCTAGGCTACACTCTGTTATCAATATACACGAAAGTTTCGACATTCAAAACTCTATCTATAGACTAGTTCCTGGCATAGAGATCTGCGATCGAACTTTGCTTCGGTAGAAAATTCGAAGTCCTCAATCCCGATCGAATAGACTAGGAAAATGGCACTCCTGGAGTAGAACTAAAAGTAGAACACCGACGATTCAAAAGAAGTTGGTGCAGCGATATTTGGTCCTAACATTTAAATCTCGCTCGCGCCTGGTAATAACCAATAAAAACCAATAACAAAGGATAACCAAAAAAAAAAAAAATTACTAAGAAACATAAATGGCACATGTGTATGTATAACCCTATCAACCGATTTCATCTAACATATTATAAATATATTAAATATCCGTTCAAGAGAAGGTGTTATAGAATAGATTAGAATAAAATGCTAATCTATTCGTTAAGTAAAACAAGAAATTGTGTATCGCTTTCAATTAATTCCAAAGATGCTTCAAAATTTAAGAAAATTTGTAGAAATGAAATCGTATATAAATAATGTCTTATATTTAGTAAATACATTTATATATTTCAATTTGATAGACATTATTGGTTCATATTGACAATGGAATATCGAATAACAATAATAACAATAACAACAATATAACAACAGTATAACAATAAGAACATAATATATAGACTTTGTAGACAAATTAAATTAGTCCAACAAATATTTGCTGCAAAAATGACATTTATTTTTAAAATAATAAACTTATACACTTACTCCGTGACATATCGCCTACGTATTTATATAAGATAGATAAAGTGAATAAGAATCGCGTACCTAGGATCCCATATCAATTTCATGATATGCGATTGCTTAATTATTATGATATTGTGTGATATGAAAATCAAAGAAAAAATATATGTCATTATATTAATAGTGGAACGTTTTATAAATGCAGTGAAATATCGATTAGAAATTACAACAAATATTTTAATGTCTAATTTTTAACACATTTTGGAACATAAATTTGAGAGCTATTCTTGCATTATTTATAGATCAATAGGAATACATATATGTTTATATTGAAATAAATAAATAATATTTATAGTTTTTGAAGTTTTACTTTATAAGATGTGTCCATAAAGCTTGCTGTCAAGTTAAGACTTTTAATAAACAATGACTTATCTAATATATTGTAAAAGACATCGAAAGCAATTTCAATATTTTCAACATCTTATTGTTATTACAATGTTAATAATAAAATTTAAATGTATATAATATTTATTATATGTTATTTTTAGTTTTGATACCGATTCGCAACAAGGATAATCAAAGTACACTGTATACTAATGCAAATTAACTAATGTAAAAGTAAATCACTTACGCTGTTGTTCATTTGAGTAATTGTTATTAACATTGTTAACATCAAGTTCGCTATTACTGCTAACGATTCCGTTCGCTGTTTAAATGTAGCCGACAATTTACCCATAATTTTCATATTTTAATTTGTTCCATTCATATCATTATGTATACATAAATGCGTTATTATGAATCAGACGTGGGAAGCGAGCGTTTTTATTTATGAAATCACATGTGATGTTAAGATAAATAAAGTTATTGTATTAAGATTTCAATGAAATCAATGATGAACAGGACGACACAGTTTGTTTTGTCATGTAAAATTAAAAATAGAATTCAAATTAAAAAGTAAATATGTAAAATAAAATAATTTATATATTAAACATGTATTAAATCAAATATAATTAAAATAAATTTAAATAAATACACATATATGTAGTAAAACGTTTGCATTCGTATATTGCAGAAAGTATTCTTATAATTTTTTGTTTAAAATATTGGGGTACACAGTTACGAAATTTGATTTTGTTGGCAGATATGTATAGAATAACTTATTCATTATCACTTATATTTTTAATAAGCAGTTTAAATATTTTTATAAATAACTACTTACGCTCTTGATCACTACCATCTTCATTTTTTTCATCACGACTTTTCATAAATGGAAATTTACGTGAAAAGGTAAAATTTTTTTTCTTTCTGTCCAGTGTTGACTGCTGTTGAATAATATAATAAAAGAAAAAATAAAATTAAAAATAAAATAAAAACACTTTTATGCACCATAATAAATACCTTATCTATATTATTATTAGTGACAGAATGACCCTGAAATTTGACGCTTCGATCACGAGCTCTCATCTTACGCTCCCATCTCCTTTTAGATGGCACTATTCCAATTTGTTCTTCTTCATTTTCACCTAAAACGCGACGCGCCTGCCACCATTCATCATCTGATGCATTAGTGACATGTAAAATATCACCATGCCTAAATGGTAAACCTCTTGAAGGTAGTCCATCATCTCGATTTGGATCATAATCGAACAGGGCACGTACATATAATGATCGCTTTTGTGAAGTTCGAAGTAGAGTACCAGAGTTGCCCGCATTTATGGCGGCCTGCTGTTTTAATTCTTGAATACGGGCTTCAAATCGATTGTACTCTTCAGGCCTATATTGTGCAATTAAAGTGACTACACCTCCAGAGTTCTAGTATTTAAGTATTACAATATCACATTTAAACTTTGTTGGTACTCAGCAAATACTCAGTTGAACTATTACCTTAAGTGCTTGAGCGGCTTCTTCGTGAGTAGCATTTTTAAGATTAACATTGTTAACAGTTAATAACTGGTCGCCACGTTTTAGTTCACCACCTAGGTCAGCTGGACCTCCAGCCAAAATAAATGACACATAAATACCTTGACCATCCTCGCCACCGACAATATTAAAACCAAGCCCTTGTGCTCCTTTCTGAATAGTAATGGTCCGAGGTTCTCTACAAAAGCGAAAAAAAAACAAAAATATTACAACAAAAAATTTAATATAAAATTTTATTTGACACACTTTAAATTTGTAACAATCTTATTCAAAACTTGTAAGAAGTTTCTTTTAAAAGCAACTTTACAAAAGTCTGTCCGTAAATTTGTGATCCTATCATCCAAAATAACAAGTGCAAGTTGTATAAAACTCATGTTGTTTTCTTCGAAATTCCTTACTAAAAATATACTTTTTTATTCCTTTCCTAAGTAATAAATAACAAAAATCATAACATAATTTGAGTAATTTTGGTAAATAATACGAATCTGATGCGCATTTTGATAAGAATTTTAAGAACAAAGACATCAACAAATAATATTAGATAAAATCATGACATTCATAAGGCCAATCTTATAGAAAATTTATCTTGTGCTTTTCTTCTATATTTATATATGGAATTTTTTCTACTAAACATTTTTATACTAGAATACATTAAGAATTCATATGAATATAATTCTATTCAATGATTTTAGTTTGTATATATATTAAGAAATAATTCGATAATATATGTAAATTAATCGTGTTTGTAAATTTATATATACATACATTATTCATTTGATTTTCTTGCCTTAATTTATTAATTTCATTTACATTTATAATAATAGATTTTGTTTATAAAATTATATTATATACAGTGACTCCATCGCATAATCGGACAAGCATTTGTTCAATATAAATGTGCTCTAAACTTTAAAAAAAATCTTAAAAATATGATTTTTTTTTGCTTTAATTAATACTTAACATACTTATCTATCTAAATTATAAAAAAAAAACAAAACATTTCTCATAATAACTATTATTTTAAAGTAAAAAACAGAACCAACACAAAATTTTGGGCTCAACGTATAATCGGACAAAATTAAACATCCATGTTAAAAATGCATCCATGTTGCATATCTTTTGTTATCCAGAACGACCTGAATACGATTTGGAACTGATTTCACCAATTTTTAGCACACTTCTGGCTCAATAGAGTACCATGCTTCGAGTAAAGCCTCCTTTAGCTGTACTATTGTGTTAAATTTTTTTTCGTACACTCTCCTAGCTAATTCCTCCCAAAGATGCTTAATTACATTAAGGTCTAGGCTCTATGCAGGTGCGTCTATGAGTTTGGGGCAGTTTTGGATCAACCAAAGCTTTACTACGCCTGACATTTGCTTGAGATCGTTGTCCTAATAAAAATTAAAATTTTCTGCGATACTCAATTTCTCTGCACTTTGCTTTATATTCTGTTTTAGAATGTCGAGGTATTCAGCTTTGCCCATTTTACTATCTTCAAAATGCAATTACCTACTCCCGCACCCGACATACAACCCCAAACCATAATAGAACCTCCTCCATGTTTTATAGTGATTTTTGTATTGTGATGATTTAATTCTGCATTTGGTTTACGCCATACAAACATCTTACCATCAGATCTATTCAGATTAAATTTACTTTTATCAGTGAACAAAACCTTAAAAAAATGAAAATTGACAATGAAAATGTGTTTAAGATGATTTACCACTAATTAACTTGATTCCAAAAGCTTTCTCTTTTTAGTAAATATTCCTTAACAAATTTTATTCTTTTGTTTTTATTTTTAATACTTATAAACGACTTCTTTCTGGCAATTCTTTCGTGATAATTGAATTTATATAATGTATTGCAAATAGTATTTAAGCATACATCTTTCCCAGAGCGGGATTTTAATGATAATTTAAGATCTTTTGCGGTTTTGAAAGGATTTTCCTTTATTTCTTTTAAATTCGAACGCACTTTTCGATCCTTTTATATATAGCCTTGAGTTGCTCTGATCTTATTGGCCAGCCTAAACTCATCATGGGACCTTTTGATAATGTCTTGAATAGTAGATTGACTTATTCCAACTAAATTGACAATTTCTCTAACGGTTTTACCTTCGAAATTCAATTTAATTATTAATTGCCTAATTTCGACAGTAGATTGCTTTTCATTTGGTGCCATTTTAATACTAATTTATGTTACAATTATATAATTTATAATTTATATTTATCTTAATGTAAAAAACATTGTTCTGACAATTATTATTGTAGTTTTGAAGTGCATATTTATAAAATAACAGTATTTTTAGCATGAATGCTTAATTTTGTCCGATTATACGTTGAGCCCAAAAAATTGTGTTGGTTCTATTTTTTATTTTAAATTAATTGTTATTATGAGAAATGTTTTAATTTTTTTTATAATTCAGATAGATAAGTATGTTAAGTATTAATTAAAGCAAAAAAAAATCATATTTTTACGATTTTTTTTAAAGTTTAGAGCACATTTATATCGAACAAATGCTTGTCCGATTATGTGATGGAGTCACTGTATATATATATATATATATATATACAGCTGCGATCAAAAAAATAACACCAAAAATCTATAATTCTAAAATCGTAACACGTTGGCGAAAACCAGTTATAACTGGTAGAGAGGTCCAGAAACTGATACAGGCTAGCAAAAAGAACCCAATTGTTCCCACTACAGAGTCAAAAAGAGACCTAAAAATTACCTCAAGTCTGGAAACTGTTCGCCGAAGGTTTGGGATATAACAATTTGAATGTCCTAAGTCCACGTAAAGTTTCTTTATTTACTAAAACGCATGTAGCAGAGTGAAATTCGCCAAAGAGCATGTAGGATGGCGGTAACATATTGTGAACTAATGAGAGGCAGATTGTATTGTATAGTGCCTCTCCATCAAGTTTATATGCCAGAGGACCCCCAATTGTGAAAAAACATCAAACATGGTGGCTCATCTATTATGATTTCGGCTTGTTTTTCTTATGAAAGAGTAGCTCCCATATGCTGGATGAAAACTATCTTGGATCACCATGTTTTCATACAAATATTGGAGAAAATTATGCTACGTTATACTTCAGAGGAAATGCCTTCGCTAATATTCGCTATTATTAAGGCTCAATAGTATACAGAAAATAGAAAACACATGCGATCTACTAAAATCCCATATAGAACATCACAATATTTTTTTTTCTAATTTTGTTAATTCGGCAATGGTAATGGAGAAATCTGCTTTGGTGCTATTATTTTCACCTCAGCTGTAAATATAAGAAAAAATAACGGGTATTAAATAAACTAATGTAACAAATTTAACATAATTTATTAGAAGAATAAAAGAATTATAATGACACATTAAAGTAGAACAACATCAAACTTAACAATTCAGTCGACTTCATTATCTTCTAAATGCAAGAGAGTGTATTCAATATAAACGATTTAAAAATTTAACGTTTTAAATTTAAATTATTTCTATTTTGTGAATTAATATAAAGTCCCAGTAAAATTAGTTAGTAAATTACAAACTAACTTTAATTAGAAAGCTTGAAAAATATTGTTGTTTTCTTTGATTACACACTTTTTTATTGTAATTGTTTATTGTAAGAGTATTTTGTTTTTTTTTGTAATAAAAGGGTATGTGTAATTGGATTAAGTTCTAATCAGTTTTGTTTGAGCAATATATATCACAAAAAAATAGTATACAGCTTCTTTAAGTCTTACCATTAAACATCAACAAGTCAACATTCTGTTCATTATAGCAGAACATCATGCCTTGATTATTTTTTTGTTAATCGACAGGTTTGTGTTTAACAAAGCTTCATATCAAATATAACTTCAAGATATCTGGCTGTAATCGATAGTGATGTATGTATATTCTATAAAGTGACGTCTTTCTCAATTTCAATATGATTCGAGTATAATCATTATTTTCACTATACTATATGATGTATTTAGAGAACATTGAATACTTTACGGTTCAATAGTATAAAATTCTTGTATTTAATTATTCGTAATTTTTTTTTTTTGAGACCACAGGTACCAGGAATCGAAATCGTGTCCTGCCAAATTTAAAGCTCAGAGTCAGCGCACCTTAACCAACTGACCCAAAGTCCTACCTGACTTTTAAGTTTAACAAATTGACTTGCTGTGTTTTTTTTAGAACGAAATCATAAACCAGCAGTAGAATAATTGAATTAATTAATCATATTTTTATTTTTAGTTGATAAATTTCAATACTATTATGTTTGTAGAGACATTATTTGTTGCATGAGTAATATATTCTTTCTTATGTGTAGAACCTAATCTATGAACGCAATATTGAGAAAGCCATGCTAATGTTACTCCATGAGTCGCACGGGTGATACCAATATTTTGTGAATATAAGTTGTAATTTAACGTCAAGTTTTTCAGACGGAAGTGATTATTACATTTAATAGAAATATACTAGATTTCATTAAGAGGTTTTTCGAACCTCTTTAATTTCTCTATAATTTTCAAAATTAAAGATTATTTTTAATTTAATAACTTTGAAAGTAATTTAATTTTAAGTAATTTCTCTAAATATAAACCAAACAGAAAAACTCAAAAAATAATTATATATTAGCAATCATTTCATATTTCTATATTTACGTATATTTGAAACAAATAATAAATATAAAAAACAAATAATAAACATAAAAAACAAATAATAAATATATATTAAAAAACAATTTTATGTATTTTAAAGCACATATTAATTACCTTGTAATATCTTCAGTACTAACAGCCCGTGGTGTACCTGGTGGTACAGCAGCTAAAACATTTGATGAGGCGTACCTAGAGGCTGGTTCTTTATTACGATAAATAAGAAAAATCACAACCACAAACGTCACATTAAGGTATATGAAAAAAATAATTAGTAAGGATAAGGGTTAAGATTTCAATTTGAACGCGAAAGTGAAATACTTAAATAAACATCGAACATAATTGCTTTTAATTTTTGATTGTTTTTGAAATTATTACACTGAAGACAAGGCATGCACACAAAAATTGTATGTTTTTAATCTATATATATATTATATATATATAGCTTAAAAACATACAATTTTATAAATTTAAAAATATATAAATAAAATTAGCGTAATTAAATATTAAATTATAAGCTTTTTATATTAGCAAATATGCTTTTATGCTAGGTAATATGTTTTGCTTACGAGGCAAAGGTGAATGGGATCTTGATGTATGTCCTACTATAGCATCAGCTGCTGAGGAGGAATTGGGTATTGAAAACTGGTTGTTGTTTGCGAAAGTAACAGAGGTATTATTTACAGCATTAGTTAATGAGGGTGATGGTGAGCGAGCATAGTCAACAACTGTTTGTCCTATATTGTTAATCGCACCTGTTGAATGCGAATTAACTTGATTAAACTGTGATGAACTCAATTGTTGAGTTTTTCCAATGACCAATGTTACTTTATCAGTAATAGACTTTAATGTAGCAACAGCATGTTCATGTGTAACATTCTCCAGATTTTTTTCAGACTAAAATTATTAATAACATTTACTTTGTACAATATATAAAAATTTGTATCATTACTCCATTTGAACGAACTGCTATTAATTTATCGCCAATTGATAAACGTCCGTCTACAGCAGCAGCACCTCCATCCATTATTTTAGTCACATAAATACCATTATCACCAGGTATGTGTTGATTACCTATCCCACCAGCAATAGAAAATCCTAGACCTTTGTTACCTTTTACCAAATTAATTTCAATAATTTTTGGGCCAGAAGAGACTGTAGGACCACTTTCGCGTTTCGAAAATGATTCATCTGCAAAACGATCATTTTTTTTCCTCTTTACATGCAATTTTACTACATTTCCAGCCTTTTTTAAGGCATCAACTGCAGCCGCATGTGGAACGTCAACTACAGAAACATCATTAACCGAAACAATTATATCGTTTATACTCAAACGACCTTCGGCAGCTGCAGCGCCACCAGGAATTAACTTCGTTATATATATAGATGTATCCGATCCAATATGAGGATTATCCGTACCACCAGCAATAGAAAATCCAAGACCTGAATTACCACGTTCAAGCGTTATATCATCATATATCCAGTTTTCATCACCGTTAACCTATAATTATACACAATATTGAAAACATAATTTAATGCATATAATTATTAAAAATTAAAGGTAGTATTATAACGATAAAAAAAATGGTTCCACAAAATAGATCTGAACAATAAACAGTGCTTCTTACATTTACGAAAGAATACTTTTGATTTTTGATAAATTCAGGGATCATGTATATCTATAAAATAATTAAGAATTGAGAACGTCTAACTAATATTCATGTTACATAAACATAAGTTAGTTTATAATGTAAATTTTTTGATAACGTAAAAACCGAAAAGTTCACATTTGATAACATAATTATTGTGTGTAATCTGATATACATAATTAAGTTTTAAGATATAATAATTTTATTACTTTTTAATTATGATATTTAATTATTTCATTTATATTAATATATAAAAGGTCAGTGAACAGTTTTGAAATATGATTAACTCAATTATAAGACTTTAGCTTAAAATAGTTTTATTCAATTTTGTATTGGTCGAATAGTTTTATTCGTAACAACTATAATGTGTATCATTATGACTCAAAATAAAACAAAAAATTACTAATACAAAATAATGGACCTAATTTAAAAATATGCAATATTCATCTACTGATTATATATTACGCATTGGTCATACATAAGATAAGTATAAAACATTAAATATATAAAAATTTTTTTTTTATATTACCGTGTCCAAATTAAATAGTGATGACACTTTTTTAATAAAACCGCTGCCACTTCCATCGTTTCGTTTCTTTTTTCTTGTCGTCATTTTATGAATTTATATACACACAATAGACTAAAGTTCTTTAAATAAAACTGCTTAAAAAGCTTTATTGTTTGGTACAAAAAAAACAAATTCTTATATGAAACTTGAGGCTTACATTTGTAATTTTTTATTTTGCAGGCAATTTTTTTATCAAGAATTCATTTAAATGCAATGAAAAGTAACTTTATTTTGTAAAATTATCTTAAATAAAATTTTAACTACAAATTTTTCCGTATTCTTAAAATCCATTCTTTTTTAATTTAACCATTCACAAGGCGATAATATCTTCAGAAATAGAATTTCTTACTATTAAACTATTGAATTAATGTTTGACATTTGATGTTAATTAGGGTTGCCATTACTTTGTACTAAAAATGACACCTCGCCCCAATTTTGTCCATTTAAACTTTGTCTTCACAAATATTTATAAATTTAATTAATTATATTATAAGTATTATATTATATTAAATATTTATAATATATATTATGATTATATTATGTATTATATAGCTTAACAAAAAATAATTATTTTAAGCTTTCTTTTCCCGTTATATATTATTGCATATATGAACAGAAAATTTAAGAATTTGTTGTCATTTGTATGTATATGCAAAGGGTTAAAAGCAAATAAATTATAAAAAAATTAGAGCTGGCAATACTGTTTAGGAATTTATATACATAATTCTTTCACTCATATTTTTCCACTTGCTTATTCACGTATACGCATTTTCTTATAACTGCCTCTTACACAATAATATACGGCACGTAATTCATTTTTTTTTATATACTAAATATTTTGTTTTCAATTTATATCCCGATTTATTTATAAACCCGCATAAGCAGAGCATCTCATACTTGCGATCGGAGAGTACTACTAATTTATCGAAAATCGAAATCTAATTACAAGCTGGCCGGTGGAGTAATGTTGCCATATAAATAAAAACAAAAACTTCTATAAGGTGGAATTAAATGGACAAAATTTTATAATGGTTTATGATATTAAATATATCAATTAATATAATTTCATTTATCTGTATATTATGTTTACGCTGTATTGTTTTTTAATTAAATACAACTTTTGCAATATGCAATATATTGTAAAAAATTTCATTTATTATAATGTTTTATTTATTTTAATAAATTTCATTTTAAATAAGATGAATTGAATAAAATTCGGGATTGAATTAAATTTGTGCATTGAGCGTATTCAATGAGATAATTCGGTATACTTAATTGATACCAGTAAGACATAATTGACCCACAATAGATCTTATTTATTTGTATACATAATTGAGCTGTTTATTATAGATAAATAAAAGTAAGCAGCATGAAAATTTATTTCCAATATTTCAGTTTATTGTAATAAGTCAATGCCAGCGTGAACGTAATATTAGCATCCTTTTAAAATTATCATAGAAAATGCTCAGAATGCAATTTGCAAATTTTTCTATAGTTTTATTTACCGAACTACAGTCAGATCTACTATTACAGTTACTTTAAAACTGTGTTATATATTACGCCAAAAATATTTGTCACCTTATTTGTTTATTCGATCTATCGAGCGATAATAAAGTACAGGGAAATTGAAAAATTATTACAAACAAAAAAAAAAATTGAAAAAAAAATTATATTTCTTTTTGTTAAGTATTTTTAACATGCATATAAAATTTTATACAATTAATAAATTCAATTTTTTTTTTCAAATAAAATAAAAAATGTTAACATGCAACTTATGAATTTATAAAAAAATTAATTTGAATTAAAAAATAAATAATGAAACACAAAAATAAGTAATTTTTTTTAAAATAGTTTATATTTAGTAATATTACATTCAATAATAAAAAACATATTTAATTAAAAAATTAATATATAAAAAATTGTACATTCTCTGTTAGGCATTGCAGAAATCAATATATAAAATTGGATAAATAAAAAAGTGCTATTTCTGCTCATTAATATATATATTTAAATTAGCAATAATGGGAGGTTTATTTAAAAAAACTCTGTTGCAAACAATCGAATTTATAGTCGTTGGCACTTACAGTAACAAAGTTCTGGGTTTGCTGATGTTCGCAGTGAGATTCCTGGTAATTGTCTTTTTTTTTAATTTCTTCATTGCTAATAATTTTGCCCTCGGGAGTAAAATCTGTATCTCCTTCTGTTTTTATACGTTGATTCTGCAAATATAACGAGTATTAAAGATAGCATCTTATTAAATATTTTAAAATTCGAATGAAAATAATTTTGTTACTATTTCTTCTTATGGTAAGGTAAATAAATGAGTGCTATAGTAATATAACTTACGTTCGAACAACAGCATGCATATTTTGAACCATTCCCACTAGATGATTCTTTTTTACTCTGAATGATATGTAGTGGGGATGAAGTTAATTGACGTCTTCGTCGACGCATACGAACAGGGGAACGTGAACCTACATAATTTGAAAATCGACGTCGAGAATGGCGAACTATTGACACCCAATCTATCATTTTTTATATGTATTTTATAACCCAATTAACGTTTTAGATAAGTTATTTGGTAATAACTTTTTTCTCTATTAGTTCTTGCCTTCATTGAAAGCTCTTCGAAACAATATATTATACTTTTAATTAAATTTAGAAATATATTAACCTTTTAAGTTAAAGAAACAATAACAAAGAGTAGTTATACAAATATCTCTTCAAATTAAATTTTTACATATGTATATTTATATCTCTTCAAAATTGAATGATCAACTTTGTAATTAAAATTTGTAAAATCTTAAAATTGTGGTAAAAGTGGTGGCGTTTCAAAATTCAAAAACTTGGATATAATAATATTAAAATTCTAGATATCTAATGATTATATTCATTCTATATATTGTACAAAATATGTTCCAAATATTTTTAAAAAATTCAAATAATTATTTCACTCCTTCACTATCAAAACATATTCACTGTTTCGCAGAAGTACTAAAGATTATACATGTTCACATATATATCGGTATATCCAATCGAGATTATTTCAAAATAACTTCACATATAATGTTTAGTGATGGACTGTGTGTGATGAAATCGCCAGCAAAAATCAGCAAGCAAAAACACAAAAACACAAAAATCACTTTCACTTAGTAAAATCAGATAGCCTTCGTGAAAGTTAAGAAATTAGTATTAAGTACGTAACTTAATGTTTACTTATCTAGAAAACTACTTTAATAGGAAAATTTCATTATTAAGCTACAATGTATGTGCTACACATATATTAAAATAAAAATTTTTTTTTTATTTATATCTTTTCAAACAAATTATGTTTTTAAAAAGCAAACGTAGCAAATACTGTCGACAATTTCCACATACAGACAAAATTAAATATTTCGTACCTCTTCACCACTTCTTCGTTTTTAAATATACTCAGCTACTCTCCTGAACAATCAAATTATACTAACTTAACACATATGTGTCTGACGGAACAAAGCTTCAAACTGTCTACATAGTGTTTATTTGTTCTTCCTTCTGTATACATTTTATCTAGAACATACGGGTACTGCGCACGTGCCAAAACTTTGTGACATTATGTTGTTATGTTTTTTTTGCTTTTCTATGCATCTCACCGGTCAGGTCAAATAAACTAATATTTAGTACTTTCAAATCTTTATTTTATAAATACATATATATATAATATTTTGGGTAATGCTATTGTGTTATTCCATTCAACAACTCCTATAGGATGTTACCTAATCTACAATCTCTTGAACCCATCGGTCTAGATTTCAATGATTTATTATTTCTTTTATTTCGAATATTATTCAGAATTTAAAACAGAACATTTTATGTAAAAAGTACTATGGGAAATTTATTTTCTAATAATTTTATTTAATTTTTTTTTATCAATTTATTATATTATTATATTGAATACACAAACACAAAATGAATCCAGTGGAAAAATGAGAAAATTCGAGCTTACCAAATGAATATCCTTTGAACTATATTTTTGAATGCTATTCGCTTGAACATCATTGACAGTGATAGATAATTCACAATTTTGATTAAAATTTGAAATTGTCATAAACTGTAAATAAAGACAAGTGAGGAAAGAATAGTTATAGGACAAATGTTATACCAGATACTCCTTTTTTATAATACATTCAGAATTATGTGAACCAAATACATTTTACTTAATATAATACGTATGACTTCCTCGCAAACACACAAATGAAATGTTTTATCAACCTATACAACTACTATAGTTACATTAAATATCATGAAAATTTCAGGTATCATACTTGGACGTTAAAGATAAAATACTACCATACTGGTTTCTATATTTTATCATATTATGTCTAAAATAATATGTCAGAAACTTATTTATTAAAAACAGTAATCTATATAGAAGTTTATTTATTTATTCATTTTAATATAGTTGACTTTTTTCTTAAGGAAAAATAGTAAATTAAATAAATCAAAATATTTATCACATAAATTATTCACACCCCCTGATTAGTTCAGTTCAGTATAATACATAAATTTAAGTAAGCCCAACTGCTGATACAGATCGCTACGAGAGACTCTACGATCGGTGAAACTTTATCTCGCACAAGAATGGTTCAACGAAATGGGTTTTAACAGAATTAATACAGAATTAATACAGAATTAATACAGAATTAATAATGAACTTATTTTATAATACTAGAAATCAACTTGCAAAATATTTTTAATACTAGACTCTTATGATATATGAATAGTGGATTTCACTTGAATAAAAAAAAGCGTATTACTTACGTCTGCGATATTAATTTCTTGACCATCCCTTTCCCACTTACTAGCAATTTGCAAAGTTTCTGCAGTTTTTTGCTGAACAGTTTTCGATTCATCCAACAAAGTTAATTCATAAAATTCTTGAATATCTGAAATAAGACATGTTGCGAAATTATAAGTGCACTTAAAATATTGATTTTTATAAAATATTGATTAAATACTATTTAAATTCCACCTTATATAATTCAAATAAAAAAATTACACACATTCTTTTTCATAGATTTATTAAATATTTAAAGTTAAAAATTCGATTTTAGGAAACAGTATTCAGTGGAGGGAAAGGATTTTGTTTGGATACAACTAGTTTATTATGGCTATGCGAAATATAGCCTTTTATTTTTCCTTCATAAATTAAGTTAGCTACAATACAATGAGTTTCAGCATTTGTCATATCTTTTTCACCCACATATTGCAGCGCCGCACAAAAATCGGCTAAATCTAATTGATGAACTTGCTTTAAGAGATAAACCTTTTTAAATAAATTTCTATATACGATAAATTTTAGCTTTTCAACTAACAAATATATTCCACATTTTATGAAAAATATTTCATGCCGTTGTATAATATCATCAAACTTTCGTACATTTCCCTCCTGCAACGCTAATGATAGCTCATAAAATTGAAGTACATCATAACGGTCCAAAATTTCTTTTTTTGGCATAAAGCCAAGCAACATTTTAACAGGTACTAAATAAATTAATATAAGACGCTTGTTACGTAAAAAATTTCCTGGACAATTCTTAAATGCAAATGAGAGGTACTCATCAGCACTTTTATAGTCTGAATCGAACATTGCTTTACGTCCTACGAAATATTTGTAAGTGATTTGCTCTGGCAAAGAAAATGAATCTTTAAATGCACTACTTTCAATTGCCCTTATCAGCGGTTTGCAAAGATGTAACTTATTAATTCGAAAGTACACTTTGAATAATTGGTTGACAAGGTTCAGCATTCCAAGCCGTTTTGTGTCTTGTTCAGAACATCTATGAAAAATTAATACACACATTTAATAGAATTCAATATACAATTTGAAATCAAACAAACCGATTATCAGCAGCACAAACACGAAAGCAACTCATAAGACAATCCGCAGCCTTTTCTAAAATTTCACCAGGTTTTAAACTGTTATTCATTTCTTCGCATCTATGCGCTAAAACACGCAAATCTCCACATACTGTATACATAACTGGCAAACACCAATTTTCATCTTTCAAATACTGCAAAAGCTTGACTATCGCTTGAACGCATTGACATTGGTTATTATAGGCCTCCATAAAATTCCGAGCTGATTAAACAAATCATTATTTTTGTTAGACAAAATAAGAAAATAGGGAAAACATACGTTCAATGTCCAAATAGTATAGAACTTTTAGATGTGTACACACTAATTCATCAATTGGTGAGTCCAATACCTTTTCTACAGCATTTTCAGGATTCTGCAAGCACAGATTGCTATTCATTATATGTTTATCTTTCAACGATAAAAAAGACGCTAAGCTGGCACCATCGGTTGCGGTCCAGCATCTTGAAATGCCAGACAGATAGGTATTCAATGTACCAAACATTTTACAAGTACTGTATTAGATTCGTGACAATATTTTACAAATTTATGAAAATAACACAAAATTATTCGAAAACTAAGTTTTTCGATTTCCTGATTCCCGACTTTTATTAAATATGTTAATTTGATAAGTCCCTTTTAAACATAAATTTATACAGACAATAAGCATTCTGTCAAAATAATGTCAAAATATCAATGCCGAAACGAAATGTGAACAGCTTTAGCTCTTTGTCGTACATAGGTAGCGCTTTAACAAATTTGAGCGCAAGATGTCGCTTGCTCTGTTTAATATGCGCATCGCTAAAGTATCATAAAAATACTTTATTTTTTTGTTGTTAATATTTACTAAAATTAACTTCTAAAATTGTTTGACAAAAAATAAATAATAAAATAAAAAATTTCAAAATATTTGTCTATGGATTGCGTAGTATTTAATATTCGAAACGCTATTTCTTTCGCAATCATTATATTATACGGTTATAGATATTACATATATCATATATGCACACAATTGGCAACGCAACCATTAGAAAGTGATATGAGAGTGGCTATTCGGTCATAAAAGTATGGCAGTAGAAAAGTAGTCAGCAGAAGGGGATTTTTGGCATGGCGGTTGTGTTTGTCATAATCTACGCATATTAAAGTTCAAATATATGTATTAATTACATATTTATAATTTGAATGGACTTAAATGAGCAGAGTTCATAGACTTATATAAATTTTTTCTACTTGAATGCGAGAGACGCTGTTCGTGCATAAGATGTTTTTTTCTATTTAATGACATTTCAAATTTTTAAAAATGTTTTTCTTAAGTCTTAACTTAATGTTATGAAATTTTAGATTTTATTTTAATAAGCCGGTATAACCATAAATCTAATAAATAAAACTATTACAGAATAATATCATCATAATCAAATAACTTCAGAGCACGATGTGAAATCTGCACCGATCTACAATGTTATGTTCATAGCTTTTTTCTGTGTTCAGCTTGAATAGGTATTCTTCAAAGAGATTCTCCACGTATTTTCTAAGCAGGCACTAACTTCTAAATCTGTTAAACATTTTTTCGGAATTGGTTTTTTTAAGAAGATCCTATGTATAAGTTCAATTTGTGTCATTTACGCATTGCCACAGCTCTGCATTTATTCCGTCCTCCAATGGTGATTTACAGTTTTTAAGTGCTTTTATAACCCATATTTATTCATCAAAAGATGGAATCGATGGTATAATCTGTTATGTTTGCTTCTTTTAACTTAATATTATATAGATCGTGGAAGCATCAAAATTTTGATTAAAAGTTTTACTGGTGCTGTATAACTTGTGTTAAGGCTTAATATTTGTTTTTTTTATGGATTTGATTTCTATTTTCTACACATTGTATTGTTTCTTTTTTTTCTTTATAATTTTGTCTATGCAATTCCAAAACCACTCCCAATTTTTCGTTCTTCTTTTCTTTTCGTTGCCTTCTATTTACGTGTTATAGTTAAAGATCACGTTTGTTTCAGATTCCATAACTTTTTTTCATTGCCCACATTCTTTTCCAAAAGTTTTTTGCAATGGTAAACGATGGCATTTTGTTTCTAAATATTGTAGTTAATAAAATATGATCACTATCTACATTAGCATTTAAGCAGTTGTTTACATCGATCACTTGCTATTTTTTTATATTAGTACATGATCGATTTAATTCTTCGAGGTTGTACCTAGAATGGTTGACGTCCCTTTAATTTTATCTTCATGTGCAAAGTACGTGCTGCATTCTGGCTTTTTTGTGATGGTCACTATAGTAAAAACTATATTTTCTAAGCCTCAACTCTACAAATCCTTTTTACTTTATTTCATGCACGGCGAGTACATCAATTTTCTGCTTACAGAGCACATCAGAGGGTTTTGCAAAGCATATCAAAGGCTTCTTACAAAACTCCCGCTTTGTTTTATTCAGTTGTTCAATTTCATCTTCGATATTTGGGGTGTGATCAATCTTGGTATAGACTTGGGTTACATTATTTCATAATCTCTTCTTAAGTTAAATAGCTTCTTTAATAATTTTCTTCTTTCCGTGTGAAATGTATCTCCGGTTTTAGTTGATGAAGCTTTTGCAATTTTAATAGTTTTTTAAAAATTTTTGAAAATGCCTTTCGATAATTTCGATAAGTTTAAGTGCTTTCATATCCTTCAAAATTTGAATGCCTTTATTGAAAAGATCCACGTTTTGAATATAAATAATACAGTTATCACATATAAGTTTTAACGGCGTGTTGGAATCAAATGTTTTAACACTATATTTATTTAGAGTTGCAACATTTGATCACCATGAGATATGTTTTGTCACAAACACCCACGCATCACAAACTAAATCTGCATTTTGCCATTTTGCTATTTAATTTTTTTAAAAATAGTTATTATTAAATTATAATCGGGAGCGTAAAGGTTATAAATTTATCATACTTATATTACTTTTTAACATTTAAATTCATTAAAAGCAGTTTCTAATATATTATCTCATCTTAAAATTTATAATAGTACTTACCAAGTAGTGCCTGAAATAAACGAGATTTGAAAATTCTGATAACTCTTTCTATGGCGATTCGAAGAGCTCGATTTTGAGGATCAGAAAGTCTTGAATGATAATCTTCAAGTAATTCAAGAGCACGATGAGCTTCTGAAATTTTAAAATAAATTGTGTTTAAGTGCATAGCTTCTATATATTATATATATATATATATGTAATTATATGCAATATATATACATGTATATTTATAGAACAATGTCTTATTATACATGTATATATATGATTATTTAAAAAATGTACGAATATGGTTTTCATAGTAAAATGTATTTCTTTATAATGTTATCAACTAAAAGTAGCAATTAAGGTAATTTTTCATACAAAAATATGGTAATGAGGTTCGATAGTTTGTTGAACAATTGGTAAATAATCATTAAATTTATCAACCTTCAATCTTTAATTAACATGCCTTACGAATATGCTTTAACCTTGGAAGATAGCTCCCTTTTATTATCAACCTTATTAACAAAGTAATACATATGTATATAAGATGCTTCCTACACACACGCTTTTACTTTGGTATATCTTTATTATATTTACCGACAAATAGGAAGTCAAAGAGTTACACATCCGAAACAAATTTTGGGTCAAAAATGTCCGGACTATATATATGTATATATTCGATGTCATTTCGAATAATAATAATAACATACATACGAGTAATATACATATGTAAAACATGTGTTTGCATTAATTTATTAACTATATTTGATATATTTTTTGTTCAGACCTTAACGCTGCGATTAGACTACTTGTAACATTGCAAAGTGTGCTTCTGAACTTAACCTGTGGTAATTTCATAGATATTCAATCGATTTACTTCAAATTTGAAATACATACATATGTACATATATTTTGGACACAAGGCCGCCAACCCAACCTAACATAAGTGTTCTCATTTTATTACTCTTCAGTTATTTCATATACAGTCGGAGTCATAAGTCTACAAGCAGGCAGTACAAAAAACTTTGAAAATATTTTCCGAAAAAATCAATCTATCTAAACATACTTTATTGTTTTGTTGTAACATTCAATGCACAATGTTTTAATTAATCATAAAACTGCAAAAAATTGTATTCTGTCTAAAATATTTACTATAAACTGGCAATGGTGTCCCACCAGAAAGAAATAAGCCTCGCTGAAAGAAAAATCATCATAAAATTTTGGGAGGAAGAAAAGTTGAATCGGAAAATTGGATATTTGTTTGGAAGATCGCACTGTTCGGTCCATACCGTGATCAGAAAATGGAAAACTACCGGAATTATCACGTCAAAGCCACGTTCTGGTCACCTATCGAAACTCACTCACCGTGAAATCCGCTTAATATTAAATTCAATAGACTTTTGATCGCTTGTTTTGCTACTCTTTACGATGAAAGTTCCGTTATCTCGGCTGTTTTTTAAATGTCACAAAAAAACAATAAAGTATGTTTAGATAGATAGATTTTTTCGGAAAATATTTTCAAACAAATTTTTTTGTATTGCCTGCTTGTAGACTTATGACTCCGACTGTATATACATATATATATATAAAGACACAGTGGTGTTTATTTAAGGTCATTTTTGCGTACTTTTTTATGTTTTGGGGGAATTTGAAATAGTTAATAAAAATTAACTTCTTAAAGTAAACCTTTTTATTATAATAATTTGTTATCGGACTAATTGGTCAAATTTAAATAGAAATAAAAAAGACACTAATTTATTATTTATATTTTAAAATCGTTTATACTTTATTAAAAATAATTCTTCCAATATTTCGACTATCTTCGATAGTCATCTTCAGGGAAAAACTAAGCAAAATATACCTTTTTAAACCTTTTTAGCTATAATTTGTAAGTACTCTTATAGGTTAGCAAACCATAAAAAATAATTTATTAATTAAAAGTTCAAAAATGAAGGGATGGAAGCATTATTAAAGGACAACTCAGCTGAAACACAAAAGGAACTTGCGGAACAGCTAAATGTCACTCAAGCAAACATTTACATGCCATGAGAATGATTCAAAAAGAAGGAAAATAGATACCACAGGAACTGATTGAAGTGAATGATTTTCAATAAACCATTTTCAATAATGGTTGACAATTCTTTGCTTGCCAGACACCGAAGATGCCATTTTTTGCATCAAATTTTGACTGGCGATGAATAATAGATTAACTACGATAACCCTTAACCCTAAATTGTTCGTTTATCTAGGAGACCCAGTCATATCAACTGGGCAAAAGTAAACATTCATGAAAGTAAACATCAGAAAGATATGGTGTACTATATGGTGTTAAAACCGATTAAAACTTACTGCAAAACGTTATCAACAACAATTGATTGATTTGGACCATGAACCAAACAACGTAAAGTTATTTTACTTCACAACAATCCTCGACTACATGTAGCAAATAAATGGAAAATTTTACCTCATGCGCCCTATTCACCAGATTGTAATCCATCACATTAATGTGTATTTCAATCAATTCAAGGCGTTGTTCAAAACCAGCCTTTCAAAAATCATAAAGAAATCAATGAATGTCGCGATGAATGGAAACAACTTTTCCAAAGAATCCATAAATTGCCAGAAAGATTGTCGAAAGCCATAGCTTACAATGGAAAATATTTTGATTAAAATAAAATTTACCATTTCTAAGAAATAAATGTGAATTTTTACAAAATAATGCAATAAAAAAACTAGATTATTGATTATAAAACCAGATTATTACTTTGAATAGCAGAAAATTGTATAACTGGGTACTACCTGTGTTTTCATTTTCACTTTTTGAGTGGTCACCCCGAATATATTCCTGTTCCACATAACTTGTTTTCAAATCAAAATGCAAACCGTTATTATATAGCAAATGGTTTCGGTTTTCAGGTTTAAACTGTCCATTGGAAATTGTAATGTTATCAATTCTTTTTTCGGTTTGTACAGTTTTTGACATGGATTTTTCCAACTCAAATTCTTCATCATATTTGTTGTAAAAATTTGTGTTAAATATATAGGTAATATTTGCTCGTTGCATATTCTTAGAAAAATAATAAATCAAATCATTTTTGTTAACACCACTTATTGATTGGATTTTACTTACAGACATATTATTACTTTTAAATAAATACATATTATCGATTTCTCCTGGAACTACTTTTATGGATTCACCAGTTGTTCCAAGCAAGTCAGTAGCAGGCGAATACCCAAAAATTTGATTCGGTAAGCAATTGAAAGAGGATACCCATTTAAAGGTGTTACTTTCTAGTGTTTTATTTCGTGAGATATCAATGTGATTAAATGCTAAGCAGTTTTTGCTCCTTTTGTCTTTTCCCAAAATGCATGTTGTTTTGTCTTTCCTAAACGTTTTCTTTTTTAAAAGCATAACCTCCTCATCGGACGATTCATTGCTGGATGTGAATGAATCGTAACTACTTAAATTATCACAAAGATTATGATAACTGTCATTTTTCAATTCTTTGCTTAAATCCATAACACAGAAATCTAAATCTCAACAATTTAAAAAATATACTTTTTTAGATACTTATTGCTGAATGGCTATTTGATGTAAATAACATAATGTGTTGAATTATACTGTAAAAAGTAGATGAAAATTAAACCAAAATACCTTAACTTTGGATAAAATATAATCGATAACAATCGATAAAATTCGCAAATTACATTTAAGTACCGAATACATTTCTTTCTGATATGCACAAGAAAAAATGTACAGAAACTGTTGGAACATAACTTATGTTCTAAACATCCAGAACTCAAAAAATTAATAAATAAACGAATTTTATATATATTATCGTATAATTCGATTTGAGAACAGTTGAACCATGCTAACTATCTACACTATCTACAAAGGGTCGGTGACGGTTACGCCACCTTAATGTGGATGAATACTAAATGAAATTATATGCAAAGTAATATTATTTTTAAAAAAATTGATAATGTACCAAAAAAGTTCCTGAAAATAATAAAAGCAATATATATAATGAATTGAAAAGAGTCATCAGGCGCTGCCTCAAGATCAGACAATAAACAGAGGTCTGTTGTGCTACATAGACATGTCTGGAAACAATTTACGGGTAAAGTTAAAATATACAGATATTAAGAGAAGAGCTTTATACTAAAAACACTTGGATATCATTTTATAAATGATAAATGCATTTATTCTTTAAGAAAGCCCTATTCTCCGAAATCAACAAAATTGTTGACTCATGTAAACAAAAATTTCGATTTGGAGAGGGCGATTTTGCAAAAGTTTGATTGTGGATACGAATGTTGCCAAGAACAACAACAATTGTTGGACAATCCGTGATCACCGCAATTCCAACAAAACTGTAAGTGAATTTATCAAATATTAGGCAAAATCTTCATTGAAATTAAGCACATTGAAATCAATTTTACGCATTTGTCCGAAATTTTGTGATGATCTAAACATAATACAAAATAAACAGGATTTCGGACTATTGTAAATAAAATAAGTCGCTTTTGATAAAAAAAAATTTGTTGTGCTTATTTATAAAAAAATTATACACTCAATTATTTTCCGCTTATCGTAAAAAAAAAAAGAATAAATAAAAACCTTACGCTGCTAGGTTGGTTGCTAGAAATACAATTTATTGATCTGATAGATCTCGCACATTTAGTGGGGACAAATTTAATATTTAACTTCATTTAATACACACATAACATATTTGGGTTGAGTTTTATGTATCTTGTTTTAGGAGTCGTTGTCCGTACTATGATACTACCACAAATAATTTAAATCATAAAGTTAATATTCAAAAAGTAATGAATTTCTAACAAAGACACTTTATAGGAGTATACACGATCTCGTGTATCGAGCTCGTTACACTATGCTTTGTTGCCGAAGTTATACTGGATTCACGCGAGAGTTTTGTTTGCAATTTTAGTTGTCAATTGTTGTTGCTTTCAATGGAAAATGAAAATTTTTGACAATTAAAATTACAAACAAAACTTTTGTGTGAATCCAGTATTACACAGTCACACAGTTACAATATCACGATATCACAATATAATATCACAATATAATATCACAATATAACGATATCAATATCTGTTCTGTCCATTTCGAGTAAATGTATTTTGTTGTTTACGCTGTAAGCATGTTACTCGATTACCGAGCATGTTACTCGAGATCGTGAATGCTCTTAATCTTAATGTGTGAGGAGCTCTTGAAGACATAAAGAATTACTTTTTCTTACCTTGCTTTTTTACAGGCATTTTATTTAAATTCCACTTATATTAAATTTTAATTATAAATATCCACTATGTCCTTAATCGGCAGTTGAATTGCGTAAAGCGTTGTATCAATTATTTAATATAACAAAATTCGTTTGAAAGTTGTTAAAGATCTACTGTATAAAAAAACAAAATATGATATAAAAAAAATAGGTTTAAGACAATTGCCATAGAAATGTATATCGAACAATTTCAGTACTAATCCAGATTTATAAGAACAATAATTATAGTTTTATGTAGCATCAAATATTTTGCAATATCAACTAAGTACAAAAACTGCGGCAATCTCATATTCAATTAGCTATGTACATATAATATAATACAATGCGACTTTAAGAGACTCTAAGTCTATAGGAAAGCATTAAAATATATTCAATAAATATAGTACGCATAGTTAGATCACCATATATAATCTTGCTTACAAGTTTCATAGACACAAATATGTACTTTAAAAGCAACAAGTAACTTTTTTGGTATAACCTTAACCAAACCCTGTCGGAACCATTTAGTGAAGTTGTTACAATCAAAATATTATAAGTTAATATTTCGATATTACTTATATTTAGTTAGTATATTTTATTTTATAGAATATAGAAAACTTTTATAATCCCCTCTTATTTTTACAAAAAGTAATTGAAGATATGTTAATAACATTTATAAGGTGTAATAATGTTTCTCTTCCATTCACTCAATTGTTCAAAAATACTTATTTACGGTATATCGTAAAAAATATATTTTTAGAATTATTTGCTTGAGATATAAGTAGTGGTAGTCACCATGAAAATTATTTACATCTGGAATGCACGTGCAATATAAAAAAATCAATATTCACGACACACTTTTCTGATACCCGACGTATGAGCATACAAGAGTGCAACAGAACACTCCACAAATTGGTTTCTTCATTTGCATCTGCTGCTCCCTTACTAAGACACCATCAATGAAAAATATTGAAAACTGAAATGATTATTGATTAAAGAGCCCTATATATCTAAGGGTGTATTTACATTTTGATTTGAAGCATTTGAAGTATGAAAAAATGACCTTAAAATTTTGTAATTTAGTAATAACTTCAGTTAGTTAGTTAGGTTGCTAAGAGAGCATTTAACGCGTCTCAATTATCTATTATATTTAGGAAAGTACATGTATTAATCAAATAATTGATTAAAATTCCACGAATTTCTGCACTTTGTATATTTCTATACTGTATTTATACTACACATATTTCATATTCGAGAACACGAGAAAATACCTTCATTGTATTCACACAATTATATAGTATGTATGTATGTAGATATGAACATTCTATTGCGTTAAAAAAGTTATATCAAAAAAAAAAAAAAAATTATACATATGTTCACTACAGGAGACGGTGTGCGGACACAATCGACAAATTTCGACAGACTAGTATGTATCTAATAAATGTGTTATTTATAGAGCTCCGAGATGCAGTGTTTAACGTTAAGTATTTTCATGTTATAATTTTTGCACAAATTTTATTTTGTTATTTTGAATTTTTGAAATAATTAATGTTTCAAACACAAAAAACTTTTCAAAACTATCATATCTTTAAAGCAAAAATATATAAACATAATCATTGCAAATATGTGTATAAGTTTTTTATAAAGGAAATGAAAATTTGAAAAATCTAAATACTATATACATATATCATCTGGATCAGCATCTCTAAATTCTACCCTTACATATTTGCACATAAATAAATGTTTATGTATTCGAGACTGGGTGCCCTAAGTTGAAACTTATTTGTTTTGTAATGTAGAGTTAAGTGGCTGAAATTGTTTTTGTTGAATTTTTATTTAGCATTACAAATGTTCTATTAAATACACCTGATTTATTGTACTGCATTTTTTATTTTATATATGAACACAAAACTTTTGACAATTTTAGGAAAAGTAGTTCACAGACAAAACGAAACCACCGCCGCGACAGAAGGACATAAAATTCCAACTAGATTTTTTCATATGTTTCGGTTTAAGAGAGTATCCGAAAATTTATAGTGTTGGATAATGTTGCATTGAATTGATGGTTTATTTTTTGTGCATTACAAAGCGTTGTAAATAATATTAAAATTAGATTCAGTTAAAATAATAAAATGATTATCATTTATCATTTTGTTAAGAGCGAAAACCATATAAAAATGAGCAAGTATTTCAATTTTCTGACACAATTTATGCGCAATTCTATATAGTATTTTTCGACAGTGCTGCCAAATTTAGTGAACATAAAAACTACCATTTATTTATTCTTTTTTTTTTTGGTAACCATTTTGATATGAGGTTAGAGCGTATTCGCAACAATTAGTTTTGATATGTCGCGTTATGGTGGAATAAAGATTTGCTAATGTGTGGATTATTTACCTATGTATAATTAGTTATCAATTTTAAGAGAGTTGTTCAATATATTTTTAACTTCGCATTAATATGCAGATGCAAAACGTTGTTCCAAATATGTTAACTTGCGGTAATACGAATCCCACTAGTAATAAAAGCGGTGCGGAACAAGTAGACGATAATGCAAAGAAGTCGAAGTATCCTCGATTGTTTAACAAAATTGTGCTCACATTGGAAAATAGTTTAGTTCCAGAAGCAAAACTTAACGATACACCGTCACATCTTGATGGATTAGACATAGAAACTGAAAAAGATTTACGTATACTTGGTTGCGAGCTGATTCAAACTGCTGGTATACTCTTAAAACTACCACAAGTTGCAATGGCAACAGGTCAAGTTATATTCCAACGATTTTTTTACTCCAAAAGTTTTGTGCGGCATAATATGGAAAGTGTTGCGATGAGCTGCGTATGTCTTGCATCCAAAATAGAAGAAGCTCCGCGGCGTATTCGGGATGTTATTAATGTCTTTCATCACATAAAACAAGTACGAGCACAAAGGTATTTTAAATTATAAACGTACCCCAATTAAATAAATCTATATAAAATATTTTTTTTTTGTGCTTTATAGAGATATTATGCCGGTGATATTAGATCAATTTTACACAAATCTTAAGACTCAAGTAATTAAAGCAGAGCGACTTGTGTTAAAGGAGTTGGGCTTCTGTGTTCATGTGAAACATCCACATAAATTAATTGTTATGTATTTACAAGTACTCAAGTATGAAAAACATGAGATGTTTATGCAAATGGCTTGGAACTTTATGAATGATTCATTACGCACAGATGTGTTTATGCGTTACAATCCTGAGACCATTGCTTGTGCATGTATTTACTTAAGTGCACGCAAATTAGGAATTCCGCTGCCAAATACTCCACCCTGGTTTGGAGTTTTTAGAGTCACAGAGGAAGATATTCTTGATATAAGCTATAGAGTAATGGAGTTGTACACTCGTGCTAAAGTAAATATCATGATATAGAATATACACCAAATATACTTAATTTTTTTTTTTCAGCCAAATGTTGAGATATTAGAGACTTCAGTCGATGAGCTTAAGAAGAGATACCTTGAATCCCGTAACAAGAATAAAGAACAAAACACCCCTCCAGCCGTAATAACAGTAGATCGAAACAACGGATCCCATAATGCTTGGGGTGGATTTATACAACGAGCTATCCCATTACCACTTCCAACAGAAAAATCTCCAAATAAAAATTCTCGTTCACGTTCACGAGACTCTCGTTCATGTTCAGTGTCGGATGAAAGTGACGACTACAAACGAGATAATCGACTAAAGAAATCACATAGAGACCACGAAAGGTCTAAAACTAATAAAAAACGCCACTATACTCGGTCACATTCTGTGTCCCCTCATAATGTTAAACATAGAAAAAGGTTTGAATCAATATCATTGTTCATTAAATGCTTATAATTATTGTAAAATAATAAAATAATTTCAACTTGCAGAAAATCTAGAGATCGCGATCGATCGGATTATTACATCTCGAAAGAACGCATGAATGTTAATGAAAAATACCGTGATCGTGACAAATACCAAGAATCAAGATCAATGCATCATTTGTCTAGTAAACATCACCATTCTTATTCTCATCGAGGCAATGGTTCACGTGGTGGACATAAAAGCAGAGAGCGTGATCGTTCGAGGGATCGAAAAAGATAAATATAAATATTAATTTCCTCCATAACTTTTTAAAATTTTAATACATATGTACACTTACAAATTAAATATTATATTATATTATATTGAAATATTAAAAAAATATTTTTTTTTCACATATATGTTATAAGGTAATTGTATATGAGATCAATGAAATTTGTGGATGATTAAAACTAATATCACGAAATTCATCTGTGAATGACAATATAAAAAATGAAAATATTGTTGCAATTATCCATTCAGAGATTGAGCTAACAACGTGGAAATACCAACCACCGTCTGACGGGTACCTATAATTGGAAAATAATTATTTAAGCAACTTATATGATTGATACTAGCTTACCATTGTCTTGGATTTTGGCCTTTAAATAATATATGGGACATAACTCCAGTAACAGCTAATAAAATAAATAATATAGTGCAAGTGCATGCCATAGCTAATCTTAAATGAGCATATAACTTAGTTCCGACGTTAGGAAATAGGATGTATGATAACAATGCTTGCATCCAAAAATACATCGTTCCACATCCAAAACAGAAAAACGCTCCTATGAAATGCACAATTCTTACATTAGTTTCTTGAAAGTTTGCCACGATACTAATGCCGAAACATGAAGCTAAACCAAACCAAACAGCTATACGATTATTTCGAATAACTCCATTTCCCAAATTAGAGTGATACTCGTATATTTGTAATACTTGCCGATAACGTATGTAAATTGTGATACCCACTTGAAAACAAAAAGATGTATGACTCATAATTAAAACAACAACTAAATCTTTAAATAGACTTACAAAGCACAGCACCAATGTTTATCAATTGCCCAAAAACACAACTTTCCGGAGAATAAGCAGCTGCGTCGCTTATATATGGTACCGTTGGAACAACATGTTTCTCCAATACTGCTGCTATATAACTAAAAAATACATTTCAATATTAAGCAAAATACAAATTTTTGTAAACCTACGTTCCGATAAAAGTTATTTGAAATAATAAAAACACTGACACTGGAAATAAATATACGGTAGACATTTCAATTTATTCATTTAACACTGCGAATTTGTTATGGAATTATCATCGGGGATGAAAGTCAGGTCAATAAAAATAAATTACAAAATTAGGCTGAGTGCACACCATAATAACTTTTTGTATTGCAATACACTCTGTGAATATGACAATTGCATATCGAATACTAATAATTCCAATATTTAAAATTAGTAAAAACATTCAAAAAGAATAATGAAACCACGTTTATAGCTAATAAAAGATATCAAAATGTGTAAGTAATTAGAACATGGGTTGATCAAAACGGTTGCGAAGATGCAGAAGCAAGTAAAATTAAAATTTAAGTAAAACTTGTAGTTTACCTTTATATATGTATAGCATATACTTCTGTGCTTAAACGAAATAATTAACACAGAGACTTTATTTAAATTTTTATATTTATTTAATTGTGTTGCCGTAAATTTCTAAACTTATTCTTAGAAATAAATTTCTTAACTTGATTTTCTAAATTTTATATTATCAATATATTTTAATTGTAATGCAGCTTACTATGATTATTGAAAATATTGATAGCTACATATCTATCAAGTTTTTGTATATATATATATCAATTTTTATTAATTTCAAACCATAAAATTTCAAATTAAAATAAGTTTTGTGTAATACTTTACAATAATAAAAATTAGTTGTTTTACCGAATTAGACTAAAGTAGCAATAATAGAGAGAAAAACACATAAAATTTTATTGCCGATTTTTATATTTATCGGTTCTGTCTGTTTTGTTCTCACTTCGTTCTTTTCAACGTGATATAAATACAGGTATTTTGTATCAAAAACGTTGAAATCAAACAATTATTTAAAATATTTATAAAATGTCTATTATTGAAATAAATGGTAGCGTTTTAGAGGGTGGCGGACAGATACTTCGCAATGCACTCAGTTTAAGTTGTATATTACGTCGCCCTGTGCATATTACGAATATACGCGCAAATCGACCTAAACCAGGTCTTTCCAATCAGCATCTCCACGGGCTTAATTTATTAGCAGCAATTACTAAAGCTAATGTGATTGGTAATTTTCTTGGATCGACTGATGTAAAATTTTATCCTGGTGATATACAATCTGGTCAGTACCAAGTGGACACTCAAACAGCTGCTAGTATATCTTTAATATTGCAGGCGGTAGTGCCCGTTTTAATATTTGGAAGCAGTACTACGCAATTGACAATTAAAGGTGGTACGAACGTTGCTATGGCGCCTCAGGTAGATTTCATAACTGAAATATTACGCCCTAATATGGAATATTTTGGTATAAGTTACGATTTCGATTTAATAAAACGCGGTTATTATCCTCGTGGTGGAGGTTGGTGCAATGTAACAATACCGTGTATTCGGCATATAAAAGCGACTAATTTAACGCAATTTGGTAAAGTAGAAAAAATTAGCGGTTGGTGTTACGTTGCTGGACGTCTTCCTCATCGATTGGCTGTCGACATTAAAACTGGAGCGGAACGTATATTAAATGACTTACAGATGTGCAAATATATAGATATTGAGGCATATAAAGAACATCCAGATATAACAACAGAAAATGGTGCAGGTGTTGTTTTAAAAGTTGAAACATCTAGCGGTTGTGTACTTGGTGCTTCGGCGTTAGGAGAAAAGAAAATCGATGGACAAGTTTTAGGCATGACAGCTGGTTCTGAACTCCAAAATTATATTTTAAAACATACATGTGTTGATCAATATGTACAAGATCAGTTAATTATATATATGGCACTCGCTGATGGCATATCTGAAATACTGACTTGCTGCATAACAAACCACACACAAACTGCCATATACATCATGGAATTGATGCTTAACATAAAATTTAAAATAACTAAAATTAGTGATAGTCATGTTATAATATCTTGTAAAGGTATTGGACATCGAAATCAATATATTTGAAAACAAACAAATAATTAAAATTCTTAAATCCTTTTAAAAACAGTTAAAAAGTGTTGCCCTTTATTTCTTACAACTTTTGCGCCTTCTTCACTGCTTTGGTACAATTTTGGTGTAAGAGGATCAGAAGCCTATAATATAACAAGATAAATTATTACAAGCTACAAAATGTACGAAAATAACATATTTTCTTACGATTTCTTTTTCTCCAACTTTTTCGTATAATGGATGCCTTTCTAAATGATATAGAATCCAAGAATACAAATCTTCTACGTCAGTCATAATATATACCATACCCTGAAAATAAACTTTGTAGCATAAATAGTTATTAGTATCTCATATCCTTACTCCCGCTTTTAATACATAAGCATACTCTGACAATAATGCTTGGTTAATTATACGCCATTTGTGTTTCGCTCTTTTAAAATGTGGATCTGGATATAAAAAGAATATTTTTTCTAACTGACCCTTATAGAAAAAATTTGGTAGATACTTCATAGCATTTGTTCTAATACACGCTATATTTGTATAGGCGTTAGGATGTATTTCGCGAAGTGCAGTAATACGATCCATGACATAATCTGAAACCTTAACACGAATTTCCAAGCCAATGGAATAAACTGAAGGATACATTTCACCCAGTGTAACCAAAAATCCACCATAACCGCAACCAATGTCAGCAAATTTCACCTCTTCGTTTGATGAAATATGTGGATATAAAGTAGACCAATTAAAATCACTTGGATGTGCGGGACTAATAAAAATACGTACATATATTAAACATCTAATCAACTATAATTAAATATTTTTATTACTATGTAAAAGAGTGGTCCGCTATTGGATTAGAATGAGCGCGCTGACGATAATACCGCTTTTGTGGTAAACCGGAACTTAATGCTTTTTCTTCTACCGCCTTCATTACACTTAATGTTTATGCTAGTTTTATATGCCGATTCAATTTATTATTAATCTATGCAGTTATATAGCTTTCATCTGTTGCAGGACAATTTTATAAATTTTAACAACGTTGCCACTTATCTGAACTTCGAAAGTTAACAATTTAAAATATATTCTTGAACACATACTTTTTATTATATATAAAATCTATAACTTTTCTATATATTTTTAATGGATATTATAATTTTTTTATTACGGAATTAATTTTCATATTTGATAGAACTTTCACAATATTTCTGTTTTTTTGAATGATATATTTGCAGTATTTTTTTATTAGTGATACTTGCAGTACCTTAAACTTTTATAATGTAGGTATATTACTTTGTACAACGAAGCCTCATTTTTCACATTTAATAATTTTTCGAATTTTTTTTTTCATTTTTAATGACAGGTTTTAGCTGTATACCCTACAGATGCATATGATATTTTCAGGTAAACTCTCGTGTGAATCCAATATTATGAAGCTGTAGTGTTGTTAAGATTAACTCAACAACGAATTTATTTCCTTAATGAGAACGCAACTAAAACTTGAACTAATAGTTACATGCAAAAATTACAATCATACAATGAAATCTCAAACAATAAACATATTATTTCTGTTAGACATTTTACATATACATATATGTGTAAATTACATTTCTGAAATATTTAAATTTATTAACTTTAAATGATCAGGCAACTCCTACCAAGTGAGAATTAAAAATAAATAGAAATTTCTAACCACGCCGTTGGGATTTAAGCCATATGTTTGTTGAGTTATTTATCTAAATATTAAATTATGAACGAATTAGCAGAAGTCATATTTTCAAGTTGTGCCGATGGTGATCAAGTGTCCTGCAATGTGTGGGATTTTCGAAACGCGACAAATTTAATGACCTATAAGGGCGGCGGCACTTTACAAAAGCGTAGTCTATGTGTGCTTCGTTCGGAATATGTATTAGCCGCTAACAGCAGTAAGCCACTTTTGCATATTTGGCCTATTAATTCACAAGAACAAACAACACAAGTGCGTTTTGTTACACCAGGAATCGTTAATGCATTAGCAATTTCTTTAGATGGATTGTATTTAATTGCAGCTGTACAAGAAACAATTTATATATGGAATCTAACAAGCGGCCGCATGCTTAATATGATTTCAAAACATTATCAGCCTATAAAATCTTTATGTTTTACATCAGACGGTTCTCATTTCATATCTGCAGGCCAAGATGGTGCAATATTAGTGTGGAATTTAACACAAATTGTTTCAAAATTGGATGATAATCAAACTCCGCTGTATACTTTTACTGACCACGGTTTAGGAATTACTGATATATTCATTGGAATCGGAGGGATTCGATCTTTTATGTATTCTGTATCTCTAGATCGCACTTGTAAAATTTACGATCTATGCATCGGGAATCTATTGCTTAATGTAGTGTTTGCTGAAGCTTTATATTCAGTAGTAGCAAATTCTTTAGAAACTCGTGTTTATGTTGGTACAGGGGAAGGAAATATATATGAAATTAATATTGGTTCGGTGCCACGTACAAAGGTAAAGAGTAAAGTATATGTCATAATTTATTAATCAACTGTTAATTTCCATAAATAGGAATATCATATGGAGGTTGAGAAAAATGCTAACTTTAGTGGTCATACGCCGAATACATCTGTAGACTGCCTCGTTTTATCAATCGATGGACAAACTCTTCTCTCTGGGGGACAAGATAAACTTGTTTATATATGGCATATATCAAGTAAACAGCTTATAAGAACGATACAAAACAAAGGTTCTATAATGAATATTAAAATTCAATTAACAAATGTTAACACATTTCAATCCGAAAATAAACAAAGGAATTTGTTTAATGGAAATCTTCAAAGAATAATGGAATCAACAGAAGTTGATGAACACGAAAGTGTTGAGGTACTTGTTACACAACCGAACATCGAAGACACATATGAAAAAGAGCAATCTGTAGATGCCGATTTAAGCTGTTTACATTTTAATGTAAAGGATGATTCCGCACAGAATATTACCGAACTTAGAGCTGAAATACAGCGTCTTAAAAAGATTAATAAAAGTCTATTTCTTGAAAGTGCTTTACATATACTAAACGTGAAAAAATAAAAAAGTATCGTATTATTTCAAAAAGTTTGGCATTACATTTTATTCTGATTTTTGTGTATTCTTGTCAGCGTTTTCTATTTCGGTTTGTATCTCCTTCCTGATTTCTCTGTTGGAATGTAAAAGTTCTTTCAGCTGTTTAATTATGTTATCTGTCTTCTGTTCAAAGAAATCCAGAGCGGTGCTCAGTTCATCAAGGCTTTCATTTAGGTCTTGCATTTCTACCATATTATATGTTAATTTAAAATTTAAGTGGACTTAATAAAAACTGATTTGTCTTACCTTGCAACTCTGTAGCATCTTGGACTTCTGTTGCATTTGTTTCTGGATCATTATTTTTAGGAGACATTTTTTAATATCATTAGATCAGCTGACTTGTTTTTTCTTCCTATTTCATTGATGAATCTGTATATGTGTTTATAGTTATTACCATATTAAAAAAAATTATAGGTGAAAATTAAACTTGCAATGTTTCTTTCTTACTGTGTTTACATTTGTGTGATATAATTTGAGGTCTGTTCCCGTAATTAAAAATTAAAATAAAGGTTTGTAAAAAAAGTGTTTAAAAGTACAATTTCTAAATATTTACTGGCTTAGCGAAAAATCATGACAAAAATTTTGTGCCCATTTATAAACTGCATTATAATTTGAGTTATTTGAAATTTTTGACAAACTTTTAAAATAATATAATATAGCTAATTATAATTAAAAAATGTGATATGTAATAGTTTACTGTGTTTAAAAATTAAAATTATACGTCAATTTCCTCTATAACGAAAGGAGTTTACGTAAAGATAATTGTAAACTTTTTAAATAAGAATATAATAAATCACATGATGTTATTCCTGCTGTTAAATTTTTTTTAAATGAATAAATTATGCATATAATATAAAGGATTAGATTTGAACTGCAGTTTTTCAATTTTACTTGGACAAGTTTGTCATGTAAAATTCAACTAAATTTTTAAAGATCATGAAACGACAGTTCAGTTCAGCATCAAAAACCGTTTTTTGTTATTAGTTTTTAGGTACGAGAGCAGCAAATATAAAAAAATCGATTAAACTTTCGCTGGAACTCAATTAAAAGCACGTACTGGAGCACGTACGTTTATTAATATAAATAGATAATGGACTATATTGCTGCTTATCCATCGAGATAAGTACAATAGTCTAAACATAACATTACTTAAATTTACAAATACTTATTGTAAATGAAGACCATTTTGGATCTAAAAATTCAGGTAATAATTTCTTGTTTAGAGATAGGAAATTATTGAATATTTATCATATTATTACTGTACCTTTGGCTTTTATTTGCTGATAACGTTCCTGATTATTAAGAGTAATGATTTCGATAACAATTAAACATAAATTTTCTTTAACCTCATAATTATCTTTAATGAATTCTAATTTATGGTAACACCTTATTTTTAATTTATGAATGAGGTTGTTAAAGAGCGTATGAGGTACGATGGTTTCAGTATAATCTATTGTAAAAATTTCAAAATAAATATATTATTGAAGACAGAAGGTATGTGTTCTTTATTTTCATAATACTCTACATAAAAAATTTCAATGTTATGTGTCAAAGGCTGAGTGGCTTATAGTGGGGCATTGGATATGATTATAATAAAATAGGTGCTGTTCTTAGGAGTATACCCATTTTACCCGTACGTGATATAGCATTATATTGCCGATAAAAGAATCGCGGTAACAAATTTAGGCACTCACAGACTGTTCCAGTAGCAAAGACAAAGAAATCGGTTTGGATACATAAGCAATAGCGCAATTCATTTCGAAACAACACTAGACAAAACAATTACTCTCTCGCTTTATACACATAGCCATCCAAACAGTTCTACAGTAAAGAGAACCCTCTCTACTTGTTGCTTTCGTGGCTTGAAATTGTCACCGCAATGATGATAAAATCTATGTTACAGGAGCGTCCAGGTCTACGTTGCGGTGACATTCGCCTGTTCCGACGACCAACAGGTTTCCTCCTTAAATCTCTGAGAATGAAAGACTTGTGCCTATTGCAGCAAGAACTGTCTTTGCCCAAATAAGATAAGAAAATAAACACGTGCTTAACAGTGCCTCAACTGTAGCTCTACTTTCATCCATTTGTTTTCATGTCCAAATGCGCTCGCAAATGTGAGCTCTATGTATTATTAGCTCCGCCAGTTGAAGTTGTGAGATTCCTTCAGTTTAAATAGTTTAATTCCAACATTCTTACCTATTCGCAAACGCGTACTCTTACCTTACATCATATAACTGCCCGTATTCGATTTCAGTGTTTTGTCTGACAGTTCTTGCAGCTGTTTAACAGTTTGGCGTTGGTTACAACAACAACGACAACAACATAAGAATATGGACTATATTGTATAAGTTTATAAAAAAAAGTATTTAAAAGTATAACTTCTGAATATTTGCTTGCTTAGCATAAAATCATGATATAAAAATTTTATGCATATTTAAAGACTGCGTTTTTATTGTAGTTATTTGAAATTTATGACAAACTTTTAAACAAATATAATATAATTAAAATGTGTGATGTATGATAATTTGTAAAACAATATTTTAAACATTTTTTAGATGTTAAATGCTTTTTCTATGTTGAACCACGCACAGATTCAGATGAGACATTTCCTGCAATCATATTATCTCTTCCCCGTATTCGCAAAACTTTTAACACGAAGAACGCTGTTTCGATTTGACTTCCTCATGGAAGTCAAATTCGTCACTTTGGTTACTTTTCCTTTATGGTGATTTTAGCAATAACAAAAGAGCTTCGAAAACCAAAAAAAAAAAACCTGGAACGCATTTGTTTGGTCTATATGTATATATATTTATATATTTTATTATATTTCATTTTTTACAATATAATCTCAGTATATAATTAATTAATCAATGATTTCAATTTATAGTTATGAAACTTATATATTTTAGTAAAAAAAAGTATCACAATATTAATCAATACTATTTAAATATTTAATGTTAAAATTTTAAATCTTTTTTGCTACGCATAAGATTTGCGTATGTGCTATTTTAGACATCAGGATATGTCAAATTAACAATACATGTTATATGAAATTATTTTTTTTAAAAATCTCTATAAAAATATTTTTTCAAAACCAGTTTGCTTAAACTTAATTAATTAAGGAACTCTACAGGTTTATTTTGTCGCGGTTTTCTGAATTCTGAAATACAGAAATACAGGAATACAGAAATTGATTAAAAATTAATTTGTTAAAAATTGTCTTACTTCTGTTACAAAATCGTCCATGAAAGCCATTATCACATTTACATGTTTTATTGGGCAAACATTCTCCGTGTTTGCAGGGCTTCTTACATGTAGAACGTTGTTTTCGTACAATTTCACAGTGATCACCGCCTAAACCCTTAGGACATCGGCATAAATTGGTTCCAATGCATCGGCCATTATTTTTACATGGTATTACGCATTTCGCTAAACATAAAGACAAATGTTTGTATTATCAACTTTTAGTTAACTTAGTTCTTACAATATTCGCAACGTAGTCCATAATAACCTTTTGAACATTGGCACTTATCTTTTTGTATACATTTACCTCCATTAAGACACTTTTCAGTACATATACCTAAAAATTGATATTAAAATATTAAAAATTAATATAATTTATTGTTTTTCAGAGATTTATTCAAAATGTTTAAAATATTTAAGTTCAGAGTAATTCAAATAGAACTTAATGTTCATAAGAAATCACTACATCAGAAAATGCTAATGACGAGCCATAAAACAAAAGAGACAAAACCTAACATACAAAAACGGCCATCGTCTTTAACAGATGAAATTATACGTGTAGATCATGCTGGGGAGCTTGGTGCAGATAGAATATATGCAGGTCAATTAGCTGTTCTTGGAAATAGTCCAATGAGTGATAAAATTTCTCATATGTGGGAACAAGAAAAATGTCACCGCCAACAATTCGAAAAATTAATACGAGAACATCGTGTTCGCCCAACAGTAATGACACCAATATGGAATGTAGCTGGTTTTCTGTTAGGAGCAGGTAAAAAATTCTTATTAATCTTTAATATATTAAAATAATGTTTAAAGGAACGGCATTAATGGGTGAAAAGGCTGCAATGGCCTGTACAGTTGCTGTTGAAACAACTATCGTTGAACATTACAATGATCAACTTAGGAAAATTATGGAAACAGATAAACCCGATAAAGTAAAATTGTTATTATATTCATTTAATGAAATAAAAATCTATGTGTATTTTAGGAGCTTCTTAAAGTGATTACTAAATTCCGTGATGAAGAGCAGGAACATCATGATACTGGTATTGAACATGGAGCGGAACAAGCTCCATTTTATGAGACAATGACTACTTTAATTAAATATGGATGTAAAGCAGCTATTGCGATTTCTAAGAAAATTTAATGTATTGGTGTATTTTAAAAATTTAAATAAAAATTAATTTAATGTAATTCATTTTATTTTCAACATTTCAATTAACCTTAGATATGTTCATTTTCTTACCTCCTTCACATTGTGTTCCTTGATAGCCATCGGGACACGTACAGACGGATGGTGCTGTACAATTTCCACCGTTTAAACAGTGTGGAAAACAAAAAGCAGTTTGACAGTATTGCCCAGTATAACCGGGGTTACATTGACAGATTTTTTGATTATTACAATAACCGTTGTTACCACATTTTATGTTACATTCAGGATCAGGTTCTAAAATTATAGTTTTTCAAAGAAATAAAGTATTATCCATTCAACACAAAAAAAAGGAAGAAAAAAAACAAATAATAAGGACGCAAGGATATGTTTGGATTTTTATTCTGACAATTTATAAAATAAATTTAAAAATATCAAAAGCTAACAAAAGCAATTAGAGGTATTCTATATACTCTACCTGGCAAAGATGTTAGTGAAGGATTGGAAGCATCTAGGCTGTCATACACACCTTTATGTGCGCATTCCTTTTTAAAGCTTAACCGAACTGGTGTTCCCGGTAGCTGTCTTCCTCTACGAGTTTGTATTGACAAGCCAATGTTAAACATAGCAGTGCCGGAGTTATTACCAGTGCATGGTAAAAATACGCTAAAATCTGTTATATATGTTGTAATAATAATTATTTAGAAAATTATAATTGTAATTCGGATAACTTACTTTTCTTTTCTTTTGGCACACCACCTTTTGCTTTGATTGATAACGTAGGTGCTTTTAAAATACTATCATCAAGTGTTTCTAAACGATCGAAATGATAACAATATTTTTTTGATCCAGATTTCCATGTAAAATTTACATAACTTATTTCAGAAGGTATAGTAATATACTTATAAAGATTCGCATCTCGAATATCATTAACTACATGGCCGTTTTCAATTGCATATATGCGACCATGTGCATAATCTTGTTTGAAAAAAAGGGCTTTACCATAATTTAGAATAAAATCAAATTTTATTTGAATTATTTTAAAGGTTTTATACATTACCAGTTAACGTCTTTAACTGTTGCTCACTTATCCAAAGAGATATGTCTTCATCATCGTTTTGTTTCAGAACATTTCGGTTTTTTGGATGGTTCCTTTTGTTATTATTTCCAGCTCTTTGACTAGTTTCAAAAGTTTCGTATTCATTTCTAAAACAATCTGCATTATTTCTGCGAATATGATGCTGTTTGCATTCAAAAAGGCTAATCCAAAACAGGGATAAGATTACAAACAAGTAAAGCAAGTTAGTTTGAAGCATTCTACTGAAACAAAACAAATTTTACTGTTTGATATAATAGTTTCAGCATAATATTTTTTATTTCATATGTACTAATGGAAGCGGATATTGCATAGTATATTAAATAACAATTCTACTATATTATATATATTTGGCTTTATGCTGAACAACATAGCAATATTATAAGGATACTTATTATCAGGATATCGCGATCCGAACGAATATTTTTTGCATTCAAATTTATTTTAAAAAATGAGGGAATATCTTGAGGAATATTAATTGTAGAATTAGAAGCAATTTGCTAAAACTATTGAGTTCAAAAAACTAATACATTTAACATATAAATGTACGGATACAAGTTCTTATATCAATTATGTGTTTGAAACAACTCCATTGCCATTAATTGTGTTTTTATAATTATTCTAGAATTAATTTTCAAATATATAATATTTGGATTAATATGAGAAAACTTTATCTAAAATTTGAGTAATGAAATTAATTTTCATCAGCCAAGTTTTTAAATACGGGCAACGAAAAAACTTAATATTTAAACCTATATTAACAATTATTTTTTTTAATACACAATATAAGAAAATTATTTTGTTTATCAACATTTTTTTTTACGAAACGTACAAGTTCTATCTGATAACCGTTTTTAATTATTCAAATTAACTTAAACAATTAAATTAAAATTAATTTATTTGAAAATTCGGTAATATTTACATTTCAATATCTTGTCTAGAGTCTTAAAATAACTCACGGTTACATTTGTGATCTGGGCGACAATATAGTTCTTTTATTTCTATATAATTGACTAAATATTTGAAATTTAAAGCATAAATAATGTGAAACAAATCTATACATTTTTAAATCTGTTAAATTATATATATATATATATATATATTAAAATTTGTATATATATATATATTAAAATTTGTGCATTAATAACAGCAAAGGTCTCCAATAGTTTAATAGGTATAATACATTATGAAGTATGCGTGGTATCTAAATTTTCAGTTTTCTAAAATTGAAATAATTTTAAAATTGATATAAAATTTTACAAGTATATATGTAAATAAAAGCAATTTTTTTTTCGTTTCAATTCTACCGTAAATCAAACTAAATATGAAATTATAAAACTTAAGCACTCACTGAATACATAAATCTAGATTTACACTATATTTGCTAATTTCGCTTTAAAATTATAAGAACTAAATATCGCACTAGACTTATTGAACTTTATATACTATAAGTAGTAGGAGAAAATAAAAATATTTTCATATGATCACATATTTTGGATTGAATACATTACTTGATGACATTTATTTCATTTACGCATTTATTAATTACTAGTTTTCACACATATGTATTAACTGTGCTCGTATAGTAGCGGCTGTTTGTCTGGCGTTAGTTGATAATAAGTAAGAGTATCCCTTATAAAAGTTGTCGTATTATCGTATTCGATTATAAACAAAAATTTTAAATTATAATTTCTCTTTAGATTATATGTAAAATTGTTTTGTTATAAACTATTTTCTTTTGCATATTCTTACGTGACAAATCTAACAAAATGCCGGCACAGTAATTTGTTTCTTGTATGTTAAAAAAAAAATAAACTATTTTAAGAATACAATGGCTTATATTATAATTAGTCAATGATATTGACGAAAGTGCACATTTTAATTATATTTTTACTTATACGAATTTTACTGTATCAACCATACTTTTCAAGAAACGAATGAAGTTATATATACGACAAAAGAAAAATGTCAAAAAGAAACTATCATAAATGAGAGAATGAATTCTCTCATTCTTGGTTCATATTCGTCCCCTTTCATTATATTTCAGGTAGTAGTCTTTCGAAATAAGAAACAATAAATCTGTTATTATTTATTATAAAAATAAGTTACTTTTTCTATTCTATGTATTTTCTATTCTAATCTATTGAAATTCATCAAAATTTTTATGAATGAATCAAAATGGTTATAAAATGTATTACTTACAAAAAGATATATTGCAACATATTATCGATCCACTTGTGTTTAGCATTTAATAAAACCTATATTCATGTATTTATATAAATAATATAGAGGTTTTTCGAACAGTAGTAAACTACAACAACATAAATTCATAATAAATAAAAAATTAATAAATATTAATAAAGAATATATTAATATATAGTTATTAAAAATATATTGTGGTTCATACAATAAATATATAAATGTTTAATTAAATATTTTGTATTCATCTTTTCATGTTTATAGCTAAAATTTATTAATTTTATTTAAAACAACTTAATCAATATGTGAATATTTGTACAAAATGTTTTATTATTAAATAATAGGCTATGAATGCACCCCGACCTAAAAGATCTATTGTGCACAAAATGTTTTACTATGGTGTAAAAGGTATACGAATTTATGCATGTAAATTTACGGAGCTATGATATTACCAATTTTTATTTGTTTGTTATTAGGAAATACAAACTGTTTCAAAATCAACTTTTAAATGTAGTTTTTATCTTTTTAGGTAGCGTTGCTTATTAGAAATATTAACAATTGATTATTTGATATTATAAAAGGATGATTTTCGTTTATGTTAGCTAAAATTTAAACAGTGTTATGAAAAGTTATTTCGAAATTGTTGTGAATATAGTTTTTATAAAAGGCAGTTTTAATATGCAATTTCCTTCTTAATTTAAACGATAAATTTATAAATCTCAATTTTTTTGCTTTTGTTTTGGTCAACGTTATTACCTCAAAGAGTTGTAGATTTGAAAGTTTAGGTTTAAATAGGATTACATTATAATGTACATATTACGTCAATCTTGAAGAATTTCCAAAGAAATTTTTGATTCACATATTAATATCCAATGTGGAACCGATGTTATACCGTAAATTGGATCATCCACACATTACGGAATTATTTCATTATTATTTTCAATATTTGTAGCGTAATTTAAATAAGAAATAACGAAGTGAATGACATCCAATGAAAGTTTTTTTTCGGAGTAAGGTTTTGTGTTGCCAACTATTGCAAGTCTTGGTTTATAGCTGTTCTCACTGATATCTTTCTTCTAACTAGTACAATGCGGAAGCTAGTGCAAGCAATACTACATTCAAATGATGTGTAATGTATCGTTAGTATGCCATCTTGAACAGATATTGATGATAATAGCTGCTTTACAGCAGAAAATGATCCGATCGACGAATACAGGATATAACAACCATTTGGTAAACTAGAGATTGACCATTCTGATATAATGTAGAATATATGGGCAGAATCCTACTTTTACAGAATACAGAAACAATTGCAATGAAACGAAACACTAAGTAGTAACCAAACAAAAAAATTTTGAAAGCAAACAGCTGACAATTATGATGCGTTATAAATCGATCACGAAGATTTAGACCACATGTAGAAAAAGACAGAATGAATGAAATAAAATTTAGGACAGAGCCTATTACCAATTTTGCTTAATAATTTTTTCGACAAAACTTATAGAAAACATTATTTTAAAGAAGAAACATTTTATTACATATTTAAAATAATTTTAATTTTTTTTTACTCAAATTACAGGTTTTTTTTTGCAATAAAATGAAAACAATTTGTAGTTTTACTCTATCCACTTTTAAAATGTTTAAAATCAACTCAGCTGTTAATGACTGATTGATAGCTACCTTAAAACTGTTTTTAATTCTTCTGCGTAAACGCTCTAAAAACAAATTTGAAAATTGTTTTAAAAGTAATTTTTAGATTATCGGAAACATAGTAATTGTTTGCGGAAACGTATTTAACATTACCGCCACCATATTTCATTGTATAACTAAAATGATTTTCTAGTAGTTTTAAATTGTGAATATGAAGTAATGGAACATATTGTTTTCGTTCTATTACGACTAATCTGCAATTAACATTTGCTTTATAAAAATGTATTAAAATAGTTGTTTTATAAAACTAATGTAGTATGTTAATGAAATAGTGTGTTCTGACGCATTTATTCATAGAAATGTGTAGCGCCTAAAACCATTAATATTAATTCGTTGGTAACGCGGTGCCCGATTTATCGATACTCAGAGGCTGATTTTGTCATCTTTTACAGAAAATTAGGGAAAGTGAAAAACTCTTTAATACATATAATTGTTTGAGCGAAATAGAAAAATGTTAGAACTAAGCTTTAAGTATTTAGTAAACCTTCTATCATCGCTGTTAAAATAAAAATCAAGATTTAAAGCAACAAAACTATTTAGAGAGGATAAAAACAAACATGAATGCTGCTTTACATAAAATTGGTACGTAAATAATTGCTATGAGTATTACCATATTCGCCAGATATGGAAAAATATTATTTACATTGCTTTTAGAGATGCTGTCATAATGTAGCAATGTTTAGCTTATAATATTTGCCTTTATATAGAGTGAAGTACGTACTAAGAGATTATTATAATTTTATGTTGCTTTACATGATTAGTAATTCAATAATTTAAAATACTCTGTGTGCATCATGTTTAAAAAATTTTTAGGAAACCAATATTTATTATACTACATTTTATATGAAGTTTTTTTTTTAATATGCTGAGAAATCTACGTTTATTGTGAGATATAGGAGACTGATACCATCCTAGGTTTTGCTTCATATGTAAATTATATATTTTGTTCTCATATGTGTATCAGCCGCTCCTATTGATTGCACCACATTTGACACCTGCTAAAGTAGATTTTTTTAAGCTACACAATTTAAATATTATATATTATTTAACTAATTTAAATAAAAACTGTGAATATGACTGCTTATTTGAAAGTGTGAAATGAAAATTTTAAATTGTTTATATTAAAAAGTCATCTGTGTTGTTCTCTTCATGGTGTTAAATTACTTTTCATAGTCTTCAACAGTTTATAAAGATTATACAAAACTTTAAAATACAAAGGGTTAGCTTTACGCTTCTGGAGAGTGGATTCTCTACATGTTTATGTTAATGTTTACATAAAGAAATTGTTAAAAAATATGATGGTAGACTTTAACTTGGCAAATCTATTACGTTATCTATGGAGAAGTTTCTTCTCAAACTTTTGCATAGATTGCGATTATTGACAAATTCTTCAATATCCCGTGGGTTCATGTTTCCAAAACTGTTTTGATTTGTCAAGTGTAAATAACTGAATTTGAATCACGTCCTAACGAACTTTGAAAACAACGTGTAAAAACGTTAACTCTGTATATCATAAAAGTTGTCAGGGATATTTAAACATATTGTTAAAAGGTTTTATTAAACAGATAATTAACCTGGGTTTATCTAAATTTAGATGAAGAAACACATGAAGCCTCTTTGAATCATTTAACATGTCGGACAATGTATACTCAAATTATTTATTTCTGCTATTAAAGGTATCAATGTGCTATTAGGTATTAAAGCGATGTGATAAGTAGAGAACCCACAAAACGGCTCAATTTTTTCTGATAGGTGTGTCTAATGCAGCTTTCCATTGAAAACAGTTTTTTAATGGTACTATTAATTTGACTTCTTTGTAGGATATAATAGCTGCGTTTCAGCAAACATGATCCGCTCAATGATCTGAATCATCTTTGCTGAAACGATAGGGATCACGTTTGAAAATAATTGGCAACGCATGAAATATGCCAGTTGCGTTTGGGTACAAAATTTTTTAATTTATGTGAATAATTTTGGCGCTAAAAAAATAAGTGAGAAAATTTTGAATACAAAAAATCTAAAAAATGGAAAATAAATAAAATCTGAAATGTGTGAAGTATGAAATGTAAGTTTTTATTTAGTATTTACTTAAAAACTTAAATTTAATTCTATAGTAAATAAATGAAAATTGCAGATTTTATTAGAATCATCGAGCGAAACTGACTCTTCCATTCCCTTTTTAAATACTAGTTCAAGTGTATTAAGCTCAAGGAATGAAGTGTATTAGCATGGATATAGTGGAAGTTTTGTGGAAACGATCAATAATTCTTCCGTTAAAGATTATTTGATTGGTATTTGCGCATAAAAAATACAATTGCTATATATTAATTATGTTTCATATTTGAATAAATTTGTTAATAAAATCCAATCAGCAAATACAAAATAACCGTGGTGGTCACAACTGAACGAGAGCAATGAAGGAAATTTACATATTTTTGTGGTATATGACAAATATAAATACTTTTCGCGAATTTGATATTTGTTTTGGCATATCAAAAGCTTCTGTATGGAGAATAATTGAAAGAACTAGTGATTAGCTTATAATTAGGCTTATTTCAAAAGGAAGCATAAATATAGCTTAAACTTGCAAGCAGTTTGCAATGGTTTTTTTATAAACGTGTATGTTGGAGAGCCTGTTTCCTTATGTATTGTTCTGTTTTAATTAAATAAATGTATTCAATTTAATGTTTATATATTCATTTCAAATTAATTGATTTTAACAAATTATCAAACAACACTTTTTTAATAATAATAAAACGTAAATAATTAAAGTAATAATTTTAATTAATTTTAATAATTTTAATTTATAGTAATAGTAATAATTAAAGTATTACTTCAAACAAAGAAATAAATAATAATGACATATTAAATAAATAAGTACATAAAATAAATAATAAATAAATAAAATCAATAATAAATAAATATAAATGTAGATTTGTTTATAATTTTACTACACCATTGCATCGCATTGCCAACCCCATTTGCATTAAAATACGTTCCACTTTTATCTTTTACATACATTCCACATTGAACCAGAAAGTGAACCAGATCAATTGCTGGTTCACCCCATTGTTTTTGTTTTGCATGTAAAATTGAGCGGATCATGTTTGCTGAAACACAGCTAATATTTGCAAGTGGGACCGCATCCCTTTTTGATTCATACTAATATAAATACCTACATATATTAAATAAGTGCCTCAACGGAAATTTTGGATTAGGTGTTCATTGCCACAGTAATGTTTAAATAGCAATCTCTGAAGTTAATTATGTTCGTCAGTAATCTGTTATTACAATGTAAGGCTATTCCCTTCTTACAATATATATAATACAATATATATATATTTATATATATATATTGTACATATTGTAAATATATTGTAACTTATTATACCATATATTTATAATAAGTTTTATCAATATTTGATATGACTAAACGTTAGTTTTGAGATTAGTTCCTAGATATTACCGTAGAGATATTGATAGGTCATCATGTATTATTTATTCATTGTCATCTACAACTGTTCCACCTAAGCTGTTTAGTTTTTCTTAAAAAAAGAATGGAGGAATAAAAAAAAATATTGTAATTTTAAGAAAAATTTTTTTGGAGTATGAAAATAGAATAAAATTAGTTTTCGAAGGGTCAATTATAACCTTATTTTATTACATCTTACTTATTTGGCCACAACAACGCGTAAACGGGTTTTGGCTTGACGCAGCGTGTCTCTCTTGGCGCCTCTGCTGCATGCACTGCTCTCCAGTTTCGTACATTAGGTCCGGTTAGTGCAAGCTCAAACCTTAACTTGATCATTCCACCGGAGACACGATCTGCCTCTTTGTCTTGTTCCCCCAACTACCACTTCCAATACCTTTTTTGTTAAAGCATCTTCATCTCTCCATTCTCCAAGTCAACTAAAAGTATTCTCTTACTATTATTAAGACAAATTGACCGTATCTTATCAATTTAAACAATTTCCTCATTATCAAGATTAGAGATTAGAGACTAGAGAATCTCATTTTGGTGTTATTAATTTCTACTCATATTTTTGTTAACATACTATATAGCCAACACGCTTGTGTACCAATTTAAAGTTATTGTCTTAAGGCTCAGTTAGTCGGTACGTATCATAAGAAGTGAAGTCAAAGCGAAATGAACAATCAACCATACCTGTGTATTTGATAGAAACAAAACAAACAAAAGCGGCGAACTTTCATTTAAAATTACATGAAATTACATGAAATGCATACAATCATATATTAAAATTGTTTTTAAAATAATTATTTATTTATAATTATTAAAATATAATTCCATGATTATATTTATATTTTAAGACAATTCAGTAGACACCTCGATACAGCCTAATATATTATTGTCGTCGCATTCAAAAAAAATAAGTACTCCAACGCGAACTACAGCTTCGGCACTATCTCCCACTCAGTTGGCATCAGTACCGAATACTGTAGTTGCTTCTGTATGCAATACTTCGGGTCATAAAAACAGCTTAAAAGGTACAAAGCTAGCAAGAAGAGCTCGCTCCTTTAAAGACGATTTATTTGAAAAAATATCCCTTATACGAACTCCAACAAATACTTTGGGGAGGTAAATATTAAAATCAGTACATTAATATATTTTTTTAAACACATATTTTAAAATTAGATCTCATTCTCCACATAGTCCGGGAAATAAGAATGCGATAAAACTTCAACATAGTGCAGAAGAAATGGCTAAATCATCACAATCTTTAGAAACTTACGTAAAAGATATATCTAATGCTCTTAAACATTTCAAAGATGTTATCTTAAAAAAAAAATTAGAAGTACTCCCCGGAAATGGTACTGTGATTTTGGATACAATTGCAAGCATGTATTCCGGTAAAATAAATTAAGAGAAAACTTTTGTTTGAATTAAAAAAATGAAGCTTATTGAATTTTTTGGTTTTAGTTATCCAGTCGTATATGTTAAACGAGAATAGCACATTGCTTCTGTCAGCAACACAACAAGTTTATCAATGTCTTGGAAAATTGATAAAATTTTGTGATGAAGTCATGCTCAGTGATGAAGATGACGAATGTGTTTCTCTTAGTAATGAGAATGTTCGAGACGTTGTTGATTTGTTAGAGGATGCGGTGAAGGTAGTTATTACCATAGGATTAACTTTAAACTTTAAACAAAAAAACGAAAATTTTTTTATTTCTAGAATCTTGTGTCATTAGCTCAACAGAAACTAAAAGAAAAAGAGCATAACTCGTTTGATCTCGCATCTTCTTCGCAGGAAAAAGCAATAATTAATACTGCAAATAACAGTTTAATGCGTCCGCCAATTGAGCTGGCTGGAAGAACATCTCTACCTGACATAACATTAACACCAAAGTATAATTGATAAATGATAACTATATATTGTTTGCACTAAATTTAAAAATTTGATATATTAATTTAGAGAGCGTGATATTTTGGAAAAAACTAACTCAAATCCAATTCGGGCATCGCATAGTACAGAAAGTATTCTAAGAGATACAAGTCCTCCACCAAAACCACCGCTTCCAAATAGGTAAGATTATGAACAATTCATAAACTATTTAAAAAAATATATACTTTGTGTATAGGTCTGATAATCCGCCTCCAATACCACCAAAAAGACGCAGCCAACAACAACAAAAAAATCGAATTTCAAACAACATCAGCATTAATTCAAATTTGGATTGTGGTTCAGACATCTCCATACTAAATGTTGGTGTTGATCAGTAAGCAAAAAATAATATTTGAAATTTTAAAAAATATTCTCAAAATAATCTGTTTACTAGTTTATCTGTCCGATCGAGATCTCCCGATGAAAATTCTAGTCAATGCTCACTTGATTCTGCTTTAAACCAGTCCCGAGAGGAAGAAGAGTTAAAAATACTAGGTTTAGAGAATAGTTTGGATGAACAAATTTTTGAAGAGGATGTTGAAAAAATATTGACATATAATGGTAATTATGATATATATTAATATTAAATAAAAATTGATAAAAAGAAAAAGTACAATTAAATTTGGTGCGCTCGCAAAATAAATGCGAATTTATTTGTGTACGTGAAGGTATTATAACTTCAGTGTTTGTTTAAAAATTTGTGTTTTCTATAACCAATAAGAATATTGAATATTGAATATTGCATAGAGTGAGCACATTTATATAGAACTGTGTAAAATAGAATTATATTTTCGTGAAAATGTCATTAACTTGTTTTTTATAATAAACAGAAAATTATAACTGATTTATTTAATCTAAAATTCCAAACAAATTTTCAAAATTTAGAATCAATGAAAGGAAGTCAAACATTCAAAAACGAGGAAAACAAACAAAATGTTTTTGTTATGGAAGATGGTAGTGGTAATATTAGTGTCAACAATTGTGCTGCTTCGGTAGCTGCAGGAATACATAACGTTGCCCTTGCAACAATGTTGACTGGCAACTGCAATACAAATAAACTGGAAATGCAAAATTCCCTGAATAATCGGCATTCAAATGAATCGGGTACAAAAATATATTGTATTTTTTTTTTTTTTTTTTTTTTGATTTTAATTAGTGTTTTACAGAAATATATTTATAATTTTAATTTTTTTAGTGTTTTACAGAAATATATTTATTTTAATTATGTCTTGTAACGTTTTATTTTTATACATTAAAAAAAACGCGAAATGATTAAAATTCAGATTTATAATTTATATATTATTACAGGTTTCGCTTCGGTAAGGTCATTTGGAACATCTTCATACAGCGTATCGAAAAGATCCTCTGATTATAGTTTTGAATCATCAACTAAATCAAGTAGTTCGGAAATCGCTTTTGGTACTGGAGAAGCTTTTGGTGGCAATGAAATTTTGTTTCAACAAAAGTTGTATGTTTCGGAGGCGACTGCTGGTTCAATAAGTTCAGAAAAGTCGAATGCGGAATTTACAGATAAAATTTTAAATACAGCATTAATATCTAAAGTTGATGATAATCAATTTATTAGTCATGCTAATAGAGTCAGTTCAGAACATATTGAAAGTGATAAATATTTATTCAATCAAATGGGTTTACTAAACAAAACAAACAGTCTTGACATATCTTCTTCTGGCTTAGCGTCTTTAATTGACATTACAAAGCCAGCATTGCCTCCTAAATTAGCTAGAAACAAAGAACAGATGGCTTTACATTCAGAAAACTTTGAGGAAACTGATGATTCAATCAGGTAATATAAATTAGTTTTAGTTCAAAACCCTTATTATTATTGTTATTTATAAATTTGTTTTCTATGTCATAGAACGATTACTACTCTCTAAAATTTTAAAATCTAAAAACCTAAAAGCATTTAAAATCCAATTTGGAGTTCATTATAAAAAGAAATTTTATTTATATTATTTAATGTTTTAAGACAGCATGTTATAAAGATAGTTTCTTATTGCATAAAGATAGGTAGTATTTTATTGTATAAAGATTAGTTATCAACACGTATATGCTTTTAACGCGGTGCAGACTATCATTTTTGAGTGTCATTTATCGATTTTCTCTCTTAAAATCGATTAATGACTCTCAAATATGATAGTCTGCAGCTTTGAATGACACGCAACCAACATTTTGTGAATGATAGTCTGTTACCCAAAAACTTATTTTTTCGTTATACAAAAGCATATTTTTGCATTGTTGCACTAACACATTTACAGCGTGCGCAAACATCCTTATTCTTCAAAAATTTTTCTTGATTGATAATTCTTGAAAGTGAGCAACATCATCAACATTATTTTGTTCTGTCTAAAAGCAATGTTACTCAACAGGCGAGATTCAACAATTATTTTGCAAATACGTAGCGAACTTATGGTTAGGATGAGATTTAAATTAGATACGGTAGTTATAAAGGTGATTAATGTGGAATGATAAAATGGTAATCTCTATATGACAGTTCAAGAAACTATTTAGTTCAACTACATATATAATTTTGTTGTTAAATGTTTAGTTGTCGATAGGTAGGAAGAGGCTAATAATTTTTTTTGTGTAGTGTTATAATAGTATAAAGCATTTTTAAATAACTTTAGTTACATAAGTATATTAACTAGTTTTGTATGCAATAGGATAAAAATTGTAAAATTGTTATTTAATGAATTATATAAAATAATCAATATAATTAAGATAAATATATTTTTCATTATAGTGGTAATTTACATGAAGCACCAGAATTGCGCCAACATAATAAACTTCACCAACAACAGATTTACCAATGGCAATCAAAGCACCAAAGTCTTATTGAACCTAGAACTTCTGGAGGAGTTTCAGGAAATTATGATGCATCTGGATCAGTTGGTAATCTGACAGAGCCTCCTCCCCTTCCTATTAAAAAAAAGCACAGTAAGTGTATTATATAACCGAGATAATTTATTCACATATTTCGTTTTTTACTTATATGTTTAAAAAATATGAACAAAAAACTATGGGTCTATTTTGGAATTGCTGTAAATTGGCAATTTTATATCAATTATTTCCTTTTTTTTTTAAATATTATATACAATATTTTCACATGTGATTACAATTACAATAATCAAACAGTTTTGAGAACAAAAGTAATACTATTCACATTTTTATACACTCATCGAAATATAATGCAAAATATTTACAGTGTCAAAACAATAATGACACTGAAAGTATTAATATTAACAAAAAACACAATTCTGCAAAATATAATATAATATTAAAAAAAGTTTTAATGAATATGAATTCTTATGATTTTCAAGTGTTTCAAAGTGTGGCATTTTCGGGTAAGTGACACTATTCTTAAAAAATTCCTTGAGTTTATATACACATTTTGTATAATTACAACGTACACAGCTTTTATTATTTTATTAAAGCTATTTTCTCAGTTATAAGTGAATGAAAAATTGTTTATTTATCTATTTGAAGAATACTTTCATTGCTTAAAAATTTTTAGTTAGTCTTTCAACAGACTTTAATATGACTTTAATAAGAGCAATATTTAAGTATAGCTTTCATACGCTATGGTAGCAGTTATGCTTTCTTCATTAAATATTCTTTTGCTGCAATATATTACTAACAAATTATATTTCATCCGAAAAATTTGATTGAATGTTAAACATATCTTATTCACTTATTCAATTTCTTAAATTTCCATTTCAATACGTTTATATGTAATAAGCTTGATATAAACGATGATATGTACTAATTTCACTTATTAATACGATAATTTATATTTACTAATTACAGTCTTGGCTTATATGGAAATATGTTCTGCATCTACACGTGCTTTCGAACAACATCGCCATACAGTGCATTCGTATAATTTAAATAGGAATATTACGCACAGTCAAACAATGAAGTAAGTAAGGCACGTATACGGATATGATATATGAGTGTTTTTCAATTTGTCTATAGTATTGTAGCTTCTACCAAAGATTTAAAATCGCCAGATAGTGGAACACCACCAGCTTTGCCACCAAAAAATTACAAACAGCGAAAACAAATTTCTAATCCGCCTACTATTATTACCACACCTCCTCAGAGTCCAAAGCCTTTAAATTTAGAGAGCTGTAATGAAGCAGTACGATATGGCCGTGTTTTACATAATGTACACGGCAATGAACAAATGTCTACAGTTTGTGAGGAAATTTTTGATCTGAATGGAGATGATCAGTTTAATGTAGTGTCGCCACATAATTTGATAAAAGAAGAAGATAAAAATGAAATAAATGTTGACAAAAGAACGAAGTTCCAAAGTATGAAAAATAAAAAAAGTATGGAAGAATTTACATCCGATCTAACTAATGATGAAGATGAAGGAATTGATGTTGTATCAGGCAAGCAAAGTAAAAAGGTAAATAAAATTAGTTCAATATCATGTTTAAAGATTACATATAAAATTATTTATTTTATTTATTTTTTAACAAGATTTTTGGCTTGACAAATACACTTTCGAATCAAAATCTCCCAAATATGTTGGAAGAAATAGATATTACGCCGTTTATAATATTTAAAAAGGAAAGCGAGGATGGTCCCGAAGTAAAAGGCGGCTATATAGATGCTTTAATTGTTCATGCAAGTAGGGTGCAGAAAAACTCTGATAATGGTTAGTTATCATTAAGTGTTCTTATAATAAATTAAATATAATTTTATTATATAGCTTTCAGTGAAGCATTCATAACTACGTTTCGAACATTTATTCTACCTGTTGATGTTATTGAGAAACTTACACATCGATACACCTTTTTTTTTTGTCAATTAAGTGATCAAAAACAAAAAGCCGCCAAAGAAACATTCTCCTTATTAGTTCGAGTTGTAAATGATTTAACGTAAGCTATTTAATATAATGAATGTATTGAACATAATAGCATTAACCTAACTTTACTTAGGTCGAACGATTTAACAAATCAACTACTCAGTTTATTGGTGGAATTTGTGTATCAATTGGTTTGCTCTGGCCAATTATATCAAGCGAAGTTATTACGAAACAAGATTGTTGAAAAGGTTTTTGAAAACATGTGTATTATTAATAATATTGTTACAGCCATGTATTATTAACAGGTTACAATTTACAAGGAACAAAAAATGCCAGTTTATCAAGATGAAATGCATTACACTGTGACAAATCAACCTAGTTTGCTTGATTTGAAGTCTAGTGATATAGCTGAGCAAATGACTCTGCTTGACGCTAACCTTTTTCAAAAAATTGAAATTCCTGAAGTATTGTTATTTGCCAAAGAACAATGTGAAGAGAAATCTCCTAATTTAAATAAATTCACTGAACATTTTAATAAAATGTCATATTGGGCGCGATCAAAAATATTGATGTTATCTGATGCCAAAGATCGAGAAAAACATGTTATCAAATTCATAAAAATCATGAAACATTTACGAAAAATGAATAATTATAATTCCTACTTGGCATTATTGTCAGCATTAGACTCTGCACCAATTAGAAGGTAAGAATAAATTTGCAATACTGCTTAATAATATACAATTTAACTTAATCAAACATAATAGACTTGAGTGGCAAAAAACAATTACTGAAGGCTTAAAGGAATATTGTACATTAATAGATTCCAGTTCAAGTTTCAGGGCATATCGCCAGGCATTGGCAGAAACAACTTCTCCCTGTATACCTTATATGTAAGTTTTGAATATTAATTAAAATATTGGTTCATTTATAGGCAGTAAGTATAAATGTACATCACAGCTAAGAGGAAAGACTGTAGATATAAAAATCGTTTATATGCAATGTTGAGAAAGAAAGAAATGCAATACTTTATATTTTTAGTATGTACAAGATTTATCATATTGATACTTGATATGTGTTATTTTAAATCTATTCTACAAAATTGCGGATACGTTTTATACTATGTTCAGACACACCTTAATTTCGCAAAAATTAATTTTCGATTTGTAAACAAAAAGTATGATCAAAAAGTACTTTTGAAATTAACTTAATTTAATTTTTACGAAATTAAAGAAATTTGGTCGTCCGAACATAGTATTAGAAACAATAATACTAAATACAATATTGATATAATAATAATATTATTAATAAAACTATTATTAATAATATTGATATAAATCATTCTAAAACCGAAAAATAAAGTTCGTTGATGAAGAAGGATCAACATTTTATCAGTAATTGAGTAACTGAGATTCAACTGTTGGTAAAGTCAAAAAGTGACTTGACAATTATTTTTTTTTTTTTTTTAAATTTTATTTTGATTTTTATTGAATCTTCTAAAAATCAACTTAGAACTAACAATAAATTTTCGCTGCTAATTGCTGTATTAAAATATTTGAGAAAAGAAAAGTAGATAATTAATTGTCCTTAGCCAAAGCTTCGTCCAATTTCGTTACCATGTCGGGCGTTATTCTTGAATAGCCGGGTTTATGTAGTTTTTTTTGAGTCGCTGTGTACCAGCGCTTTGGGTAAGGTTGCTTGCAAGTGGATTTTGATGGTTCCTGAGTTTGATTTTGTACTTTTGTGTGTTGCTGGTAATTACATCTGTGACTGTGTCAATTCGAAGATCTCTATGAATATTTGCGTTTTTTATATACCAGGGGGCACCGACTATTTGCCGGAGGATTTTTGATTGAGTTCTTTGAAGTTTTTCAATGTTTGATGGAGAAGCAGAGCTCCAGAGTTCAATTCCGTAGGTCCATATGGGTTTCATCATTGTGTTGTAAAGTTGCACTTTATAGGTGAGATTAAGTTTTTATTTATCAGCCAGTTTAGTTCTTGTTGTTTGAGTTTAATTTGGGTTACTTTGGTTTCTATATGCTTTTTCCACGTAAGCCTTCGGTCGAGGTGCATTCCTAAGTATTTGGTTTCATTGCATTGTGGTATTACTTTTCCATTAATACGAAGGGCAGGGCAGGTATCTCGTCGTAGAGTGAAGGTTATGTGTACACTTTTCGATTCGTTAACTTTTATTCTCCAGAGATCGAGCCATTTTTGCAGTTTGTTGAGGTGGTCTTGAACTGATTTTGTGGCTGTGAATGGGTCGTCACTATGGCTGAGAATGGCAGTGTCATCCGCAAATGTTGATGTTGTTGTACAGTCACTGGTTGGCATGTCTGCTGTGAAAATCAGGTACAGCAAGGGGCCCAGAACACTACCTTGGGGTACACCTGCCATAATGGGGAAGGCATTGGAGACAAAAGAATTTTGTTTTATAACAAATCTTCTATTTGAGAGATAGTTTTTGATAACTGAGGATATATTGTATGGTAAATGTTTCTCAAGTTTCCAGAACAATCCTTCGTGCCAAACTTTGTCAAAGGCTTGGGTTATGTCTAGAAAGACGCCTGAACAATACTGCCTCTTCTCAAACGTTTCCTTAATTACTCGTACTATGCGGTGTTAGGTATTATTCTTTTCTTATTTATATATGGCATTAGTTGTTTTATAAAAAGTTTTTCAAATAATTTTGAGAGAATTGGAAGCAGACTTATGGGTTAATATGAGGTGACTTGAGCGGGGTCCTTTCCGGGCTTGGGTATCATCATGATTTTGGATAGCTTCCAGTCGTTTGGAAAATATGCAGTCCTTAAAATAGCGTTATAAATAAAAAGTAGTTGGTCTTTGGCGATTTGTGGGATCTCTTTCAGCATTTTCGCTGTAATTAAGTCGTAGCCTGGGGTTTTTTTGGTATTTAAATTTTTGATTTCGCTTTTTAGTGGTTTTTTACTGAAGCAAATTGTCATATTGTCGTTTCGTGTGGAGTAAGGCAGAGAGTCAAGTTTTGTTAAAGTAGAGTTTGGGGTAAATACATATTTAAGGTGATTTGCAAAAGCAGCACCCTTTTCCTCATCGCTTTTAGCCCAGTTTCCATCTGTAAGTCGGAGGGGTGCTCTGTGTATAACGGGCTTTTTCTTGAGTTTAGTGGCTTTCCAAAGGGAGTAGTTTGTTGTTTGCGTTGGAGACAACTGTGGAATAAAATTTTCGTATTCTATGCGATTTTTTTCTTTGAGTAATCTCTGAAGTGCTTTCGTCAGATTCTTGAGTTGTTTTTTAATACGGGGGGATCGTTGTTGTTGCCATTGGCGTCGTACTTGTCGTTTCTCCTGTATAAGGGTTGCAATTTCGTTCGATGTATGGTAGTTTATAGGTTTGTGGGGTATTGGGAGTGGGGTTGATATTCGAGCGGCTTGTTGAAGTAAAGCTGTGAAGTCCTGGACTGCCTTGTCAATTTCAATATTTGATTTTAAGGAAGTGTCTGTGTTAATATGTGAGCTAACATATTTTTTAAATTTTAGCCAATTTGTGTGCTGGTTTGTGAGCTTTTCTTCAGATTTTGGATTGACTATTGTTGTGTTTCTAATCAGAATAAAAGTCGGCGTGTGATCAGAGGAGAGTTCTAAGGATGCCTCGGTAGCAATTTGATCTCTTTTTAAATTCTTTGTTACTGCAAAATCAATGACGTCTGGAGTTTTTTTCCGATCTGAAGGCCAGTATGTTGGTGTGCCAGTGGAGGATATGTTAAGGTCGAGTTTTGATATCACGTTCATCAGGGATTTTCCTTTTGGTGATATAAGTCTTGAGCCCCAGAATGTGTGTTTGGCATTGAAGTCGCCGGCCGCTATGAACTTGGGTCCAAGCTTTGTAAAATATTCTTCGAATTAAAGTTCCGTTATTTTATACCTTGGTGGACAATAGATTGAGGTTATATTCAGACCTTTTATGTATTCTTCTAGACATATGCTTGTCGCCTGCATATATTCTGCTTCAAGGGTTTGAGTTGGGAAGTGTTTAATGTGGTTTTTTATGAGGATAGCAGATCCGCCTCTTGCTCGTCCACTGGGGTGTTTCGAATCGTAGAGTATGTAACCAGGTATCTTAAAGTAGCTTTTCTCGTTAAAATAGGTTTCTGAGATCAGCATGACGTCAATTTGATGTGATTGTAAAAACAATACAAGTATACCAAGAAGCAAATTTTGATTGCATTCATGGTTTGGATAGGATTGAAAGTAAGATATTTTGATTTTGAATCATTCCCTGCATCATATTTTGCATGGTGTTCATAAATTGTGTCATGTTTTCCATAAACAGTTGGATCATGTTTTCAATATTTGAAGATGGTTTAGTAGAGTTTTCATTTTGGACGTTGCTTGGGCCAGTGAATCCTCTAACAGCGTTTGCATATGATATTTGTGTACACGTATTGTTGGAGTCAGATGGAGCATTTGGCTGAGATCGCATTTGAGAAGGGTGTGGTGGGATTACTGACTGAGAGCGGGGACGCAATGCTGGAAACATTCTTTGTTTTTCGGTAGTGTATACTACACATCCTTTATAATTAGCGGTGTGGTTGCCTCCACAATTTCCGCATTTTTTTGTTGTTGGGTCCTTCTTATTTGATGTGCAATCTTTAGTGCGGTGAAAGTCGCCACATGCAACACAAACACTACGAAGTGTGCAATAGGACTTCGAATGTCCATATTCCTGACAATTAGTACACTGCACCGGGTTTTTACGCTTGTGCGGTTCTTCTACTGATATTTTTCTGTGTAGTAGGAATTGTAGGGAATAAATTGGATGAACCTCGTTTGATTTGAGTTTCTTTCCTTCAGGTTCAAGCTCTATTTTATAAAGTGGTGTCGAAACTTTATCGCGGTTTTTAATCTTGTATATAGATTTTGATTTAAATCCTTTTTCTTCAAGTGCTTCTTTAATTTCTGCTGTATTCAAATCTGGTTCTATTCCTCATATAACTACTGTTAATCCTTTGGCACTTTTTAATTGATAGGTGTAAAAATTTTTTCCATTTTTTTCGAAGTTGTTTACAACTGCTCTGTAATGTTTTTCTTCGTTGATCGAGATTTTTGTTTCATCGACATTTCCTTTACGAAGAGGCACAACATGGAATGAATCTTTCCCAATACTTTGTGTTAGGGAGTATATAAGAGCGTTTGAATTTTTTTCACGCAGAAATATGGGTGGCGGTTTCTGGGTGGGGGCGGGTCTGGTATTTTTATCGTCTTCGGCTAGAACGGCAAAACGATTCGCTGTCGAAATATTTTCTATTTTTCGAGTTTTTGTCGAGATTGCATTGTTAGCATTTTCTTGTTTCGGGCTACGTTTTCTTTTTATGATTTGAATATATTTATCCATGCCACGGACTTTGGGTGAATCAGGATTTTTTGCTATGTTACTATTCTTTTGCAATATATTTGGCAATATGTTAACATGTTGCGCTGATGCTGTGTTATTTTTCGAAGATGTTGCTGGACTTTGCGGTTGGTAGCTTGATTGTTTGCAAGAATTTTCACTTACCGAGTATGAGCGTTGCCTTTGGGTTTGGTTGTTTAGCATTGTTGTTTGGTTCGTGGTTGGCTTCTCAGAACTACCATCTGCTGTTGGGTAGCATATGGGTGAGTGGTTTGTGCCTCCGCTATGCGAAGGCGGTGATCTATTAATTGGCATATCGTGGTTGGTATCGTGGAAGTTAGCTGAGCAGCCAACTGTCTCTGAGTAATTTGTTGTGAAAAAGAAGCTTCTACTTTTTAATTATTTAATTATAAACCTTTAAAGTTCTGTTTTAAATGGCACGAGAAAAATAGTATGTATTTAAAAAGAAAAAATATAAATATATATTATTAATATAAGTATAATATAAATTTATAATATAATAAAATATAAATTTCAATTTTTCTTAAGAATTTATCAAACAATAAATTTTTTTTTTTTTTTTGTTTTGAGGCGTCCTTTCGCGTATTTATTTTGAGGCGTCCTTTCGCGTATTTATTTATTTTATTTATTTAGCATAAGTTTGTTATTTAATTACACAATTACACAATTTTTCAAATTTGCGATTTGTAATTTGTTTAGCTATTCTACCCGTTTGCAACACTTTTTTGTAAATTTGTTTTTGAGCTTTTAAGCTTAGTTTGCTGTCTCTATCAGCTGTTTTCAAGTGTGTGTGAATTTGGAAAAAAGTAAACAAATTCGAAAACAAAATCAAAATTTACTTTTTTCGCAAAAATAAATAAATATAATAATATTTTATTTTATCGGGCACTATTATTTTTTTATTAATATTATTTAAGAGTCACTGTCTCAATTATTTGTGATGAGTTCAATATCACTTTTTAAGTTTTTCGCTTAGAAAACACTGAAAGTTACGGAGTGATTTTTTTGCGCGCCAATGTTGATCACAAGCTTACTTGACAATTATGACAGTAATTTACATCAACAAAATTAATCTACAGAAAAGATTGTTAAATGATATAGTACTACAAATTTATTAGTTGTTACTAATTTCATAGTCGTAATGTAAACATTTAATTCTAATTCACAATGGAGGTTCAATAATTGTGCATTGTACAAGTTGTTAAAAATAAATTGCATTTCCAACTGCTTAATACGGTTCCAATAAAATATTCTAATAATTTAATTCAATTGATTATAAATTATTAACTTAGTATATTTGTAAATTTTTATAAAGCCAATGTATTTTTTATGTATTTAGTGGGCTTGTACTACAGGATTTGACATTTGTACATGTTGGGAATCCGGATTATTTGAAGGAAGGTGTTATTAATTTTTCTAAAAGATGGCAACAATATAATATAATTGATAATATGAAGAGATTCAAAAAATGGTACTGTTCAAATAAATTTTACTAAATATATTAAATATATTAAATAACTTTAATATTTTATAGTACTTATCCATTTCGTCGTAATGAACGTATAATTCGCTTTTTTGAAAATTTCGAGAACTTTTTAGGTGAAGAGGAAATGTGGCAAATTTCAGAAACTATAAAACCACGTTGCAAAAGACCAACACGCAGTTAAATAATGTTAAAAAGCAGTTATTGTTTAATTTAAGAGCTCTTATATGAATAGAAAAAAATCTATATACACTTTTAACTTATTTAAGTTTGCAGTTTCCTACTAACATTATTACAATCAAATAATTATATTAATTAAATATAAATGGTACTATACTAAATAATTAATCGAACATTACACACAACGAAAGATGCAACTTTTTTTGCAAAATATGAAGGACCTATCAGAACAAAGAAGAGTCATTATTTTAAACTTACCAAAGCAATGGAATAAAATTCAAGTGAAGTTTACTAAGATACCGAATAAATTAATATATAATTGCATAGAGAATTTTTAAACGAATATTTAATAATTCATGCTATATGAAGTTCAAATACTTTTGCTTCTTATGAGTTTATGAGTGCTGATTTTTCAAGTTTAAAGTTAGATAATTTTAAACTCATAAATAATTTATTTTAATTATTATTTAAACATGCAGCTCAATATGATTTTCTAAATTTTATTGTTTTTAATTTGTAAATATTATATTATACAATTATTTTTAATTAATGTATGTCTATATATGTTTCTAAAACAATGAAGCATACTACTTTTATGTATTTCAATACATAGTATAAAGACTGTCTTAGAATAACGCATTATAAAGATATATTATGGCATATTAATAGTTAAATAAGCCACACATTTTAATAAAAACTATAATCTTTACTATACAACTTGATAAATTAGTTACATATATGTATAAAATTTCATGAACTATGTAATAATAATTTTGTAAAATATCGATAAGTTTTTATGTATCAGTTTAAATTTATGTTAAAAAAGATTAAAAATTCATTGAAGTTAATAAGTAATATTATTGGAAGGTTTATATAACTAACATATTATTATTGGATTTTTCTTTTAAAACAGTAGTAACTAATTTTCAACTAACAAATTTCTTAAGTCAAACTAAGTTATTTGTAGTCTTGTTATTTGTAGTTTTTAAAATAAATGTTATTATTTAATCTGTAATTTAATTAAAAAAATTTTTCTATTAATTTTAAATAAAAGTGAACTGAACGTAATACAATTGTTTGTTGCCTACCATTGAAAATACTTTGTTTTGAGGTTTTCTAAATTTTTTTATTCATTTCACTCAATTTTACCAATGCTTTCTTAAGATTGCAAAGATTCTTCCCAATTTGAAACCACTTTCGGCGAGATTGACTATTATTCCATGTATAACATTCCTATCTGGTCATGGATATTTTCGAAAATATCTTTATCTATGCGGATCAGACGAGGACGATGTTGCGCATACTTTCTTCAACTATCAAAAAATGGCATGGAGAAAGAACACTGCTTGCAGAACAGAATATGTAGGTCACCTCACAGTCACAGAATATCATTGAAAAATAATAGAACAAGCAAAAAATCTGAACAAAATCACACATTGGAAACGTGCTCAGGCAAAAAAAGAAAGACATGGATACAAACTAATCAAAAACGATGAGCAATCTGAAGATTTTCCAATTCGGATCAGGAGTGGGGGCGTTAACACAGCTTCTACGAGAAGCATATGGCATTGAGAATCAACTTATAAGGAATCCTCTCCGAAGTAATGCAAAAGCAGTAGGAGTCGGACAGACCATTCCGGCATTAGTCGGTTTAACTGTGCATAAAGCCTTCCATCTATTAATGTGTGATTTAATTACTTTGTAATTCGGGACTTTTATTTACTTTTTAGCTGTTGAATTAATTTCAACAGCTAAAAAGTATTATCGTTAAATTCTATATTATATTTAAATATGTTTATTTAGTATGTTTCTTTTTAATTAAAGCGATAATTTATTGTTAATATGTTAATTGTTGTTGCAATGCTTGCTGGATATATACGCATAACGACTCAAAAATTTCTAAACCTCCCTACGAATTCTCTACCACTGGTATTAAAAGCGAGAGCACCCACATGTGTTTGGTGATCACTTTTTCACTTAAAATTTTTATTTTTAGCAAATACCAATGATGTTCTTCTCTCCGTTCACCACTCCACTCGCGAGTCAAAAAATCTCCATCCCTATTATAAACTGAATAACTTATCCACAAACTCATATCGAGTATGATACAGCTTGCAGCGAAGTTTTTCAAAGGTTAAAAGGTGAAGTTGAGTGTTTAGCTTGCATTTCAATAAATTCGATATAAAAGTTTTTATGTATGCAAAAATTTGTTTACATAACTGAAAAACCTTCGTTATAGAAACGAATTCGCTATAGACTGTGCAGATCAATTCAAATATATGAAAAAATACAAAAAATCGTTGTAACTTCAACAAAACTTCGTTATAGAGAGGAATCCGTTCGATTGTACTATATAGTATTTGTATAGAGAATTGAATATAAAAATAATACTGATATTTTTTATAAATATCAGAAATTCCCAATCCGTAATGCCCTTTGCTGAACGTGTTCTTATAATGAGAAATTAAATATTCCTTTTTAAAAACGAAGAGTTATGATTCTAAACACTAACATCGATCGTTTGAAAACACTTGATTATATTAACTTATAATATATTCTATTACAGCATCCTTCTCTTGAAGCAATGATAAAAATTTTTTAACACTCGAAATAACAAATATATTTAAAGGTCGATATTACATTATATATGTGCACAATTATTTATTATATCAATATATCCATATTGATATAATAAAAAATAAGCAGTAAATAATTTTCATGAATTTTTTATAATAACAAAATGATACTAACATTTAACGTTTAATTATATTACAAAATATATGATGAATTTTTTAAAAATGTGATTGGAATTATAATTTTTTCAATTACAATATCTCAGAAATAATAATAAAAAAAAAGTAGCGAAAATTTAAAATATGACATCAATATGTGATTGTTAATAATCACATAATTAAAACTTATTCTTTATCTTGAGATTGCATTAAAGCAGCGATTTCTTGGAATTTGTGTCTGTAGTCAACACTGCTTTCACTTATTACTGAGATATTCGAAGATGGATCCTAGAAGTAAACGCATAAATAATGTGTTATCTTATATTATAAAACCGAATAAAACTTACCAATATGTCACGATTGGAGTTTATTTCGTCTAAGTGTCCTAAGAGGCTGGTAAGAGAATAATCATTTAGATTTTCTTCTAACCACCGAGAATTTGAGGTTGACTCGCGTAGTAAATGAGATGGACTAAAGGACTCATTGAATATGTTTGCTATTATAAAAGGAAAGAAATGAAAAATTTTAATGTGATATATTTCAACTTATTATATACAGATTAAATAGAACTATTACATCATATATTAAAAACAAAAATGAATTTAAAAAGTATTGATTTTTTTTAGATTAAATTAAAATTTGAAAAAATACCGCGGTTTTTAAAATTATTATTACTAGTGAATATTACATACATAGTAGCAAAGTGCAACACACAGAAAATTGAAATAGAATTATACAAAAATATAAGTTTAGAGTAGTCGTCGATATATTTAATATATAAACCAAATTTTTTTTAAAATCAAAACTTTATCTCGTCTACAAAATTTTACTAAATTCTTATTAAAAATTTAAAAATTTTTACAAAATTCTAATGAAAAAAAATATCTTTGGTAGCAGGGTGAACAGATACTTTAGATAAAAAACTAAATAATAATTTTAATTGTTTGCAGAACTTTATCCAAATACATCCAAATATTTTTATAATGTAATTCTTTAGGAGAAAATTATGTTAGCAATTTTTTATGTAATGACTATACTAAACTATATACTATATATATAGCCTATGTTCGACCCTGTTTTATAGAAATTATATAGTATAAACGTTATGCAGAATTTTAAATATTTTTTGTAAGATGACTACTTTATATATTGACCACAAGTAGGAATGTTATAGACAATATTGGTTCCTCTATGTAGAGACTATGTAGTATAAATATCGTGCAGAATGGTTTGGCGGTCACGAAGTTCGTTTGAAACAAACAAAAAATAACTGAATTTTTATAAAGTCAGATTATTTTAATTTCTACTTTTAAACCATATCAAGTTAAAAAAAAGATTGTAGTTAGCTTAAATATATCATATAATTAATTTTCTAATTCCTTACTTGCATTATCTTCAAAAATAATATTATTAGATATGTATGTCGGTGCCTTTATAGTGGTGTTATTTGCTCGTGATGTCTCTGTATTGGTTATTTGATTGGATTCAGTATAACTAAATGTGTTCGTACAACTATTTTCACTCTGCACAATCGGATTATTAACAGTTATTTGAATGTTGCAAACACCTGAAATATTCGATGATGAAGTTTCATTGGAGGTTGTAGTTATAGTAATTTCTTGGCCAGCAGTTTCTTCTTCAACGAAGTCCGCATTTGTATGTGAACTGTCTTTTTCATTTGGAAGAGAATGATTTCCATTTTGATATTTATTTAAATTGATGGATACATTTTTAGTATCATGTTGGGAAGTTTTAAATGTAGGTTGCTATTAAGAAAAAAAAAAATTATTTATATATTTTGAATAAGAATTTAGTGATACATTACTTGATTTTGAAACTTTGCATGATGCAAATTAAGAGGTTTTCGCGCGGGTACTACTGGTTGGCGAAAAATGCTTTTTGATCCTTTTTCACTATTAGCTGCATATGTTTTATTTGATATGAAAGTCTTAGCAACAATATCACGTTCAAACTATTAATTAGTACAAAAGAATTGTTCATACTTCTTGTGATTGATTTTATATAAAAACTTACTCTAGCTTTAATTGAGTTTCGGTCACAAAAGTGGCCACAAGAGCACTGGCGCTTTCGAATACGCTCACTAAGATTCGCAATAAGAAGTAAATGTTTCAGCTTATTATTTACGTGTGCAGTAGAAATTGTATTTAACAAATTAGTATCTTCGCATTCATGAGGATTATATGGAATGCCATTAATTTTTTGCATAAATGGCGCTATTTCTTTTTGAATTGATACAGCTGGTTCGTTTATGGTTGTATTATTTTTAGAATTTACGCAAGGTACATTAGTCCAATAATAATCTAATTCCAGTTTTGAATCCTGTCCTAATACTACATACAAATCACCTATAGTCAAATCACCCGCTGATGACACGGTCCAGCCTCTTCTTATACGTTTTATTACACCATCATTTATTAATGGTTTATAGTTAAGTGCAAATCGGGGATTTTTGGCATTTGTGTAACGTTTCGATTTTACATTTGTGGAGGGAGAATATATTTCATTTTTAGTATTTTCAAAAGTAGTTGAAAAAGACTTATTAGGTATGTCTGTATTAGTGAGAAGTTCATTTATTTCATCACTTAATTCGTCCCCACTACTTTCAGATTTAATATTTAAAACCTCTAATTCTTGATTAAATGTATTTATATCATCTTTACTTGTTGTCATTTCAGTATTGTGCAGATCACTTTTATCAATTTTTAATTTTTTTACTTCTGGAGAACGTTTTTCGGAGTTACTATCTGTACGTAATCGTTTATTCGAAACTCGATCTTGATTTAATAATTCTTCACTACGAACTGTTACACCAATGCGATCTTCATAGGAACTTAAACTTAAATTACTGCTACTTAAATACTCTGTAATGCTTAGTAAAGGACGATGTATAGGGACATCAGGTTTTGGTAAAAAACAAATTTCGTAATCTACTAAAGATTGACCTAGTTTGGTGTCATTTTCGGTTAATTTTAATTCAGTACTTTTCCATTTATATTGAAATGCTTTAATAAAATTAAATAGCTTTTTATGAAGCGGTACTGTAATACGTGCACGCGGATTTTGTGCAATTGACTGAACTCTGCTAAATGCCTCCATTTTAGCTGGCGTAACTATTACATCTATTTTCGTTGGAAGACGGATATCTTCCAGTGTATCTACAAAAAAAATTTTTTTTTAAATATATAATTACATATGAATACATAAATACCATCTAGTTGATTAACTTTTCGTAGTGCTTTACAAGAGGGTGTTTTAATGCGTACATTTTTTCCTTTACTTCTGACTGTAACATGGCCTTGATAAACAAGAATTTTTAGTTTCATGAAATTTTTATCTGTGACAAACTGAAGTTTACGACGCATTTCACCATAATTAATTAAAGCATACATCTCTTGCACTGGTTTTTTTATTTCTATGTACAAATATAAATGAAAAGTAAATATTTGATTTTAAAACATTATTATTAATATTTTGAATTTGTTTACTTACCTTCAGAAAACTTTATGTATTTGCATATTTTGTGATAAGTTTGATAATAATGTTGCCTGACTTGGTCTTTTGTTTTACAGCTCTCGGTTGAACTCTTTCGTTTTAATTTTGAATTTATAAAATTTGCGATTGCTTCGAAGTCTTTACTGTATTCATTTAAAGCGTCAAAAAAGTAGTCTCGTTCAAAATTAGTCCATGATGATTTTGTTGGACGTATTTGTGATGGTGTCTTTTGAATAGCTTTGTCATCTTTTTTAATGTCATTGGGTGGTGGCGTTAAAGGCCGTGATTGATCTTGTTTCATTTTTTGTATAACACGTGCACTTGTTCGTGTTCCAGGACAATTGTGTGTTGTTACGGAACCGAGAAGTTGGTTTATTTGAGTTTCAGTCTATTAAATGAATATATTACTGATTAAATGAATACAAATTTCAAATTTAACGAAATACCTCCGTTTTTATTTTTTCCTCCACAATCATTTTTTTTTCCTTTTTAATATTGAGACCATAGTTACACATGTCACTGGACTGCTGTTTTTCATATTTCGTCTCATTCGTATCAAAAGATACGACTATGTCAGAAAAGATTGGGTATTGTTTTTGTGGTTCATCGAATGCGTTTGCATTCATTGTTGAAAGACTGTAATGTAAAATATTTATTTATATAAAAAACATTTTTTAATAATACGAAACAAATAAGTAAAATTATATAAAGTACACCTTAATAACAAAACTTTTAAATGATTGAAAATAAAAGTTGTAAAATTATTAAAGTACATTTATATTTAGCATGTCGAAATTGGTTTTACACTATTGTAAAGCTATTACCACTTAATGAGTAAAAAATCTAAGTGTGACGCCTATCATAAAAATGTACGTATTTCAATTAGTTTTCTTTAAATAACTAATATCTTCAATTATACTGAGAATATATAAATTATTGGCGATATAATATGCCCAACGTAAAACTCATATAACTTTACAATATTCCCACAATTTATTTCACTTTTCAATTATTCTTTCCACTCTTTAGGTGTATGTAGAATTTGAATTAAAACAAATTATAAAAATAAACAATATATTGTCTACTCTTTTTATCTTTAATTGTATTTTCAGACACTTTTGACATTTCTAAAAGAGTTGTGCTTTTCTTCTTTAGAATGGACTGTTCACAATATTAAAACACCAATCCAAGGATTTACAAATTATTCATATGGTTACGGTATGGTTTTAATACTACGTTCATGTTGAAGATTACATTAAGATGCTTTCGGGAGTTTTATATGATGTTTACAGTGGCCTCAAATTACAAAAATTACAAATGAGAAGCAAATGACTGATTTCTACATACAAAATTTCTTATGCGGAAATAAGTTTACACTGGCGCAATGGATCTCAATTTGTAGCAATGAGTTCTAACGAGTTTCAAATAAGTTCCAAACACGTTCCAAATGCAAATGAATACATTGAAAATAACCTAAATAAAAGTTTTTCATGGCATTTTGGCAGTTTGAGAAAGCAGTTTTTGATATATTTACAAAAAAAAGAAAAGCAAATGTGTTCAAGTGTTCAAGAAACACTTTCAAGAATCCTTGAACCAATTGTTAGACAGTATCTCAGATGATGATGTATTGGCAATCATCCCACCAAATCGGCCACTAAGAAAAATATCTACAAATCACGCCAGCATAAAGGAAATTATGCAGACTATAACGCAACTGAAAATTTAAAATCTGCAGGAACTTATAATATCCTAGCGGAGTTCTTTAAGACAGGTATGCATGGTGTGGCTGACAAAGTAATGAATTTGTGTAAACAAATCCGGCGCACTGAAAAAGTATCTCTAGAGTGGAAACAAAGTCTCATAATTAAGATTCCAAAAAAGAGCGTCAAGAAGAACTGCGACAATTGGAAAGGAATATCTCTGATGCCTGAATATCTCTGAGTTCTACTATTTGGGTAGCTACGTTAATACACATGGAAGTGCAACAAGAGATGTGGATAGCAGAATATCAAAAGCCAGAATAGCGTTCAGTAATCTTCGTAGCTTGTCGAATTTAGATGAAATATCTCCTCAAACAAAAATCCATGTTTACAATGCCTTGTAAAATCCATATTATTGTGTGGATAAGAAACTTGGTTGGTCAACCAACAGATGCATGTATAACATTTTGAGAATTTGGTGGCCGCGTAGAATAAACTAAGAAGATATCAACAAATAAGTCAAGCATCAGAAATATAATTGGCGTGGTCAAACTCTTCGAAAGCCGTACGAAGTAATATACCACGCAACATTTCAATGGAACCCCCTAAGCAACAGACACAGATTAAGATCATGTATCACATAGAAAAGAACGATAATAAATGATACCGGCAAATCTTTAACAGAATTACGTTATTTTGCTAGAGATAGAAATAGTTGAAGATTCGACTAATACGACTAATAATAATATCTTAAAAAACTTATTTTATAATTATTGAATTACTGAGTTACACATGTTTCTTCAAATTTGACTTGGTGTAAAATTTTAGCCAAACCTCATGTGAAATATAACTTGTAGTAGATTGATGGAAAACAATATATTTTGATTTTGCTCGTTTATTTTCGTATGTGATCGGACTGTTGTCGATATCCATACGAATTCCGTATGATGATATATATAATAATTTTTTCAGTAGCTGAAATTTTTTCTTTTCAGAGTAGCTAAAACATACTCGCAATTTACGTAAGAAAACATATGAAGTAACATCAATGCTCTTGAAATCTTCAGAGTTAGGTTTTAATCGCAAAAAAGTTTACGTCTTAGTTTTATTGCAACCAAATTAAAAAATCAGTCTATTGTGAATGTTTACTGGAAATATGTTGCAAAATTCCAGTCATCCGTTACTTATAAATTCAAATCCATAAATAATTAAATTATTTTAAATATATAAGATAAAAATACTTACTATTTCTCTCGTAATATTCATTTTTGTTTTATTTATTTAAATTAATTAATTTATAGTGTTTACAATTTATATATATAATTACAATATTTATAATTACAATTTATATTTCATATTGTACACAACAAAACAAAAAACATTTGTCGAAAAAACATTTAACATATTTTAAAAGTGATGCCTATTTGTTTCAACCAGACTGAATGTTGTTTTTTTACAACTCAGAAAGAAAAAATTACGACTAATATTAACTCGTAGATATCCTTCATTTTTTGTGAAATTCATGGTCAGTCAAAACTTGTGTCATCTCAAAGGAGACTCCAAATTTTTGAGAGTATGTGAGAGTAGTAACAGCAGTTTGTTGTTGACTCGATATTTTTTATGCAGACTTCGATTCATCCGTAGACTAGTATTGTATCAATAGTATTGTATACGATTTAACTTGAAATACGATTAAAGTTGAAAGTATACGTGATGAAGTTTGAATTTGTATTCTTTACAACTATCATTGAGATTATAAATAACGAATGCAGCTCCGTAGTCGCCCATAGGTATATATTTGAACAGCGTTCAAATTGAGAACGTCATTTATCGGCTCTGAAACCATTTTATGTTCAATATTTATTTGTTACCCCGTGTGTAGTTGATTTTTTTAAAGTTTTAACGTTAACAAGTAAAAGAACGTCATCAGTCAAAGCTTGCGAATTGTAGCCGTTAGATAATGGTTGAGATAGTAGATTATATAAAATTATATTTCAAAAAGTAGGACCACAGGTAGACCCTTGAATGCATCATTTTGTCGTTGCATTTGTAATATCGCTTGAAATACATATAAGGAATTCTGTTCCTGCAGTTCTGTTAGATTAGTTAGGAAAAAGATTAATTTTCGCAGACAGTGATCAGCTCTGTCACATGAGGTGGGTAAAAGTTTCTTTCTTATCTACAAAGGTATACCAATATCACTGAAGTTAATAACGAAGAGCTACCTTGGCGGATCGCCTTTTTTACAACCGCTCGACATGTCTCTGTGCTAATATACGGATACCCATATTAGCGGAACCTTAAACACACCAGACAATTCATTAAGAGAATAATAACTTGAAAGACATCTGAAAACCATTCCCGCGTTTGTGATTTAGTTTGGAGCTGAGCACTTTACTTTAGTATAGGCATATTATGATGTGAGAACAACATCATCCAGACCGAAATTTTTTATATTGTTTAAATGTATAGGTGACCAACTTTAGATGAGTGTCAGTCACTTAAAAAGGGGTACGAGTATCCAAAGAAATCGAGTCAAGGTAAAAGAATTAATGATCTGTGCAGAGTAACTTCCTGGAAATATGTGTTAAAAAAGATTATGTGCATTTCCGCACTAGAGGCATTTGGGGAACATCAGGTGTCTGTGAAGTCATGTGGTCTCAATGGAAGTCTAATACAGAAGTCTTGTCAAGCTTCCCTTTTCGGTCACCTGATGGCATTTTTTAATTCTTTTTGCTTCTCTTTTTAGGGAGCCTAACCACCTGTAGCTTTCCCTACGTTACAAACTTTCTTACAAGTTTTACAAGCATTTGCAATTATTAAATTTTAAGTCAAAGGCTGTTTTTACAGCAGTAATATGTCAGATGCTGTTTTAAAAGATTGATCTCTGAAATCTAGACAGGAATTCAGTTCAGTCCGTTGATTGGTTTAGGTGATTTAATAATATCAGTGTTCACCTTTAGAACATTAATGAATGTAAGATGCTTGCGGTCTGAAAATGGACAATCATATTCAACTTGTAATTAATTAAGGTAATGTCAATAACTTTTTTTCTGTCGGTTTATGGTCTCTTTTATCTATTATTAAATTACCTACAAGAATAAAATCAATAAAAAATTAATTAATTAATTAATAAAGAGTCGTGTGCTGTTGTGATGTCTTGTAGAAGTAAGGGGCTGTTGGTGATAGTTTTCGTTTAAGATTCATGCTTGAAGAGGTCAGTAATATGGTTGTAAATAATTACTTTGTAATAACTTTGTTAACTACAATAAGTAGCATTGTACGTTTACAGTTCATCATGTTCATGTTGAGTCTTTTTCGATTTAGTACACTTAGGCACTTTTATTCCTTGATAGCTGGGGGTTTCTGCAGAGTCCCACTCATCTCACAGTTCTTGCTGCCTATAAGATTACTCCTTTTTGTTGGAATTGTCATAAAAATAACTGAAGACTGGCATAAGAATGAGTTTGGCCAGGTGTTTATCTGCTTTAAGCAGTTCAAGGGCTGGTCAATAGTGTCAGCACTAGCGGCCAACAAATTTTCAAGAACTTGTGGTAAGCAGGTTTCATTATATTATTTAGCAGTTATAGTCTATTCAGTCTTCAGAAAAGCAACAGGTACAACTTTTGCTCTAGTGAAGTTAATTAACATCGTTACGTTTGTTGGTAACTTTTGTCCATATCATCGACTGTGGGTTTGATTCTGAGTTGTACTTGTATAACCAAGGTTCATTGCCTATTATAAATTTGTGGAAGGTGCTGGAGAAACCCATGGTGCTAATTTCATTCCTGTATTGGATACAGGAATTGCTTAATTACGTCATATAGTCGTGGCATTCATTAAGTCTAGTTTATCAGCAATTATTTCTCAATAATGGAATAGTTAAAAACGCAATTTATTGTTAATATTTTATTATAATATTTTTTTTAATAATAATAACAACAACAATAACCGATTTGAGCATATTATAGTTACAACCTTCTATAGATACAGACATTTTTCATTTTATCGACAATAGAAAATGTAATTCAATAATTTATAAATAAATTGCTATTAATATTAGTGTAATTAATATAATGACTGCAATTGTAATAATAATAATTTTTTTCTGAAAATGTAAAAAATAGAAAATTATCTGTTTATCTGTTTTTAATTTAGCTTATAAGACTATGAAAACATACCTTAAATGCTTTTTTATGAAGCTTGTCTGCCTTTTCAAGTTCATCAGTGCCTTTATCCACGAATAGTGTAGCTTGTTGAGCGTGAAATTCTACACGTTGAATAGTTTCACTCTTTATATATTTAAATCAATTAAGGATAAATAACTTTGATATTATATGAGAAAGTACCTGCTCTAATACTAAAGTTTGGATTCGAAGAAAGAGTGCATGTACATCCTCTATGGATTTCTCTAATTTTTTCAATTCGTTAAAACGTTCCATCAAATCTCTCAAAGTTTTCCGTTCTTTTTCAGTTTCTTCAATTATCTGCAATAAGGTAAAACTAAAACCCATATATAACTTTTAAATAAATTAAATTAATTAAATTAATTTTTTTGACGCTTACATTACCAACGAACAAATTTGTGGTTTTATTAGCAATTAGTTCTTCAATTTCTTCTTCTGTTGAATTATAATTTACTACAAAAATATTTAAATTATTTACAGGATTGAAAATTTTTTGTCTTAATAAAGTACTAATTTTTTAAAATTAATTGACTTACTGATTTTAGTGTGCATCTGTAAGTTTTTCTTTAATTTATTTTCATACATTTGAAGAAATTCCTCGTTTTTATTCCAAATATTTATATAGCTTTGATATAATCCATAAAATAAAGTTCTTTTCATCCGGGCTTCCAATCTAAAATCGTTTTCTGCAGGAAGATTTGTTTTAAACTCTCGGAATTTGTTTATTAGTTGATTTCCAATTTTCAAATTTTGATTTCTAAGTTCATCCATTTCGCTTTCTATATTTTTTTTTTCGTTTGAGATATAATTGATACTGTTAAATATTTTGGTAAGTTGTGGATTAATTTAAAGTTACAAACCATTGAAATTACGAATGTTTATAGTCTGTGCCATACGATTCATGTTGTCCAAATTAACTACAATTTGTGCTAATTGAGCGCGAATATCAGAGTACTTTAATAAAACAAAATTATGGATAATATATATGTATATAAATTAATTGAAATTTTCTCACAGTTCAATAAAATGTTTTTAAAAATTTGTTAAACTTTTATATTTTATATCCGTATTGTAATTATTTGCAAGTTTATTAGTTTTGAATTTCTTGTAACTGGGGAATATATATTTTCTTACCGGATTTAAAATTGCATCTACAGCCGGATTTTGATCCATCATTATGTCAGTATATGGTTCAGAATTCATTGAACCATTTGAGGATGAAAAATTAAATGATTTCTGTAAATATAAATATAATAATTACTATTTATATTATTATTACATATTTGTTTTATTATTTGTTCCAATTTTGTTCCCTCTAAGATTCACTGAGCTTATCAATTTTTCTTCAAAACAATTTTCATATATATATTTTATATAGGTATATATTTTTTTTATCGTGATTACCGCAAAATAAATTAACCTATACACACACAAATTTATATGTTTTTACCCTACTCACTATTTTTCATAAGAATTTGATTACACAATTCACCTGCATTAACTCCGTTAGTCTATCTCTAACCATTTTGGTTCTTGAGTTTGCGAAACTGTTGTAATGTTCGTGTTTCCGATGTTTCCAAAGTTTCCGATGTTTTCAATCAACATTAATCGAAACGCTCTCTTACTGCTGTATTGAAGCAAAGTATCTGAACTTCCAAGTCTATTGCAGTCTGTTTCACTTTCTTTATTCTCCAGACAAATGCGAGGCAAATGCGCTCCTATAGCAAATAATGAATTTTTTTAATTCGTTTTAATATCTTTACGGCGATAAAGCCGCGTCTCTGTATTTGTAGTTGCTTGTGATACAAAAAAAATTGTAAATATAGTAGACATTTTAAAAGTAATTATTAAAAAGTAACGAGTACATAGACACACACAAATGGTTTTTAGGAATTTTATTCATTTAAATTCTTTCTTCTTTAGAAGCGACACGAAAATTACGTTTGCAAGCGAGTTTATTGGATCGCGGTCATTTAATTATCATTCAACATGATAATTTGTGTTTCTCACATGGCTCAATACTTCTCTACCATGTAAATATACACATTATTTTAAACTATACTCATTCACATATACAGTATTGAGAGTTCAGTTTTCACATTCTTGGTCTAATCGCACCGAATCGAAGAAGTGACTAGAATCGTGACGCAATGAATCACTACTCCGATACGAATATTTGCTTAGAAAACAACTGTGCTCCCTTTTCTTTACAAATTAGCAGTGCATTTGCGTACTCCACGAATAAATTACATATTAAAGCCCGAAAGAGAACGTATATTGCAAAATATCAATTTTCAATCATTTTTTGAGTTATTTAGCCCATATTCTAAATAACTTCACTGGATTTTATAAGGAAATACCTCAACATTTTATTGTAACTAAATGAATATGTTAAGTATAATGTTTTAGTTTTTAGAATATCAGAATATTTCTTTATTGTTCAAAGCATTTTTGAATTTAAAATATTAGATTCAAAGTTATGGTAGTTGTAGTAGTTGTGATGGAGGGAGGAACGAGTCCTCATCAGTTAGCTAGAAAAAGCAGTTTTGAATCCAAAAAACCTCCTAATAGTGGGTAGTAGAGAGAAGGTCAAGCTAATCTGTGTTTAGTAATCTAATTGTTTGAAAAGACTGACTCTTTTAAAATGTGAGCCATTATAGATTAATATGAAAAAAAATGTTCTTCAATTATTATTAAGTAGAATTCATATTATCCAGTAAGTTATAAACTACACAATATAACTTACTTATTGTCAAGTAAGTAATAAATTTGCAAAATCAATCATTTTACTAAATGGAAGTCTAAATATCGTTAATAATAACTCCAAATCGTTAAAAATGAACGGATTCTCTGTGCTGATGATTTATTTTAGCTTATCAGTAGGAAATTATCATTTCATATATTTTTCTAGTGAAAGATTTGGGCTTTTCATTTGTTAAATATGTTTATGATTTATTAAGCATTTAGTTTGAGTAGTCATATATAGTCATATATAGTAGTCATATATATATTTTATTTAAAAATTTATGGTAGGTTAGGTTAGGTTATGCCGGCGATTCCTAGTGGATCAATTTAGGCCTATTTGCCCATTGTGTTACCGTATATATAGGAAAATCGCAGGGTTTAAAACCATCTAGAACTTTTTGTGAAGCTTAAAATGCTATTTAGTGTCAGGTCCTGTAATTAGTCAAGATCTTTAAGAAAGGGGCTCCTACAGTGTTAAGTCGCTGCCGTGTATGAGCTGGGCAACAATATAGTAGATAAGAGGTACTCCCATCGTTTTTTCCACATGCGCGACAGCACATCCACATCCCTTTGATTGAAAGGGAGACCTAATCTTGTAGCATGGTTCCCTAGTTTACAGTGACCTGTAAGTATACTTACCAAAAGACTGATATCATTTCGGGGTATCTCAATGAGAATTTTAGATTTAATTTTATCGTAACGTGCCTTCCCACCTTTTATTAAAAATTTCAGTACAGAAAGAACTAAGTAACAATTTGCATTGTTAGCGATATGCGCAGATTATTCAGGTGTTTCGAGTGAGGTCTTAAAGCACACCTTCTGGCTAGCTCGTCTGCTTTACAATTACCGAAAATATACCTATGACCGGAAAATCAGATTAGAGAAATATTAAGCTGCGTCGACATTTCGTTTAGAGATATGTGGCAGTCAAAAACCGTCCAAGATGTAAATTGGACTGAACTCGAGGACTTTAAAGCAGCTTGACTGTCTGATAGTATATATATATTCATGCCAAATATATCATCCACATTCAAACAAGCTATAGCTTCCCTAATGGCGATCATTTCTGCTTGAAAGACACTACAATGATCTGGAAACCTGAAGTAGGAAGATTTATTCAATTCCTCTGAAAAAATTCTACTGATTACACCACTATTTGTTTTGTAGTAAAATTGAAAAGATTAAGAATGGAGGCGTGTCCATAATCACTGGCTCTCTATTGTGAGGTAGCTTTGATTCTTAGAGCAGATGAAGCTGCCATTTGTTTAATAATAATATTCATTGGCAGTAAGTGAAATACCAAAGCTAGTGTAATGAATGGTACCGAACATTACGAAGATTTATCAATGGCTGTTCACCATACCGTGACACCATACAGCAATATGGGCCTAATGACAGCTATATAGAGCCATTGAATGATGCATGGTTGAAGATCCTACTTCTTGCTAATAGCCTTTTGATATAGAAGAAGTGTAATATTGGCTTTCCTAGCGTGCTCTAAGGTGCTTCCATGTGAGTTTCCTATCGACAATACCTAGAAATTTGACATCCTCCTTTAAATGTATACTTCCTGGTGAAAACTACAATTTCAGCTTTGTTGGGATTTACCCCAAGGCCACATTTTAGTGTCTATTTATTTAGGACCATTTTGCAGAATTTCTGCCAGTTAGGAACTGATTTATAAAGCTAAAGAGCGCATCATCAACACCCAGATGCGCGATCTATGATAGATATATTACAATAAAAATGGCAACAAATTTTAATCCAAATAATATAATAATAATTTCTAACCATACAATTATGTGAATTTGATAATGTAGATGGTCTAATAATGTTAAAAATCATCTGAGAAGTCCGTATGTAAACTAAAAAAATATTAAATAAATAATTCTTAAAACAGATTAAATAATAATTAAAAATTTGAAAGAACTATTGATTTCTTTCCGCATGAAACAACGAACATTCACGACTAAGTACGGTTACGTAAAAATTAAGTTATGAACTAGGTAGCATAACCTAGTCCTAGTCATACATAACCATTATAATATATAATTATAATATTATAATTAAAATAGTAATCATTTTTTGTTTTTGTAGTTTGAGAATGTGCGAGGAATAATTTTTAAGAAATTTGAACTAATTTTATTTTTTTTTCTAAAAAGATTAATGCAGTTAGCAATGAAAGCATTGTCGTACGAGTAACATATACGTACGTATTCTGTGGAATGATATTAAGACATAAGAAACTAACACAATTTAAATACAAATACAAATATATTATATAAACGAGCAAAATGTACTACTAGATATGAAAAAATAAATAAACAGAGTGGAGTCAATGACAAGTAGTCAGTAGTACAATATACAGCTCGAAAATAAAGTAGAAATACTGCAAGTCGGAAGATGATTACATTCGGCTTTGAAAGTAAAAAATAGTATTTCACAACATGGAGAAATAGGCGTTCATCTGTTGCCAAGAGAAAATAGAATAGTAATAGCATTAAATAGTAGTACTGTACCCAAAACTATAACTATAAGCTAAGGAAAGATATATAGTACAGAAATGTCTTGAAGTCAAGTGGTTGTGAAGCCTTAACGAGTTTAAAAGAAATATGCAGAGACGTGAAGTATTATTTAATATATTGTATATAAACGAAGCGCAGAAACAAAACTACTTTAGAATCTTTACTTTAGATACTTTAGAATCAACCATCGATGCTACTATATATCAAGTAAATGTATTTCTGTGTCAGCCTACAGATTCAACAAAGAATCACCCTTATCAACAGATGTTACTTCGGGCTAACTGGACAATTGAGAAAACGAGGACGTCCACATCTTCAGTTGAAGGATCAGGTGACCAATAATTTGGGGGCGCTCGGTACTATCAACTGACGACACAAACAACTAATCGGCCTGGAGGTTATTCGCCGTGGATTTGGTATATGAGTTTTATTCTTATCATATAAGAATATATATTCTTATATAATAAGATCTTTTTATCTTTCAAATCTTTTATAATATATAGTTAAGAATGCAAAGTTTTTATTATAATTATAATCACAATTTAATATTACAAATTTTGAGTTTAAGAATCACATGAACTATGTTAATGCTTAGACTTTGCAAAAAACTGAGTTAATAGTTGAACAAGAAACGACGTTAATACTTGGATGTCGAATAGGGGACGAAGCTATGTTAATAGTTAGCGTTCGAATAGAAAATGAAGCGAAGTTTAATGATGAACTGAAGTAATATTAATCAATCTATTTTCAGTTAAAGCGTCTAGTGCCTCGTAAGCATCTTTTATGTTGGGATCTGTAACTAGATGTCGTGCTTTCACGCCAATAGTATTTGGACACATCATCAGCGAAGTATTTCCGATGTAATTTAATGCGTGTTTTATGATCGGACTTTGATATTTATATTTATACATTGTTGCGCCTTGAATACATTTGTTGGTTTATAATACAATGCTGCGCTTTAGATGCGAGCAAAGAATATACAGGAACCGCACAATAAGCAAAGTGTATCTTTGCTATTGAAATTGCATCAAACAAATTGAAATCAATTAATATTGTGAGGCACAAAAAATGTTTAATTTATAATGGATTGCATAAGTAATTTATGCATCAGTTAAAAATTTTTTTTTTTATTTATAGATTATATATTTTATGGTTTATATAGTTTTAAATGTTTTGACAATCGTTTGATCCTTCATCACTCTCAGCTGATAAGTTGGGAAACATAGTAGGTAGCCATATAAAATACATGGACTCTACTTTAGCTCAATAAATTTTTGATATACGGTTATACGAGGGTTTATTTGTGACCTATGGATTCGAGACAGTTTAATACTGTTTGCTTTCCAGATCAGGGTGAAATCTGAAGTAAATCCTAGATATTTCACCAGTCTCTGCTTTATTTAGATAGAATACTAAAAAAAATATGAATGAAAAAGTCAGTTATAAAGTCAGTTTTACTAACTGACTGACTGAATAAATATACCGAATGAAAAAGTCAGTTATGCTCAGTGGCGTAACTACAGAGAAGCAACTGGAAGAAACGCTTTCGGGCCCCCGAATTTAGGGGGCCCCACTATAAATTTTTGTAAACATTTTTTGCTGGAATAACTTCATATTGCATTTTATATGTAAATTTTAAATGTAAAGTACATAATATGTATGTATGTACTTCAAATAAAATATTAAACCTATTTATAAAATAAAAAAGTTTTTCTAAGAAAAATATGTGTCTTAATCGAGAGTTTATATGGACGCTATATCTAGATTTAAACCCATTTGAAAATAATTTTGTACGTTGTCTTTTGCAAATATCAGTA